GATGAGTGTAATGTCAGGGTGAGCTTATATCTTTAAAAATGTCAATAGTTCACAAGATACAAGGTCATTTCTTAATTATGTAATATATATTTTAAAGATATAGCTCATCCCTGACATTACACTCATCAAGACCTTTCATTTGATTACCCACATCAATTTTTCATATATTTTATATATTTATATATACTACATATATGTATATATGAAAAATATATGAAAAATGCATGTGGGTACTCAAATGAAAGCTCTTAATGAGTGTAACATCGGGATGAGCTTATATCTTTAAAAATGTCAATAGTTAAGAAAGTCCAGGGCAATTAAATACTTATAATAATAATCTTACTTTTGATATTTAGAAGCGTCAATAGCAACAGCTTTTACATGTGGATAGAAACGAGGTAGCGCATTAAAGTGCGGTGCAGCTTGACTGCTAAATACACACCACCGTGAATAAAAGAGCACTAGCAAACATGTACGTGGATTAGATTTATTATCTTTGGTTGTTGCATTATCAGTACGATTTACTGGCGATGGCTCAATTATTAATAATTCCATTAGTCTGGTTGCATTAACAATCTGAAATTAAAAATATTAATTTTATTCGTCCTGAATTTATTTATGTGCTAATATCTTAAAATTATTTATTGAAAGTTATTTTTATTTGTAAAATTTTAATTGATAATTTTTCAAATTTCTTTAATACTGAAATTATCTGACAATTTTTTAAATTAAATTATTTTCGTGCAAACATTTTAAAATAATTAATTATAAAAATCTAAAAAAACTGTCAAACTTTCAAATCAGCTGATTTTAAACAGTAAAAAAAAAATTTTTAATGACATTAAAATTAGCAGTCACTAAAAATTAAAAAAAAATTTTTTAATAAATAAATTTGTTCAAAAAAATTTACTTTTAAAAAGTTGTATTTTTTATTTTATTAAAAATTCTACTTCAATTTTTTTTCGCTATTATTTATTTAAAAAAATTTTTTTTAATTATTAAATATCTGCTAAATTTAATTTTTATAAAATCTTAACTTATTAATTATAAATAAAAGTGTTAATTAATTAATTAAAAAAAAAAAAAAAAAAAAAATTGTTACCTCAACAGCGCCATAAATTTGATCAGTAATACAATTATTATAATTTTTATAAACCGGATCAGATCTATTAGGCTCAGTGACTGTCGCGTTACTAATTTCAGTCAAATTGCCTTGCTCATTCAGTAATTCATCTCCAACTTTGACATCAATACTGTCAACCTCGGAGTCATTGGTGTTTATCAACCAGCCTTCGACAGAAATCGCAGAATCACTAGCTCCAATTTCTGGATTAGGAAATGTTGAATTTACATCCGTTGAATTTTCTAGTTCTCCGGGAACTGGAGGAAAAACTGGAGAAATAAAATAAAATTAATGACATAAATAATTATATTAATTAATTTAATTAAATATTAAATACTTACCATTGAAAATTACAAATAAACTCACTAGTAATTTTAAATACATCATAACCTCTAAAGTAATAAATTATTAACACTTTAAAATAAATTATATAGACATTAAACTATTGATTAATTTCAACTCATATGATCAATAATTAAAAGTGAATTTTTTTTTTTTTTAATAATTAAAGAGTTGATTTTTATTGATGAAACTTTTTACATTCTCTGTTTACTATTTTTTGTGCAAGTTTTAAAGTTATTGAGTAAACTCTACTATGTCAAACCAGATGTCGCTTCTGCTTTATAAATTCAAATATTAATTTAAGAGATATTTGATTATTTGACAGTTTGTTAATTTTTGTAACAAATAAATTAATGACATTAAATTGAGCTATCAATTTACAATTTTTTAATTTTTTTTAACAATTAAATTTATAATTATAAATAAAAATAATTAATTAAAAAATGGTCAAGACTGCTAACTTTAGTATCATTGCTTTTAATTTTTTTTCACCAATTTAACGTTTTCGAAGATGTTTTAAAAAATTATTAATATATTCTAAAATGTTCAAGAAACAAAGTCAAATTTTTTTGAATAATTTTAGTAAATATTGAAGATATAATGAAAAAAATATAATTGAGCTCGGTGTCACGCTCATACGTTGACCAGTCTAGGGTTGAATATAAAAATAAATTTTAAATACATTATAATGTCATTAAATGATATTGAAGTTAGCAGACGTCTAAAAATTTTTGATTTTTTTTATTAATTAAATTACAACTAAAAAGACATTTCTAAAAAATTGCACTCATAGTTTTTCAAATTTTTAACGTGTGCAATTTTTTTTTTAATTGTTTAATTGAAATTTTTTCAATAAAAAATTTCTAAAAATTCTAAAATGTCGGCTAACCAAGTCACACATACCGAAATTCACCCACCATCAGCCAAATAAAATTTAAAGTTTTAAAATTTTCTTCTCCAAAATGGAAACAATATCATCTCCGACGCTGAGCTAAGAGCCTGAAATCTACGCTTGGTAAATAATATTCATTAATTTGAAATAAAATCGATTTTATTTTTTTTATGCCATTAATTTTAGCATTACATAATTTTTAAATCTTATTTTTTTATAAATTTATTTTCACAATTTATTTATTAAAAAAATTATTAAATATTTGCTTTTTGGACCAATAATTAAATAAAAAATAACTTTATTTACAGGTGAAAAATAGACCAATAAAAGTGTTCCTGCATTTTATATTTCTTTACCACCGCCAAGGATTGCTCCAAAACTTGCCAGGATGGATGTAGATTTACAGGTACCAGCTCAGCCCCAAATACCGCAGGCATTAACACCAGTGAGTGTACCTCCAGTGATTCTATCCACGGTCGTCCACATCTGCAAAACTGGATTTATATATGAAAATAGCACCAAGTATACTTCCCGTATAAAAATCATATAATATTATGGTGAGGTTCATTATGAATCTCATATTTTTACACAAATATAAGATTCCTATATAAAAGCTATATTTTATTAATTTAGAACCCACAATAAGTAAAATATTTTTATATTTATAAAAAATTTTTATCATGCACTATATTGTTCAACTACTTTAATTTCTTTTTTGATTTACGTAACTTGTAAAAATTTTCAGAAAAACAGTATTTTAGTTTAAAAAAAATTTTTGACTGACAAAATTATTTCTTCTTAAGATCAATTATTTTTTATTTTGAAAATAATTTAAATCATCCTAAAAATTTCATTAATTTGCATTATTTTCTGTATATACTTAGTTATAACTAAAAAATTTTATATCACGATTAAAAAGGCTAACAATATCACTATGATGTTCTCATAAATATTTTACTTATTACGGGTATCAAATGTATATTAATTATTATATCGCTTTTATATGAATCTCATATTTGTGTAAAAATATGAGATTCATTATAATATCAGATAATTTTTACTAAAATACATTCAATTGAAATGGAAAAATACCGTCCACTAGAACGAAAGCAAATCATCCTTAGTAATTTATTTATAAAAAAACTAATTTTTAAAAGTACGCGACGCCAATTACAATACCATTTTTACTATAATTATATTTAATATTATGTCTAATTAATATGCATATCTTCATTATCTTTTATTTTATAAGTATCGACTAATTATAAGAAAATTATTTTTAAGTAATTACACAGCGGATGATCAGTATTTTTAAGAAATAATTTGAATTTTCTATACTTACTCATAATACTTTTACGGAAAAACAATTTTGTATAAAACTGAAATTTGTTAAAATGTAATATTTATTTATTTATTTTGTAATTTTTTTTTTTTTTTTTTTGAAAAATTTGTGTAATTTTTCAAAAAATTTTTACAAAGTCGATATAATTAAAGTTTTTATATATGGAAAAAAAAGATAATGCTGCTAATTGGAAACTTATTAAGAAGAAATCTGATGAAATTACTGAAATTACAAAATCTAAGTTTGGTCAAGGCCTTTCGAATAGCACCAACCACGATCAAATCGGTCAAGCCGTTCAAAAGTTATAAGAGGTTTACATACATCTGGGAAGTTAAAAATTTTATTATTTGTAGTTTAATTTTTTAAAGAAATTTATTACATTAAAAAAATTAATTTCTTACATTAAAACAATAATTATAAAAAAAAATTATTAAATTTTCACAGGAGACGGCATTGATTCCGAGTTTCCTTTTAGAGCAGCTAAAATGTTATTAGCAGTAATGACAGACATTTGTGCCCTTACTTCTGTCGACGCGCTTCCAATATGCGGCAGTAATACTAAAAAAATTTAACCGTGAGTGTTACTTAATTAAATATATTTAAATATTTAATGAGAATTAATTTAGCAAATATTTAATAATTTTTAGAATTTTTTCAACAAATAAATTATGGCAAAAAAAAAAAAAGTTGAAGTGTAGAAATTTAAAAAATTATAAATGCAATTTTTTAAAAATGATTTTTCAGAATAAATTTATTTGTTAAATAAAATTAAAAAATCATCAAGGGACTGCTAACTTTAATGTCATAAATATTTATTTTACAAACTTACATTAAAAAAATAATATTTTTAAAAATACTTACCGCAATTATCAAGTTTAAGAAGCTCATGGTCCAACGGAATAGGCTCTGGAGTCATGACATCCAACCCAGCGGCTCTAATCCCTCGATTCTTCAAAACTTTTACCAGCGCATCTTGATCGACAATTTCTCCCCTGCTGACATTGATAAAAATGCTGGATTTTTTCATCTTACTGAAAGCTTCTTCGTTGAACATCCCGCGAGTTTCTGGAGTCTGGGCGATTGTTACAATGACAAAGTCGCTTTCAGCTAGCAGTTGGTCCAGAGGAACTCTCTGACCTTTAAAAGCAGCCGCAGCTGATTTGTCGCTGCGGCTGGAGTAGAGAATTTTTGATACACGGAACGGGTAAAGATACTCCGCAACTCTGGCGCCGATACGACCCAGACCCACTATCCCAACTGTGGAGCCAGCGAGACCTGGTCCGCACATCCAGGTAGGGGACCAAGAAGTCCATTCTCCTCTAAAAAATTATAAAATTAATTCATCTTATATATTTTCTTTAGCTTTACATTGATGCCAAATTTTTAAGTCTTGCAAAATACTTTATAAAATTGAAATTAATTAGAACTATAAAAAGCCCTATTGAAATTTTAATTATTAAACAAAAATACTTAAATAATACTTATTAATACTTACGCTCTCAAAGCTTTTTCGGCTTCAATTATCCTCCGCGAAGTTGCCAGCAACAACGCTACCGTAAGTTCCGCTGTTGCGTCTGTTAATACATCTGGAGTGTAACCAACTTTAATGTTTCTCTCCTTTAAACTCTTCAGGTCCAGGTGGTCCAGCCCTACAGACATCGTCGCCACTACTTTCAGCTGCGGACCCGCTGAAGAAATTACTTCCTCATCTATTTTGTCCGTCAATAAACAAAATACTCCGTCGACCCCTGTTATCATTGACAGCAACTCTGATCGTGGAATTGGAGTGCTTTTTTTCCATTCGATTAGCTCACATCTGAAATATTAATTAATTTTCATTGTTACTAAACTGGAAAAAGTAAGGTATTTTTTTTTTTTAATTTTTCAAATCAAAGTAAATTATAATTATGATTTGTGTTATCATCCATGATATTAAATATAAAATTATCAGGAACTTGGACAGGGTAAATTATAATAATAATAATTTATTTTTATTCTATATTCAAAAATAATAAAAAAAAAAAACAAGTGTTTTCAGTATGATGATAATTTTGGGTATCATAAAATCTGTCAAAATAATATCACACTGAAATTGACAGACTTTAGAAATTTTTTTAGAGATGAGTACCATAAAATAATTATATGTCCAAAGTAAAAAATTGTAAATTTAATTTTCTAGAAAAGCTTGCTTATTTATAATTTTTAAAAATTAAATCCTTACTCTTGCTCTAATAATTTATACCCAGACGATGGAATATCTCCACGTGTGATCAACACTCTTGGTCGCGACATACTTGAAATTTTTCTAAAACAAAAATAATTATTACTTTTACAAACCATTGAAAAATTTATATTTTTTATAAAAACACTTGACAAATTTTTAACGATCATTTTAATTAAAGCTTTTGCAAGTATATAAATATATAAACATAAAAATATTGATGTACTTATATAACCTCACTTATTACAAATATATACATATAAATACTATTTACTAATAAATAAATTTATGTAGATATATATTTAAAAAAAATTCAAGTAAATGATAATTTTTTTAAAATTGATAAAAAAAATTTTTTTATTAAAATTATTTAAAAACTAAAAAATTTTTATTAACTCACAATTAATAATTTTAATTAATAATATTGTATAAAATATTTATTTTATCTATTACAATGATCAGTTTTTATCATATAAATAGGAGCGCATAAAAAAATATACTTGAAAGTAAAATAAAAAAAAATCACAATTTATTATTATTATTATTATTATTATTATTATTATTATTATTATTATTATTATTATTATTATTATTATTATAGATTTGAATTTAAAGTGTAAAAAATAATAAAAAAAATTTATTTTTTAGATTTGAAATTTTTCTCAGCAGCCCAGAAGGTGTTCTTCATCAACATAGCAACAGTCATAGGTCCTACGCCTCCAGGAACCGGGGTAATGAACCCGGCGACTTTTTTCACCTCCTCATAGTCGACGTCCCCGACAATCTTGGTTTTTCCGTCGGGAGTATCAACCCGGGTGATCCCCACGTCGATTACACACGCTCCGGGTTTTATCATGTCCTTGGTAACCAGCCCGGGAACTCCAGTTGCGGAGACCAGGACGTCTGCGAGACGGGCCAGTTTTATCAATTCTTCTCTGGGAGTATGGATGTGGCAGATCGTCGTGGTCATATCCAGCGCTCTGGTGTCGCCTGAAAGAAAATTAGAGAAGATTTTAGAGTCAAGGTAAGTGTACCTATAAAAAAATTTTTAATCTTGCAATTTATTTTTAATATTTCATTGTGATAAGCTTGCCTTTTCCATTAGCATGAAGCAAAAGCGCCGTTGGCAGTCCAACATGCTTGGACCTCCCAATAACAACCGCGTTCTTTCCCAAAGTTTTAACTCCAGACCTGAGAATCAGCTCCCTTACAGCCAAAGCGGTCGCAGGAACAAACCCTTCGCTGTCAGTGCTCAATTTTCCTAGATTTTCTGAGTGGAACCCGTCGACATCTTTATTTGGAAGCACCGCGTGGCAAGCTTCCTTTTCATCAAACCCTTTGGGCAGCGGAAGCTGCACCAAAACTCCATCGACGTCAGGGTCCAAGTTGAAATCATTTATCTTCTTTATCAAATCTTTCTGGCTGACATTTTCCGTCATGCGAATTGTTTCCGCGAGAATTCCAATGGAACTCGCGGCTTTTACCTTTCTGCTCACGTATACTTCACTTGCGGGGTCGTTTCCTACGAGAATTGCTGCCAATCTTGGGCGCTTTTTTCCGCTGGAAATCCAAGAGTCCACTGATTTTTTTAGATCGTCTTTTATTTCTTTGGCTATTGCTTTGCCGCTAATTACTACTGCGGTTTGACGCCTGCAAAAATAGTTGTTGGAAATTTTTGAACAAATATTTGTAAGAATACACTGATAGAAGGATTTATTAACAATTAATTTTAATATTTATTTAGGAGGAAAGTTCATTTATATTAATAGTTGATAAATTAGTATAAGGGTAATAAATTAGTATTTATTAATAGTTAACAAATATTTATTAACAGATATAAAGTTTGCTTATTAACAAAAATCATCTTTATAAATTATTTGTATTTATCATTTTATCAAAATTTAAATTGTTAAGTTATAAAATACTAAAAAATCAAAAATATTAGTTTTTAAAGTATTGAATCAAAATTCTAGTTATAATATTGAAATAACCAAAAAATCGAGACTTTTTTTTAAAGAAAATTAAATCCTCTATAAAAAAGATTCTTATTTAAATTCTAAAGTTTAAAATCATTTTATAATACATAAAATCTTTTTTATTTTATTACAATCAAATTTCCCCGCTTTTTTTCACGCATGCGCCCTAAAGATTTTTTTTCTAAATTCTGGATAAAAAATTGTTTATTAACTTACCAGCTGCTAGAGTGGAATTCCCGCTTTAAACTAACGCTTAATAACTTTAATCTTCGCATTGTTTAAAATAACCAATGAATAAATAAATAAATAGATTATTACTTGTTGAGTATCTAAGGTTAGATTTATTAATTTATTTATTTATTTAGAAAACTGGATTAAATAAGCGAGACGTCGACAGATCTGTCGGAGGAAATGTCAAAGCAACGTTTTCGCGAGAAACTTTCTAGTTGTTATTAAAAAAAATATATTGCAGTAACTACTCAATCTCATTTGATAGTTTATCACTGACGTACATAACAACCATTGCCACATGTGTACTTGTTATTTATTTTATCGATTATTTCTTAATAATTAAACACTCAACTGCATTTTTTATTATCTTTTTATTTTATGCGCTATTTACAACAACATAAATTAATTAATTTTTTAATAATTAATAAATTAAATAAAATAAATATATATTTTTTGGTGGTAATTGAGATATTTTAAGTATCGACAATTGAAAAAGTAAAATTTACCATACTTAGTAAATATTTTTTTTTTTTAATTTTCAAGACTTGAAAAAAAGATTAAAATTTTTGGAATAAAAAATTCAACTATAAATTTATTGTATTTTAAATAATTTTACAAGCGAAAAAAATAATTCTAAAAATTACAATAAAATTTATTTCTAAATAAAAATTACATTTATATAATTATAAATATCAGCTCCTAAAATTTTTATTTCTAGATTCTTTCTCTTTTTTAAAATTCTTAGTATGCAAGTAAGGTAGCGCAGGTAATGAGGAATTTTTCTTAGGTACGTCGGGTTTTTTAAGGTAAAATTTTCCTAGCGAAATAGATCCAATAAACAAAGACTGTTTCTGTTTTTTTTCCGTGTCTTCATCCTTGCAGCCCATTTCTTTAATCAAGTGCGTTCTCCATCTGAAAATTAATAAATTAATTAATTAATTAGTGATGATGCTAAAATTAATGGAAATTAAGTTAGTCAATATTTAAAAATTTTTAGAATTTTTTTTATTGAAAAAATAACTATCAAAAAATAAATTTTTATTTATAAAAAACATGAAAAAATTATAAGTGTAATTTTTAAAAAATATTATTCAGACCTAATTGAATAATTAAAAAGAAAAAAATTAAAAACTTTTCGGCTATAACTTTAAAAAATTGCACTTATAGTTTTTAAAATTTTCTACGTGTGAAATTTTTTCTTTTAATTTTTTTTTCAATAAAATTAATTACAAAAATTTTAAGATGGCTAATTTAATTTTCATTAATCAGTGAGTCAAATAATTAAAGTAATAAGTAATGACAAACCTGCCAGCACTCTCGTAAGACCGCGGAGTTTCTTCGCTCGTAAGCCTGCGCTCGAACCTCTTTTGCAGTAAATTTTTTGAATTCTCCCGCGCGATTATAACCTGCAACTCGCTTAAAAACTTCTCCGTGAAGTTATCTTGGGTAAAAAGCGCGTGTTGCAGAAGTTGCGCGCAACTGAGCCGGGTTTCGGGGTCCATTTTCAAAGTTTGGGATAAGAAATCCAAAGAAACCGAACTCCAGGAAGGAAAAAGGTTCTTTAGAGATTTCAATTCAGACTCGTCGGCCATTTTGCGGTGCTTTGACGCTACGCCATTTTTGTTTACTATCCACTGATGTTTACTGCATAGTCCACCTAGAAAATTTAATAAGTAAAACAATAAAGTAATATTTTTTTGTCTAATTAAGAATTTTTTTAGAAGTTAGTTTTTGGTTTTGCCGCTAGGTGGCTACGCCTTCTCGCTATTAGAAATATTTTACCAAAGTATATATAAGGGTAAAATTTTCTTCTATCAGTAAAATGTTTTATAGAAGAAAAAAAATTCTTTCAGTCCAAATTTTTCAACTAAAATTTTTTTTCTGTGTGTTAAAATTAATAATTACTTACCAAGTACCCTAGTGATTTGATAGAGCTGATCGACATCACTGACTCCAGGAAAAAGCGGATCTCCTGAGACCATTTCAGCATACAGACATCCAACTGCCCAAACATCCACGGGCTTTCCATACCTCAAGTCTCCAATCAACAATTCCGGAGCACGGTACCACCTCGTCGCTACGTAATCAGTGCAACTCTCATTACCGGTAATTACTCTTGCAAATCCAAAATCGCAGAGTTTTATCACGCCATTGGGAGAGACCAGAACATTTTCGGGCTTGACATCTCGGTGCATTATCTAAAAAATTTTTTATAATTGATAATAAGAATGTACTGTACGAAAATATACGAGTAAAATAATATTGGATGAGCTTCTGGTGCATTAAGTGGCCAATATGTGTTTTATCAGAGCACTCGACCGGCAAAAAGAACAACCGTGCCATTCATCGCCTGCAGGAAGCAAAAAACTCACATGGTTACTATGGCAGAAGTTCAATCCGCGCAGTACTTGGAATATGTAGCGACGAGATACTTGCGGGCCCAATCCGTTCGATGAAACTTCTAGCTCGTCTAGAACAGTGTGGTCTAAGTACTCAAAGACTAGATAGAATCTTTTGCGCCGACGAAATACTTCAATCATGTTTACCAAATTGTCGTGTCGTAATTTCTACAATTTTGAGAATTGTTAATTGTTTTTTAAATATACTATTTACGCAGAAAAAAATAGTTTGAACCAGATTTTATATTAAAAATGTCTCAAATGTTCTCTAGGCAAGCTGGCTATATTCTAGAATATTGTTCTGCTTCATCCAATATATCTTTTTTTGTATAAAAATTTTTTTTAAATACAATATTTTATTGTTTTGTAACTAAGTAGTTCTTCAATAAAATATTATACTAACAGAAGAAAATTTTTTCTTTATATATACTTTGGTAAAAGTTTTCTGATAGCGAGAAGGCGTAGCCACCTAGCGGAAAAACCAAAAACTAACTTCTAATAAACTTCTATCAAAATAGTTTTCTTGAATTAAGGTATTTTTTCTTGAAATATTATCTAGAGAAGAACATGTTCTTAAATCTAATATATTTTATTTGGATAATAATTTTTTAAAATACAATATTTTATCGTTAAACAGCTACATAGCTCTTCAATAATATATTTTACTAATAGAAAAAAATTCTTTCGTTATATATACTCTGGTAAAAGTTTTCTGAAAGCGAGAGGGCGTAGCCATCTAGCGGCAAAACCAAAAACTAACTTCTAATCAAGTAAAGCTCTTTCAGATTAAGTTAAGAATACAAAAACTTTAAAAGAAAAATTCTTATACCATTAAAAAATAATTAAACTTTACTTAATTATTTAAAACTTTTGATTACAAATTTTCAATATCAAATTTTCTTAAATCAAGATTTTCTTCTTCAAAATGTTCTTTGGCAAGATTATTATTATAGCATAAAAGTTGGCCTATTTTCATTTGTTCAAACTTAAGGTTAAACATATAAACAGTCATTTGAACGGTGGCAAAATTCCGGGCCCTAATTATTATTTTTCATCCAACATATTTTTTTTTTTGTATAAAAATTTTCTTTACACAATATTTTGTCGTTTAATAGCTAAGTAATTCTTCAATAAAACATTTTACTGATAGAAAAAAATTCTTCCCTTATATATACTCTGGTAAAATGTTTCTAATAGCGAGAGAGCGTAGCCACCTAGCGGCAAACCCAAAAACTAACTGCTAAAAAAATTCCTAATTAATTTTTTTAAATCCAAAATTTTATCGTTTAATAGCTAGGATGTTTTTCAACAAAATACTGGTCCAAGTTATTTTTTTTCTGAATAAAATTAAATTAGATAAAAAAAAAAAAACATAATTACTTTAAGCATCCTAATTTCTCTAAAAGCCATCTTTCTCACATGAACATCCTCTTCAGTTTCAAGAAACTTTTTAATCGCTACAATTTCTCCAGTTTCGCGGTGCCGACACTTTATCACAATTCCGTAACTTCCCTCCCCCACAACTTCAATATTTTCATACTTGTCCATTTTCTCGAAAATTCCACACAAGCATAATTACTACCACAAAATAAAAAATAATAAAATTGCAAAGAGAAGAAACGTCCGGTTTGTTAGAAAGTCAAAAACAGAATAAAGTTGACCGAGTAATCGATCGGTAATTATTGTTTTCCTTTTTGCAAGACATTTTATTTAGTCTAATATACCGAGTGGGCGTTCACTGGATACGAATTAATGTTGGCTTGGTTACTGAAGCTTGGATTACCGATCCTGATACAGATAGTCACGGAAAAAATGTACTTTTACAACTTAAAAGATATTTTTACTCATTACATTGTCGGTGTAATTATACCGAGAGAAGTAAACTTTTACGGATAATTAATAATGCAAGGTAACATAACATCGGCGCTGACTTTTTCAAGTTCAAGTGCTCGACCTTTGCTCATTGTCTGAAATTTAACGAAAGCAAGCACGCAAATGCTAAATATCACCTTCGTTGTTATTGCTAACTAAATTGTCGTGTAATTATCGATTAAATGTAATGAGAAATTAGTAATGATTAATTTTATTCTTACGTGAACTTCAACTGAGCTTCGTTCAATATTATAAGGACTCACTGGTTTATTTTTGGTAGTTTAGTTACCCGAGTTAATCAATATCTTTCGATCGGGTTATTTATAGTTGAGTTCATTGACATTTATTTTATTTTAAACATTTTTTCTTTATTAAAAAAAAATATTTCTTTTTCTATAATTTAACAAATTTAATAAAATATGATAATTCATCTTATTTTAATCGTAAACAAATAAATAAGCTTATATTCCTTATATTTTACTAAATAACAGTCCTGAAGTGAGATAATTTGGCGACTCTTCGCCACCTGTCGGATATTTTAAATACTAATTCAATAAACCCCCAATTTAAAATAATTTTTTTGTGTTTAGACTCGATTGTAATTGATCATGAATATTATTTTGATTGATTTGTAATTTGAAAAATTATTAGTGTTGTTTAATTTATTACGAGAATAAGAGATATTTTGTTTCCGGGGTAGTCATATGATAAAATCGTTTTTTTAGTGAAATTTAGTGTCATTGCAAAGATTTTTGATTGAATTTGGGCCTTTTCAAGGTTTTATTTCATTCTCACAGATAGTCAATTTATTATAACAAATATTTAGGCTGCATTTAAAAATACTCTATTTCTAGATACGTAATTAAAAAATGACCTTGTATCTTGTGAAATATTAACATTTTTGAAGATATAAGCTCATCTTGATGTTACACTCAACAAGACCTTTCATTTGAGTACCTACATGCATTTTTGATATATTCTTCATATATCCATATATATAATATATATATATATATATAAATATATAAAATATATAAAAAATTGATGTGGGTACTCAAATGAAGGCTCTTGATGAGTGTAACATCAAGATGAGCTTATATCTTTAAAAATGTCAAAAATTAAGAAATGACTTTGTATCTTGTGAAATATTGACATTTTTATAGATATAAGCTCATTCTGACATTACATTAATCAAGACCTTTCATTTGAGTACCCACATTAATTTTTCATATATTTTATATATTTATATATATATCATATATATGTATATATGAAAAATATATCAAAAGTGCATGTGGGTACTCAAATGAAAGCTCTTGATGAGCGTGTAACATCAAAATAAGCTTATTTTTAAAAATGTCAATATTTAAGAAAGTACAGTGCAATTTAACAATAGTTATTATTTAATAAAAATTCTTTTCTTCTTTCTAGTTTCTTTTAATTAATTCCTTACAGGGATTATTTTATTTTTTCCCCGAAAATGTAAAAATATAATAAACAAATTCTAAAAAATTCCCTTTGAATAAATCTTAAAAATTAAACAAATAAACCAAATTTTATCAAAATAAACTATTAAATCCCAATATAAAATTGTATAGTAATCCCTATGTAAGTATTAACTAAAGAAAAAAAAAATAATTTTATTAATAAATTTAGTTAGACTTAAAATATATGTATTTATAATTCTCTTTTTCTCTTGACTTCATCACACTATAATACGTAAGTATACATCCGAGAATACACACTGCTTACATTAGGCCATCAGTGGAGGGCAGAATCGGATGTGATGGCAGTAACACCAGCACGTGTGTACCAGAGACTGTTCTAACATTACATTTGTTAATCTCCCACAATTTCAAATTTTAATCGAGCCCCTGAAGAAAGTATAATAATAATTTTAAAGAAAATTCCTTGAAAAAAATGAAAATTTTTAGTGAATTAATTAAATAATAATTAATTTAATAAATTAGTTGTGTAATAAGTGGAGATTTTAATAATTACCAGTGATAAGTGTGTTTGTAAATTTTAAACTGACGTAATATGGCAGCTTGTCATCCGCGTCCACTTCAGCACCTCCAAATTCATGATAGTGGTATTAATAATGTCCAAACTGTTGGAAATATCAATCATCTTCAGTCGCATAGTCAAAATCATCAAAATTTACCGGCTCATTATTCCCCGCATCTTTTAAATTGGGTTTATTTAGCAATTGCGGATCAAAATCCGCATAATGAACAGGTATTTTTATTTGGGGCAGCTCTTTAAATGATTAATGATAAAAAATTTATAAAGTATTTTATTTTTTAGAGAAGAAATAAATTTTTTTTTATTCAAGGAAAAAAATTCTTTAAAGTTAAATTATTTTGAAGAATTTTAATTTAATTTAAAGCCAAAAGTTATTGAAAAAATTTTTTTTTAGGAATTTTAATGTCTTGATATAAGAAAAAAATTATTCTAACGAATTTTATTTTTAAAATTCAAATTAAAAAAAATTTTTGAATAAAATAAAATTAATTTAAATCAAGAATTTACTTTTTAATATAGAATTTTAGAATTACTAAAAGAAAAAAAAAATATTTCAGAGTAAAATCCTGCCAACAGTATGGGGAAATTTTCCAACTGCATCCCAGCATCAAAATTACATGCAGAAAAGTTCACTGAGCCCTGGATCAATTCCCCTCGACAGTATCGGCGAGCTCGCGGAACATTTCAACGAGCTGGGCCTTTTGGACAAAAAACCTACAAAAAGACCTCCTTCGACGTATTTGTGTCACTTGTGCTTCAGAAAAGGACATTACATCAAAGACTGTCCTCAGGTAAGTTATCCAAGTTCTAAATATTAAAATTGATCAAAAAAAAATTATTTCAAATTATTTTATGAGCTTTTTAGATATCCAATTTACTTTTTTTTCTTTAATAAATTTTTCAACGATAAATAAGCAAAAAAAACCATTTTTATTATCAACATCTATCATAAATTGTGAGTTAATCTTGGACTTGGCTATTCAGTTTACAAAAAAACTATTTTTCTAGAATTTATAAAAATTTTATAGTCATCTTAAATAAGCCTAAGTATTTATACCTACAAATTACAATTTTGAGTTTTAATGCGCTTTTTAAAAAAATTTTTCTCTTTTAAAATTTTTTTTTTAAATTTACAAAAAAATAAAGTCGCTTATTTTTGAAAATTAGGTATACCGCGACCTAGATCATGAAATCCCGAGTAATATGAACCCAAACAACCCGGTTTAATTATCACTTTATCATCAAATTAACGGCATTAATATTTTATTAATCAATTAATCAAAAATCGACCTGCGGCGGATCAACTCGCGCGACGGCTTATTTTACGCGGAATTTTATGAGCTTCTTAAATATCCAAATTATTTTACTCAAAAATTAATTTTTCACTGTACAATCCGGCATTTAAATAACAATTTAATGTATCTTAACCAATTTTTGGGTACTTTGATACAGTAATTTAATATAAATTGTACCCATTAGAAAATTTTTTATTATTTACTCGAAAATGAACTTTCTTATGTGATCTAAAGATTTTTACAAAAAAAAAATATATATATAAATTGTACTCACTAGCAAAAAAATTATTTAAAAAATCCTCAGATTGATTTTAATTAATAAAATATTTTTTAACTCAGAAAATTTTCTTAATTTAATTTAAAAAAATAATTTTTTTTAAGTTTAATCCACAAATTTAAAACAAAGAAAATTTTTTTTTCTAAGCGGGTATTTTTTTATTAATAAAATCGCTCTGCATGCCCGTGAATATCGTTATTTTCAGAATAGTCTAGGTACTTTAAATAGTTTCGGTAGACGCGAACAAGATTTTCTTCATTTCCGCCAAATTATATATTTAGTTATTTTCCATATACTGTTACTGAATTTTTTATTTTTTTTTTTTTTTAAACAATTTTATAAACTTTATTTATTTAATAAAAATTAAAAAAAAATTTTTTTTAACTCAGTAAAATTTAAAAATTAAAAAGAAGAAAATAAAAAAAAAATATTTAATTAGGTTTATTTATAACAATATTTAACAAGAGAAATATAATGCAGGAATAGAATGACGTAGACTCGTAAAAAAACTTATATATATATATATATATATGTGAGGAAGCATGTGTGTTAAATTTAAAGAGCAACGCTGCGTCGAGGGGGTGGAGCGGGAAGCTAAATGTATGAAAATTATATTTGTACTTGTACTTGAGTTTATATATTAGTATATATTTGTGTGTGTTGTATATTTTTATTATTATTGTTATTGTAGAGATGAATATATAGAAGTATATGTAGGATAAATGAAACGCGGTTGGTGGAATGCAAACATTCATCTAATTGTCATCGACATACAAACTGTCAACCCGCAACTCAATTTAACCTTTTAATTAATTCAACCAAACTATTTAGTTTAATAAATAATTTCTGCTGGTATTCAGGTTCTTTGTTTATGTCAGTTCATTGATATAAAATTCTTTTTTATAGGAAATAAAATTTTGTTTATGTAAGATTTAAATTATTTCAAAGAAAACTTTAATTGTTCTTATCCTTAATTTGATCTAAAAGATATTAAATTAATTAGGAATTTTTTTTAGAAGTTAGTTTTTGGTTTTGCCGCTAGGTGGCTACGCCTTCTCGCTAGTAGAAAAATTTTAATAGAGTATATATAAGCGTAGAATTTTTTTCTTTTATTATTCAGGTTTTTTGTTTGTTATATTAGTTAATTTATATAAAATGCTTCTTTATGAAAACTAAATTTGTTTTAAATAAAAGTAAATTATTTTAAAGAAAACTTTAAGTTTTTTGGATCATTAGCTTGATATGAAAGATTTTTAATTAATAAAGAATTTTTGTTAAAAGTTAGTTTTTGGTTTTGCCGCTAGATGGCTACGCCTTCTCGCTAGTAGAAAAATTTTACCCGAATATATATAAGCGAAAAATTTTCTTCTTTTAATACTCAGGTTTTTTATTTATGGCAGTTCATTAATATAAAATGCTTTTTTATAGGAAATGAATTTTTTTTAAGTAAGAGTTGAGTATTTTAAAGAAAACTTCAATTTCTTGTATCCTTAATTTGATCTGAAAGATATTTAATTAATAAGGAGTTTTTGTTAGAAGTTAATTTTTGGTTTTGCCGCTAGGTGGCTACGCCCTCTCGCTAGTAGAAAAATTTTACCAGAGTATATATAAGCGTAGAATTTTTTTTCTAAATTTATAGAATAAAATAATATTTTCAGGCTAGACCAAAAGGAGAAGGTTTGACTCCTTACCAAGGAAAGAAACGTTGCTTCGGCGAGTACAAGTGTTCTAAGTGCAAGCGCAAGTGGATGTCGGGGAACAGTTGGGCAAATATGGGCCAAGAGTGCATAAAGTGCCACATCAACGTGTATCCCCACAAGCAGGTGAGTCTGGGGTCTACGGCGATGTTGTTAACAAGCACCTCGTCTCATCCGTTCAACTCCTTGCTTCGTTACGTAAGTCGCCATTAGACGTTTTTTTTTTATTTTTTTCTTCCTTCATCTCATTTCTTCATTTGTTATTCTGCTCTCTACATAACTTTCAATTCAATTTTTAATCTTCTAATAAATTTATTCCAGAGACCTTTAGAGAAACCCGACGGCTTGGACGTCTCCGATCAGAGCAAGGTACATCCTCAACATCTCTGCGAGAAGTGCAAAACTCTCGGTTATTACTGCAGACGCGATCAATAGCCATAAACTCATTTTTTTTTACTATTTCAATTACTCATAAATTTATATCCTTAATTTGTAACTTTTCGCCGCTTTGGCGCCATGTTGTTTTTTTATTCTGAGAATTATTACTGATTTATTGTTAAGGGCGCTTTTGAACCGCTCAATTTTTTTTTTTATTAATGAGTAAGAAAAAAAAGGGGTTAATTTTTTTAAATTAGGTGTACCGCGACCTAGATCATGAAATCCCGAGTAAAATGAACCCAAACAACCTATATTAATTATCACTATATCATCAAATTAATGGCATTAATATTTTATTAATCAATTAATCAAAAATCGACCTGCGCCGGATTAACTCGCGCGACGGCCCATTTTACGCAGAATTTTATAAGCTTTTTAAATATCCAACTTATTTTATTCTTTACTAAGATTTTCAACGATAAATTTGCAAAAAACCATTTTTATTATTAACAACTATCATAAATATTAAGTTAATCTTAGACTTGGCTATTCAGTTCACAAAATAACTATTTTTCTAGAATTTATAAAAATTTTATAGTCATCTTAAATAAGCCTTAGTATTTATACCGACAAATTACAATCTTGAGCTTTAATGCACTTTTTGAAAAAATTTTTGTTAAAATTTTTTTTTTAAATTAACAAAAAAATAAAGTCGCTTATTTTTGAAAATTAGGTATACCGCGACCTAGATCATGAAATCTCGAGTAATATGAACCCAAACAACCCGGATTAATTATCACTTTATCATCAAATTAATGGCATTAATATTTTATTAATCAATTAATCAAAAATCGACCTGCGGCGGATCAACTCGCGCGACGGCTCATTTTACGCGGAATTTTATGAGCTTTTTAAATATCCATATTATTTTACTCAAAAATTAATTTTTTACTGTGTAATCGGGTATTTTAATTGCAATTTAATGAATCTTAACCAATTTTTGAAAAATTTGGTACTATAATTTAATATAAATTGTACTCACTAGAAATTTTATTATTATCAACTCGAAAATAAAGTTTCTTATGTGATCTAAAGGTATTTATAAAAAAAAAGAAGAAATAAGTAAAAAGATGCCCTTAAATAAAATCAGTAACTTAATCTACATTAGACTGAAAGAAAAAAAAGAATAATAAATTGCGCTAATAAAAAGCAATAACGGGTGTGTTAATAATATGTATAAACTTTGGTCGCCCGTTTATTTATGTATAAATTTCGCAAAAGATATATATTGTTATTAATATTAATAAATATAAATATTATTATCAACTAAGGTAGCGATTCAACAAATTATAAGCTTACTTTATGGATAAGAATTTATCACATTTATTGTATTATTTATAATATAATATAATAATATATATATATATATTGTATACGCTGAATATACAAGCCAAAATGTTAATGCTACAATTGATTTAATTATTTATTACAATTTTTAAAAACACACCTTTGATTGTTTTAGACACTTTTAAGGTAACGAGGATTTGGAATTGACATTAATAATATTAATAATAATAATAAATAGTAATAATAAAAACAACAATAATAAAACAATTTAATATAATACAATATTATTACTATTATTACTTTAGTATAAATATCGAAAATGTACAGTCGTCAAGGATTGGTGACGACAAAAAGCCGATCTGCGGCTGGATCTTCACTGAAATACGCTGCGGAGTTGAACATTGTTGTGTTGACCAATTGAGGTTGTTTGTTAGCCTGAAATGATAATTATTATTTTTTAATAAATTATTAGCAGCCTTGCAGTCACTGTGTGACTTGTGAATTATAAATAAATTTTGCTTTATTAAATAATGAATTTTGTTAAATTGCACTGTACTTTCTTAAATATTGACATTTTTAAAGATATAAGCTCATTTTGATGTTACACTCACCAAGAGCTTTCATTTGAGTACCCACATGCATTTTTGATATATTTTTCATATATACATATATATGATATATATAAATATATAAAAAAATTGATGTGGGTACTCAAATGAAAGGTCTCAACGAGTGTAACATCAGGATGAGCTTATATCTTTAAGAATGCCAATAGTTAACAAGATACAAGGTCATTTCTTAATTATTGACATTTTTGAAGATATGAACTCATCCCGATGTTACACTCATCAAGAGCTTTCATTTGAGTACCCACATGCATTTTGATATATTTTTCATATATACATATATATGATATATATAATATATAAAAAATTGATGTGGGTACTCAAATGATAATTGTAACATCAGGATGAGCTTATATCTTTAAGAATGCCAATAGTTAACAAGATACAAGGTCATTTCTTAATTATTGACATTTTTGAAGATATGAACTCATCCCGATGTTACACTCATCAAGAGCTTTCATTTGAGTACCCACATGCATTTTTGATATATTTTTCATATATACATATATATGATATATATAAATATATAAAAAAATTGATGTGGGTACTCAAATGAAAGGTCTCAACGAGTGTAACATCAGGATGAGCTTATATCTTTAAGAATGTCAATAGTTAACAAGATACAAGGTCATTTCTTAATTATTGACATTTTTGAAGATATGAACTCATCCCGATGTTACACTCATCAAGAGCTTCAATTTAAGTACCCACAAGCATTTTTCATATATTTTTCATATATACATATATATATGATATATATAAATATATGATAAAATTGATGTGGGTACTCAAATGAAAGGTCTCGATGAGTGTAACATCAGGATGACCTTATATTTTAAAAAATGTCAATATTTCACAAGATACAAGGTAATTTCTCAATTTTTTTAATAATATAGATAATTAATAAGGAAAAATGTACTGCAGTTTTTAATTTAAATATATTTCATAAAAAACTCACCGTAAGTTGATGAGTAGGACTAAAAGACCCCTCCAAATCCTGCTGTTCAACCCTGCCCTCTTCCTTCTGTTCCTCCAACGCACTCTCTACCTTACCATCCACCCTCGGTAGGTAAAATTCAAAGGACTGCGAAATAGGCTGAATAGCCACAGGACTAGCGACACTCGGCGGTGGCTGGTTAAGCAGATTAATAACCTGTTGTTGTTCCTTAGCCTCAACTCCTAAACTTGGAATTCCAAAATCCTGTCCTACTGCTCTATAATACTCCGCAGACAAGAGTACCGAATTCCTATTCGGTGACTTGTTAACTCCCTCACTCTCCCCCAGAGATGGCACCACAAGGGGAATTCCCACGGGAACATCATTACCATCCTGACCATCCGGTTGCACAGCAATGGACCCTTCAATCCTGAAGCTCGGCTGCTCTTGTTCCACTAAACTAATCACTTCTGAACCCTTGGCCTCTTCTGGTTCAGGAACCGGCGGTTCCGGGAACAGTTCTTCCTTCAAGTTTGGCAGAAATCCGTTGATAGTCCTCCAAGTAGGCTCCCAAAGGTTAGAAGTTGGCGTCAACACCCCCGTAGAAGACATCACCAGCAACATATTCTTCAGCGACTCAGGAATGGCTTCAAATAGCAGCTCACTGTGATCTACATGCATATACGACCTGAGCAAATCCAGAACCGTGAGCCACAAGGGTAAGAACCCGGGGAGGGTCAACAATGGGGTCAAGTGATGCAGGAAGACTTTGGAAAGCAACATGGCGGCTCTGACTCTCGTTTCTTCAACGCCAATTGGATCATGGGCCGCAATTGGGCTCAACAATTGCGCCAAAAGCGGGAACAGAACCTGTTCCAAGCACTGGGACCACTCAATTGCCGTCAGCTGGTTCAGGTCCGCCGCCAACAGAGTGCTCTGGAGGTAAGTGATCGCCGCAGCGCGAACTCCTCTTCTAGAATCGCAGCAAAGTCTAGCTATCCCTTGCAAAAGAGGGCGCCAGGCGGTAGGCCACAAGCTCACTACTTCCGTAGTTCCACTTTCTTCCGCCCACCAGCGGAACACCTGAGCGGTTCTGGCGTGCAAGGTGTGCATCAGTTCCAGCAGCTGGATAGGAGCCGCGTGGTAGGTTTCATTTTCAAGAGCTAGGGGGTTCAGTTTAACACGTTTAGTAGGAACCTGGAGGACAGCTTCGACAAAGGTGCGGATGCACTGGATGCACAGCTCAAAGTTGAACGGGGTAACGTGAGCGACGTCCCGGACTAGGAATGTCAAGCTCTCGCAGGACTTTATCAAAGAAACCGGGTCGTGGGTCAGGAAATCCCGGTCTAGGACAATTGAATCCGCGGCAACGGGTAGGGGAGCTTCCGTTCCAGTTGGAGACACTAGAACCCACTCAGGTACGGGACTTATGGGCCTTTGGTCCAGGACGGACCTTTGGGTGGTATCTTCTGAAGTGGGTTTGGGAGATAGCGCACCAGCGCCAGAACATTCCAGCAAACTGAAGACAACCTTCCAATCCTCGCTGCTGTGGATGTTAGCAGCGCCAGTTTTTAGCAGTTCAAAGAGTCCGTAAGCGATTTGCCGGGCTAGGGGAGCTGTTGTTGCCGAGGGTAAGTGGGTCAGTGGCATCAGGGGAGGTAGAACTGTAACAGCAAACTCTTCACCTCGAAGAAGACGAATTGCCAGTCTTAGCATTCCTACGGCGACCCGTTCCAGGAGGTAAGGGTGGTTCTCACGAGCTGCTGTGGTCAGCAAGCCGTCCATATGTGCGAGGACTATCGGCCAGATGCACATAACCCGGTCGCGGTTCTGGATGGTCACTTCTAGAAGAAGTTCCAACAGAAAAACTGCGATGTCTTCATCATGGGAATTCACGGAAACTAAAGCACCCACTAAAGGCCTTAAAGAACTTTCTTGCAAGAACTTGGACTCTTCTAGAATCTGCTTGAGGTAGCAGTTGGCGATGCAATCAGCCGCGCGTTTCTTTGCCGTAGCTTCCGCAGGATGCGCAACGCGGCTGTCCAATGCGATGTAGGAGTACAAGCTTGATAGAATTCCTTGGCCAGCTGGGGGCGCTTTGGGAGTCGTTGGTTCTCTTAGCAGTGAAACTTTCCCTGAAGGATCCAAGAAGTCTTCTCCGTCGGTCATGTTCTTTGGCAACAACCTGGCCTTGTAAAGAGTCTGCATACAGTCGATGATGTTCTTCCAAGAAGCTCTCAATCCGTCGCCATGCAGGTGCGTTATTTTAAACAGTGTTCTTGCAGCTAATTGGCAACGTCCGCTTCCTCCGAAGTGGAGGATCACTTGGTCAGACTCGCCACCTGTCGCTAATCCAGTGAACTTGCACAAAGAGACTATTAAGGTGTCTAGATCACTGGTCATGTTGTAGTGGGCGCTAATTCCAGCGCACCATAAGAAAGTTTGAGCAACGCGTCGCTGCAATGTTCTGTCTGGAGCTTTGTCGTAAGCGCGACAGAGGGCGCTTATTATCGGCGCCCAAGCTCTCTCAGCCAGTTCCTTATCCACGAAGCTTCCTTCGTTGCCTACTTTGATGTAAACGCTTTCGGGACTCTCGCCTCTTCTTAGGAGAACCTTCCAAAGGTAGTTTTCCTTCACCAGCCCAGTTTGTTCCGCCGGCATAACAATCTCGTCGCTTTTTATAGAATTGTAGATCTCCTCCAGCATATCTTGATCAAAATCGGCGTTCCCGCCGTTGCAGTTCTTTACATTCTTTTTAAACTGTTCGACTGTCATCGGATTGTTCTGCTTAGTAGCGACGCGATTGTGCTGATCGACGTTTAACATAATCACTGCGTAAGCTAATGTAAAAGCAGCGTCTGCTGAAGCAAATGGCCGTCCATTGCTATCATGCCAGTGTTCTGCAAACTTTTCTAGCAAGTGACTGATCAGTGGCGCCTCTCCCGGGAGTCTAAAGGACTCCAAGTAGAACCTCAACGCCTGGTCAACGCGCATGTTCCTTAAATCCAAGCTCTTGACAAATGAATTTAAGATATTCGTGTTTTCCTTCCGGCTAATGTACTCCGCAATTGCTAATTTGTCCAACATCGGATTCTCTCTCAGCAGTTTTGCAATTCGCTCTGGATCGGGCTCCCCCGGGCCTAGAAGACCGTGTTCGGCAAGCTTCGCGATTCCAGTTCGCGGATGTTCGTTGAATTTCTCGGTACCGTGAGCTAGCCAACGCTTGTTAGTCTTGGCGAGCTTTAGATCTTCGACTGTCGGTAAAACAGGACTAGGGTCGTGCCTGGCTGGCTTGTAGAGATCTTTGTAACCTTTACACCGCGCTTCTATCCCAGCTATTAGCATAATTATAGCGTCTAATGCAACGAATTGAATACTGTGCATACTCCCCATTAAAGCCGACGCATTCTTCGACAGTAACTTCATTAGTTCTTCGTACAAATTTGAAGAATAGAGCCCGCAATCGTAGTTAATATACATTTCCGCAGGCAACCCAGGAATCCTCCATAACCTAGTTATGGCCTCTAATGCTAACTCTCGCTGTTCGTAACTGATCCTACTGCTTTCGGAGTCAATAATCTCCATTAATTTCAGCAGGTAGTGTTCCAGCTGGAACTTTAAATGCTCCCTCTGGGATTCAAATACCAAAAACGCAACTTGCAAATCAGCCGCTAAAATTGATAGTCTCTCAGTGCTCAAAAGGACGATTAGATTCCTCGATAGCTCGTCTTTAATTACTGTTAACAGCGATGGGAAGTTTGCTAATGCATCCGCTGAAATCTCCAGCGCTACTTGCAAAAGACTAAGACCCACATGGGTCATAGTTTCCGTGTTCTGTTTGTCGGATGGGTTGCAAAGCGTAACTAGAAATCGGAACAATTCGCGAATACATAATGCGCCATAAGGAGTCAATTTTTGCAAAGGGGTAAAACGTACTCCTTGTTGGTTCACGTATTCCTGGACTTCATCTACGACTATTTTGGGCAGCTTTTCATCGACAGACAAGTCTTCAACGCTACCTAGCGGGGATTGAGCTAATTCCGGACTTTCGGGGATTGGTTCTTTAGATTTTTCGTCGTTTTTGGTATCTTCATTAGACTTTACACTACTATCTTCTTCACATTTATCGCCATTTTCTTGAATAGGCTTATCATTATCATTAACTGTTTTACCTTCTTGATCCTCTTCAACTATCTTATCTCCTTGATCATTAGCAATTGGGTTACTTTCTTGATCATTAACAATTGGGTTACCTTCTTGATCATTAACAACTGGGTTACCTTCTTGGTTTTTAATAATTGGATTACCTTCTAGGTCTTTAGCAATTGGGTTACCTTCAGAACTACTATCCTTAACCTTATCCTTCTCCTCCTCAATTTTATCCGGCGTTCCTTGATCCAGCGACCCTTGCATATCTACAATATTACCCGCAGGAGTGATAGGCGTCGTTGCCAAATGGTTTCCGCGAATACGTTCCACGGGACTGAGCAAATCCTTAGTATCAGTATCGTCCAAATCATCAATCGCGGGCTTTATTTTCTGCTTAAGATTCTTACTGATTTTCCGCTTGGGTCTAGTGTTTTCAATGCCGTTAGCTCGCATTTTTTTCATATTCGGAAGAACGCGGGTGTCATCTGCGAATTGAGGTAGTCGAACGAAAAGATGGTGGACCATGTCGCGGAGACAGTGTTCGGCAGTACGCCGCAAGAGCTCGCTGAGCCGGGTTTCAAAGCAAATTCTGAAGCAACTCAACATTATTTCGCAGATACTCTCGTCAGAAAGGTGGTCCCCGATAGGGGCCAGTACTAGCGCTCGTAGCACCTGGAGGATTCGCATTAAAACTACGCCATCTGATGAAGCGTCTGTTCCGACAAAACGCGCATGCGTTACTGCGTCGGAAACTGCTTCCACGCACGAACTTATTGCCGGGTGGTCGTTATCTGAGAAGTTGGGGTATAGAGAGTTAGTTTAGAGATAGAAGATTGGAAAGGGAAGAAGATTTGAGCTTACCTATCAATCCGTAGGATATTATTTTATTCACAGCGGCTAACGCGAGACTTGTTACTGGACCTGTTGTTTCCTCAGAACGGATTATTTCTAAAAATGGCGCCAAGAACACCCCTGGTTCTAGTTGAGACAGACTTTTTGAGTCGCTCAAGGCTTCTTTTAAGGTTGTCAAACCTTTCATCAGGACATCCTGGTCTTCGTCCTGGAAAATTATGTCCCATAGCTATTTTAGGTGTTGTATTTGTTTATTTTTTTTTGTAAGGGAGGGAAATAATTTTTTTAAGGTTCATTTTTATTTTAGAATTGAGAGAATTATTGTAAAAATTAAAAATCTTGTGGTTTTTAGTTTAAAGGGTTAAACGCGTTTTTCTCAAAACTATGTTTTCAAAGATGGTGGACAAGATTTCTCGAGAACTACCTAACCGATTTTAATGAAACTTTAGACAGGTCTTTGAGATATAATTTACAAATTTACAAGGTCTTGAACGAAGGATTTTTTTTTTTCAATTACAACTATTTTAAAAAAAAAATGCCGCGAAATTTTGAATTTTTTTGTAAAAACCTCTGCCAAAAATACAATTTTCATTTTTTTTTTCCGTCGTTCAAAACTTAGTCTTAACTAAAGCAAATATTTTTTTTTTTTTTTTTAAAAATTAAATATGTATCTTTAAGACAGTAAAAAGTTTGAATAAAATATTTCATTTTTTATATTAAAAAAAAATTGTTAAAAATAGGCCATTTTTTCCGGAGAAAACCCATGTAACCCCTTAATATTCTGAAAAAAATTTTTGAATAAGTTTAAAATAAAATTTTAATAAATAAACTTTTATTTCAATGATAAAATTTTTTTAATTTATTCAAAATTAAGATAAAATTGTTTTTTTTTTTAATTTCTAAAAAAATAATTAAAAAATATTTTATAATATTAATAATAATTATAAAATAAATTTAATAACTAAAGTTAATCGACATTTTTGATTTTTTGGTTAATTAATTAAATTAGAACTAAAAAATATTTTTAAAAAATTGCACATACTTTTTGAAGATTCTTACACATGTAAAAAATTTTTTAATTTGAAAATAAAAATTTTTAGATGTCAGCTAACTTTATTTTCATAAATTTCTTTAAAATAAAAAATTTTTAAAATAATTTTTTTAATAGAAAAAAAAATGTTTTTTTTGGAAAATAAAAGTTTCTTTTTTCAATTGTTTTGTAATTAAAAAAAAAAATTTAGGTATAAAAATTTTATTTTAATAATTTAATTTTATTGAATAATAATTTTATATTATTAAATTAGAACTAAAAAATATTTTTAAAAAATTTCACATAATTTTTTAAGTTTTTTACAAATGAAAAAATTTTTTTTTATTTAAAAAAAAATTATAAAAATTTTTAGATGTCGCTAACTTAATTTTCATAATTTTTAAACTTTTATTTCTTTGAAATAAAAAATTTTAAAAATGTTTTTTTAAAACTAAATTAACAATCTGTTGATAAAATTAAAAACCTAACCTAATAATTAAAAAAAAAAAATCAATAAAAATAAAAAAAAAACAAACCTGATGTGAATGCGATGACCATCTTACACCACGTCGCATCGCGGTCATTAACAGAGAGACCTCACCCTCGACGACGTAGAGCCCAGCTCCAGGACACCCTGACTTGGACATCCTGATATTGGTGTTGTTCACACTTGTCGATCGTCTGGCTGTCTGATATCACTCGGACTGCACTATTTACCCAATAAATATACTCACTCTCTCATCTTGACATCATCAACTCGACTGGAGCTATTTTACAGAAAATTGACAGATAGCTCATCAGCATCCACATGAATTTTCTTTTATAATTAATTTATTAGTTCCGTATAAAAACTAAATGTAAGCGCAAACGTGTTAAGTAGCACGGAGTGAAAAATTAAAAGTGTTCACGTCAAATGTCAGACCGAGCACACGTCGAGATTCCAACACATTATACTAACACCACATTCCTGTATATGTGTACTTACATAAATAAATATAGGAGCCGATACTAACGACATCTTGTTCGTAGATTTGTATCTAATAAATTTACCTTGAAGATTGGAGAATGAAATCTAGCTTACCTGTAGCCAACATTTAAAAATTTTTACAATAATTAATTTTTTAAAAATTAATTTTTTTGAATTAATTTATTTATTAAAAATTAATTAATTTAATAAAAATCAATTAATTGATCGAAAATTGATTTTTTTTTAAATTCATTCATTTTTTTTCATCCAATAAATTGTTACAAAAAAAAAAACAAAAATTTTTATCTGTAAAAAAAATTTTTAAATTTTAAATAGAATTTTCATTAAAAATAAAGTGCAATTTTTTTTATTGTATTTGAAATAAATTAAAGCTAAGTTAAGTTAGCTGAAATTAAGAAATTTTTTTTCTATAGAAAAAAATTAAATAAAAATTTGTAATTGTAAAAAACTATAAATGGAATTTAAAAATAAGCGAAAGCTTAAAATTATTTATAGATAAAACTAGGGTAAATGCACCAGTTGTTGACCGGTCACCAATTAGTTGACCGATGTATAAAAAAGTTAATTAATTAATATTTTACAAGGGTTTTTTTTTTCTTAAAGTATTAAAATATAAATATATGGCATTTAATCATCATAATAAAGAATAACGCAATTAATTGCGCAGTGATTATAGCTTTAAAAAAATATTCAGAGTTTGTTTACAACGCAACCAGCCATAAAGCGGTCAAAAATAACTAGCGTACAATTATTGGAGAGTGAGTGCATTTCATCATTAATTTATTTTTATCGGCATAATATCAAATATTTTAGTTTTATTATGTTAATAAAAGATCAGATTCCAACTTTTTTCGATAAAATAAAGTGAAATTATAAGTTTTAATATTATTTTAAGACCGGTCAACTATTGGATCCGTCAGAAGCCCTTTACCCAGTCAAAAATTCATTCGGTCATTTATTAGACCCTCTGATTTTATCACAATCCAATTAATCACCGTATATTTATAATACTAACTTCTTAACTTGAAAATTAAATCTGTCAAGTGTTTAAAGTACTTTAGTCATTCAATATTTTGTAAATATAAAAATAATCATTATAAAATGTATATTTATAATTAAAATAATACTTAAATTCTTTTTTGATTATTAAATTTTATTTTGTTGTAATTTTTTTAGTGAACGGTTATATCAAAGAACGAATTATTAGAAGAAAAAATTGCTGAGCAATTAAAAAAATAAAAAAGAGTTACAAGCTAGAAAAAAAGCTTTAATTGAAAAAAAGAAGAAGAATAAAAAAATTTCAAGTGAATCACAAAGAATTATCGTCATCAAAATGAATTTGTGATTATTTGTGACCTAAAGAAATGTGACTTAATGTTAATTATTGCTATTATTTATATTATTTTATAAAAAAGTACGATTTAAAATTATATTGTATGTTTAGTTTTGTTAAAGATGTCGTTAATACTTCAAAAGTACTGTATAAATTTAATTACATACATGTAGTTTACAAAATTACTTATAATTATTTGAGCGGTCAATTAATTGGAGAACGGTCGGTCATTTATTATTGGGTTTCTTCGGTCAATAAATGGTGATTTTAGTATTTCAACATTCAAATAACAAAATTAATATAATTTTGTTAATTTTTATTATTAATTAATATTAATTAAGTATTTAACTTTAATAAAAGCCATTATACAAATTGTTTTTAGTAGGTTAATAGATTTTTTATAGCTTAGTACAGAAAAAGAAAACCTTAATCGGTCAATAATTGGTGCATTTACCCTATTATTTTAGAATTTAATTGTTTAATATTTGTTTATTTTAAATTATTTAACATTCAAGTTCTATGTTTTTATTTGTTTCTCATTTCATATATAATTTTTATTATCTAAAAATTATTTCAGAAAGTGCATTATTAAAATTTATTCCGATATTTGTCTCAACACTCAAATTCTGTAATTAAAGAAATATTATTTCATTACTTTTTGAACTAGGTGCTGAGGTAAAACTTGTATTTTTTATTAATTAGATAAATACAATTGAAAAATCAAAAAAAAAATAAAAACTTTCGATTTTTTATTACAAGTATTATATTTTTCTTCCTTCCATTGTCACAGTTGTGATTATTTAACTATACAATGGTTTTTTACAATATTTATTTTACCATAATATTTAATATTTATTAAAAATAAGCAAAAGTTAAAATTTTTTTTTTTTTTTTCTAATTTTATTTAAAGTCGCATAAACTACTAAGGTCATGAGCGACTACGGTAGGGGGTAAACTTTTGAGATTGGAACTCGTTTTATTTCTTGGGCTGAGCAGAATAATACACTTAAATATTGAAAATATTCATTGGTGTACGCCGGACTCGAACCCGGTCCAATGCTTTGGTAAGCAAGGGCCGGATCCGATAGGCTACTGCGCGCCTTTTTAGTTAAATATTATTTATATAATCTGTTAATAATAGAAAAATAATTTTTTTTTTTAGATAAAAAACTAAAACTGGTTTTATTATAAAATTACGAACTATAAAATGCTTTTATAAATAAGTTCAAGTGTTTGTTGTTTAGATACCCAACAATTTCTAATACCAGTTCATACGGTAACGGTATAGCTTTTCTGAGTGATGAAATTTTCTTCAAATTCTCGAGATGTCTTAATCTTTCCTTAGCCTCTTTTATCCTGGTTTTAATTGGATTATAATAGTTCACATAGAAATTATAGTCATCAGAACGCTCCTTGAAAACTTTATCTAGGGCATCCAGTAAATTCTCTTCTCGAGCCAAAATTTTTAATTTTTTATTATCAAAAACTTGCATCAAAAAATCATATATTGTCATTTTATAATCACCGAATTCAATAAAACTGTCCTGTAATTCTTTTTCAATGAAATTTATTTTGTAGTTATTTACAGTCTCTCTGAGTTTTTCGTCATTGGCAACTAATTTCTCCATCAATTTTATTTCTTCTTCTGGACCAGGTAATCTGAATACACTCCTAAAGACCAGATCTTTTAAAGCAATTTCTATACAATCTTTTCGATTTTCTCTGATTGCCAATAGAGAATCAATTCGCTCAACTTCCGAAATGCTAAATACTAAATCCTCAGAATTTTCATCTATATGAAGCGAGGCGTAGTATAAAACCCTAGATAACGACATAGAAGTATAAAAAGGCAAAGCATCCCTCAGTAGCTCTGGACAACCTCTGTAAGCTGATAGATTGGGCAAGAATGTCGCTGGGTCATTGTTTATCAGTGCGTACAGGTCAGTCCCCAAGTCTGATAATACTTCAGACATAAATTCCTCACCGATATAGTCCTCAGCGTACATCGTAGTTTCATGATATCGAAATTTTCCATATTTTTTAGGATGGAATGGATAATGAGTTAGCGGTACATCATCGTTATCGCGGTAGTTTATCAACTTATCCCTCAATTCAGGATCTTCAACATTTGACAAAATATCTGGAATGTAATATAAACGGTCTCTTTCAGCAGCGCACATCAGCAATGTTTTATTTGTTAAGCTTATAATGTCTAAGTTGACTTTTTTTAAATGTTTAATTAATTTTGGTTTATCGTAAATAATAGTATATGCAACTAGTGGCATTTTGTCACCAAAATCGGGACACCATTCTCTGTCTCTGATGTGTTTTGAAAAAATTTCTTGTCCAAATTCAACATCAACATTTGCATTAGCTTTAACCAATGATTTTACTTTACGGGCTGTTTTTGGGTCTAAAGGCCAGAATAACAAGTCAACTAGTGGTTCATGAAAACAAGCCAAAAGAATAGGTTGAGTCCCGTCAGCAGCCATTACATTGACATCTGCTTTATAATCATCAACTAGTAAATCCACCAAGTGATCTTTATTTTTCATGCATGCAACATGCAATGCTGTGAATCCAGCAAATTCTCCAGTTGTTATTATCGGTTCATTTACATCAATTCCACTTTCTAATAACAATACAAGGTCTTCCAATTTGTCATCTTCGATGGCTTGATACATCAGTGAGTTGCCAGCTGTTGTTGGATTTAATTCAGGATCCATTTTATATCTTCTTTACTGTAATAATAATAATAATAATAATAATTAATATTATTTTTACTCTAGCCGTTAACCTAATAGATAAGCATCTGAAGCTTTTGGGAAAAAGCTTTAAATTATAAAAAATATTAATTCAAAGTCGACTGACTAGATATATTCCAAAATTTTAATACAATGATTGAAATCATTTAAAGAAATCATAAAATCTTATTTGTGGACTTACTTAAGGTTGTACGCGGACACTAATGCACTTTTGAAGATCAGAAGCTAATTTTTTGATATGTTATGAATTGCTATCTCATACGTCTAAATTAATTTTTTTGAATAGATCTGCCGAAGGGTTATCCTTTAATAAATTATTAAAAAATTGAAATTTAACATGTAGCCTATAGAGACTATTGGCGGATTGCACATATATCGATTTATGTGACTGCCTCATAGGAAGATTAAAAAACAAAAAACTTCTATTTCAGTCAATCAACTTTCGTAGAATACGTTAAAAATAAAATGAAAATTTTCTGCCGAAGGCTTTTAAAGATATTTTAATGCAAAAGATGAGAAATTCACGAAAATTTCAGGTCGACATATTTAAAAATAAACAAACCACGTGATTCAGCGCAGTGTGGCAACGTTGCACAGAATAGAACGCGCGAATTTTGAATTTTAGTAATTCCTGTGTAATTTTATGGGTTATGTTTTTCAACTCAACACTACACAGTGAGATAAATATAAACAGCTGTTAAGTGCGGTGTTGTCAGGTCCAAGTTTTGTGAATTAAAAAATACTTCAGTCAAACGTTGACTATTTATTGTTGTTGTTAATTAAATTATTAAATTATTTTATTTAATAATAATGTAAGGTAACGATTAAATTATAGTAATGAATTTTCGTATTTAAATTTTTAAGTTTAATGAAAAAAAAATTTAGATTCTACTATGACTTACGGGGTATCTGTTTCAATTTATTATTTACGTTATTTAAATTCACTTCACAAACAATTTATTTTAAATTTTACACGTGGTTTCAATGAAACTTAGAAAAACCTTTAGACGATGTTAACACTAGAACATCAGGACAACGAGTGAGATTTTTGATGACAATCTTAAAGGTATCTAATTTTAGGGCGTTACGGATTTTCACTAATTGGGGGAAACAATGTCCAATTATTTTTCTATTTTCTTGGGCCCTTACCTTCTCTTTTAAGTTGTCTACAAATTTCGCATGAGTTCTCTCTACTTAAGTCAGAGTGAAATATCGCTTTCTCACTTACTTTTATGTTCTATTATTCATCTATGTGTTTGTATATAAGTAAGCGCATTTGAGCATAGACAAAGACATAGATGTGTACTGATTAACATTATATTATTTATTTAAAACGTATGTTGAGTTTAATTATTTAATTGTCGAAATAATTTTATTTTTATCGTTTTATAAATTTGTTATTTTATTGTATTATTTCAGAATTTCAATGTTTAATATTTGTTTATTTTAAATTGTTCAACTATCAAGTTCGATTTTTTATTTGTCTCGTATTCGTAAAGTTCATTTGTTTTTTACTATTTAATTTTTTTATTATCTAAAAATTATTTAAAAAAAAAAGCATTATTAAAATTTATTTAAACATTTCGTCTCAACAATCAAATTCTGTAATTAAGTTATTCTAAAATCTTTTTCTCTAATATTCTTTTGTCATTACCTGAGTATTTCTTAATTTAAGTATAAGTGAGTTAGCTGACGGATAACAAAAATCCCATGGATCTATTTAATCTTTTTGATGTATACCTGGGCCCCAGACTAATTATGGAAATTTTCCTGGGCCTCTTGCAAGAGTCGAACGTGCCACTTAATGATCGCAATCAAAAAATCTCATATAATCCTTAAAAATGAAATAAAATCACACTCAATTTTTTTAATAATTAATAAATATGTAAAGGAAAAAACCCTGACATGACAATATGTAAGTTATGAATTATTAAACTTTACACTGATACCTCTGTCAACTGTGGAGAATGTGTTACAAAATATTTTACAAGCTCTCTCTTACTTTTGTTTCTTCTTCGTATTTAATATTACTTCATTATTTTAAATTTTTACTGTTATTAATATTAAAATGTAGAAAAGATTATTAGTACACGGGGAAAACGGTTTAGATCTGACCAGATATAATTATATCTGGTCAGATCTATTTATATCTAATCAGACATGGGATTGGAGGCATAATCAGATCTAGTTATATCTGATCAGATCTAAACAGATATAACTATATCTAAGTTGAAAAATTCATCAGACATGAACAGATATAGTCATATCTGATCAGATATAAAGAGATATAACTATATATCTAGGTTGAAAAAAAAATCAGACATAAAAAGATTTTATTATATCTGGCCAGATATAACTATATTTGTTAATTATTAATAAATACTTATATAAACTATTTTACTAAATATACTTTCCTCCCAAATAAATATTTATTGAATGTTAAAAAATATTTATTAGAATTTAATAAATTAAATAATTGTTTTCGAATAAATTAATTTGTTAATAGTTAATAAATCTTTCCATCAGCGTATATTGATAATTAATAATTTGCAATAAATTTGATAAAAAACTTTGTTTATTACGCATCGATCATGGGCACGATTCACTTTACTTGTACCCGGGAAAAACAGATTAGATCTGGCCAGATATAATCAGATCTGACCAGATCTGGTCAAATTTATATATATGGCCAGATCTAATCCGTTTTTCCCGGGTATAAATTTCTATTTATTGTAATTTATTTGTTGTAAAAATTTAAAATCTTTTCTCAGTTATTAAATTTTTACTAAAGGACCTATTTCATCTTTATTATCTTTTCACGCTCACTATCATTTAAATTCTATATTTTTAATTTAATTTTTATCATTTTAAACACTATAGATAAATTATATAAACTTACAAAATATTGAATATAATAAAAGACACTCATTATCTTAAAAATTATAATTATACTTACAAATATTTATATGTTATATAAGTAATTGTAACATTTTTTTTACGTCTCATGTATGGAGCTTGATTTTTAATAAAGTAATTAAGTCATTTTATGTCTTTTTATTTTATTTGTTGAGTTTTTATTAAACAGGATTTTTTTATGAAGAGAAGAAAAATTAAATTTTGTAACGCTGTAACTAAAAATATTATTTCATTACTTGTTGAACCAGGTGCTGAGGTAAAACTTGTATTTTTTATTAATTAGATAAATACAATTAAAAAATAAAAACTTTCGATCATTTTTTATTACAAGTATTATATTTTTTCTTCCTTCCATTGTCACAGTTGTGGTCAATTAACAATGCAATTATTTTTTTACAATATTTTTTCACCATAATATTTAGTATTGATTAAAAATAAGCGAAAGCTGAAAATTGTTTATATAAACTGTTGATAATAAAAAAAAATTTTCTTTTTAAAACTAAAACCGGATTCAATATAAAATTACGAACTATAAAATGCTTTTATAAATGAGTTAAATTGTTTGTTGTTTAGATACTCAACAATATATAATATCAGTTCAAACGGTAACGGTATAGCTTTTCTGAGTGATGAAATTTTCTTCAAATTCTCGAGATGTCTTAATCTTTCCTTAGCATCTTTTATCCTGGTTTTAATTGGATCATAATAGGTCGCATAGAAATTATAATCATCATCATTCTCCTTGAAAACTTTATCGAGGGCATCCAGTAAATTCTCTTCTCGAGCCAAAATTTTTAATTTTTTATTATCAAAAACTTGCATCAAAAAATCATAGATTGTCATTTTTTTATCGCCGAATTTAATAAAGCTCTCCTGTAATTCTTTTTCAATGAAATTTTTTTTATAGTCATTTACAACCTCTCTGGGCATTACGTGGTTGGCAATTAACTTATCCATCAATTTTATTTCTTCTTCTGGAACAGGTAATCTGAATTCACCTCTAAAGACCAGATTTCTTAAAGCAATATATGTGCATTGACGTCGATTATCTCTGATGTCCATCAGAGTCTCCAGTCGCACTTCGTTCGGATGGAAAAGTATTATATGCTCAGGAGTTACATCTATAGGATATATGGCGTAGTATAAAGCCTTAGATAAGGGCATAGAAGTATAAAAAGGCAAAGTATCCTCCAGTAGCACTGGACAACCTCTGTAAGCCGCTATATTGGGCAAAAATGTTGCGGGGTCATTGTTTATCAGTGCATACATGTCAGCCCCCAAATTTGATAATAACGGCATAAATCTTCGATCGAGTGATTCATCAAGTAACAACGTACTTTCATCATATCGATATTTTCCATATTTTTTAGGATGAAATGGATAATGAGTTAGCGGTACATCATCATTATCACGGTGGTTTATCAACTTATTCATCAATTCAGGATCTTCAACATTTGAAACAATAGCTGGAATATAATGAAAACACTCATATTCAGCAGGGTACATCAGCAATGTTTTATTTGTAAGGCTTATAATGTCTACGTTGACTTTTTTGAGATGTTTAATTATTGATGGTTTATTATAAATAACAGCATATGCAGCTAGTGGCATTTTCTCACCAAAATCGGGACACCATTTTCTGTCTTTGACGTGCTTTGAAAAAATTTCTTGTCCAAATTCGGCATTAACATTTGCATTAGCTTTTACCAATGTTGGAATTTTACTGCCTACGTTTGGGTGTACAGCCCGGAATTCAAATTCGTCTAGTGGTTCATAAAAACAAGCTAAATGAATGGGTTGACTCCCGTCAGCAGCCATTGCATTGACATCTGCTTTATAATCATTAACTAGTAACTCCACCAATTTATCTCTATTTTTCATGCATGCAACATGCAATGCTGTGAATCCAGCAAATTCTCCAGTTGTTATTATCGGTTCATTTACATCAATTCCATTTTCTAATAACAATTTAACATCTTCCAATTTGTCATCTTCGATGGCTTGATACATCAGTGAGTTGCCAGCTGTTGTTGGATTTAATTCAGGATCCATTTTATATCTTCTTTACTATAATAATAATATTAATTGATATTAGTAATAATAATTAATGAATTAATTTAATTATTTTTACCCTCTAGCTGTTTGGCTAAGAGATTAGGATTTAAAGCTTATGCGAAAAAGGTTGAAATTATAAAAAATATAAATTAAAATTCGACTTACTAGGATATATTCGAAAATTTGAATATGCTGATTGAAATTATTAAAAGAAAACATAAGATCTTATTTGTTAATCTCAATAAACTAAAAAAGTAAAAGTAAGTAAACTAGTAATCTTAATTAACTAAAAAATAGGTAAATTGTATATACTTACTTAAATATCAAAAACAATCGGCGTTTCTTTGCCTGTTTCAATTTATTATCTACGTAATTTAAATTCACTTCACAAACAATTTATTTTAAATCTTACACGTGGTTTCAATGAAATACTTAGAAAAACCTTTAGACGATGTTAACACAAAGACATTAGAATAACGAAAAAGATTTTTGAGTGGAAATCGTAAAGGTATCGAATTTTAGGGCGTTACTAATTCTCACTACTTGGGGGAGAACAAAGTCCTACTATTTTTATATTTTCGTGGGCCCTTACCCCTTTTTCAAAAGTTGTCTACAAATTTCGCTTGAGTCCTCTCTACTTGGGTCAGAGTGCAATATAGCTATCTCACTTACTCACTTTCTCTTATGTTCTATTATTCATCTATGTGTTTGTGTATACGTAAGCGCATTTACGCATAGACAAAGACATCCATGTGTACTGTTTAACATTATATTATTTATTTAAAACGTATGGATAAATATGTATTCTAATATCTTATGTATGTTGAGTTTAATTATTTAATCGTAGAAATAATTCTATTTTTTATCGTTTTATAAATTTGTTATGTTTTTGTATTATTTCCAAATTTCATTGTTTAATATTTGTTTATTTTAAATTGTTCAACTATCAAGTTCTATTTTTTATTTGTCCCGTATTCGTAAAGTTCATTTGTTTTTTAGTATTTATTTTTTTTATTATTTAAAAATTATTTGAAAAAAAGGATTATTAAAATTTATTAATAAATCCTTTTTTCTAATATTTTTTTGTTATAACTTGAGTATTTCTTATTTTTAGTGTAAGTAAGTTTGCTTAGGTATAACAAAACTTCCATTTATCTATCTAATCTTTTTGATGTATACCTGGGCCCCAGACTAATTATGGAAATTTTCCTGGGCCTCTTGCAAGAGTCGAACGTGCCACTTAATGATCCCAATCGAATAATCTCATATAATCCTTAAAAATGAAATAAAATCACACTCAATTTTTTTAATAATTAATAAATATGTAAAGGAAAAAATCCTGACATAACAATATATAAGTTATTAAATATTAAACTTTACACTGATACCTCTGTCAACTGTGGAGATTGTGGTAAAAATAAATATTTTATATGCTCTCTTTTACTTTTATTTCTTCTTTGTATTTAATATTACTTCGCTATTTTTAATTTCCACTGTTATTAATATTTAAATTTGAGAAAAATTATTAATATAAATTTTTTTTTTATTATAATTTATTTGTTATAAAAATTTAAAAACTTTCCTCTGTTATTAAATTTTTACTAAAGGACCTTTTATATCTTTACTATCTTTCCACGTTCACTATCATTTGAATTTTATGTATAAATTATGAAATTTACAAAATTTAATAAAACAGAATCTACTAAAAGACACTCCTTATTCTGAAAATGGTATAATTACACTTACAGATATTTAAATGTTATATAAGTAATTTTAACATTTTTTTTTAAGTCTCATGTATGGAGCTTGAGCTTTAATAAAGTACTTAAGTCATTTTGTGTTTTTTTAATTACCTATTTCATTCATTTTATTGATTAAGTTTTTTTTTTAACAGGATTTTGTATCAAGAGAAAAATTAAATTTTGTAACATTGTAACGAAAATCATTATTTTATTATTTTTTTAACCAGCAGCTGAGGCAAAACTTGTATTTTTTATTGATTAGATAAATACAATTGGACATAAAAAATAAATAAAAAACTTTATTTTTTAATAAAAGTATTATATTTATTCTTCCTTATTCCATTATCATTGTTGTGGTCAATTAACGATGCAGGGGTTTTTCACAATATTTTTTATTTTCACCATAATATTAAATATTTATTAAAAATTAGCGAAAGCCGAAAATTATTTATCTAAACTGTTAATAATTAGAGAATAAATTTACTTTTATGAACTAAAATTAGACGATATTCAAGCACGAACTATAGAATGCTTGCATAAACATGTACAAGTGTATGATGTTTAGATACTCAACAATATCTAGCACCAATTCAAACGGTAATGGAATAGCTACTCTAAGTGATGAAATTTTCTCCAAATATTCGAGAAGTTTTAACTTTATCCGAGCATCTTCTATCCTGAGCTTGATAGGTTTTTCAAAGAGCAAGTAGTAGAAATGACTCGAGGTTTCAAGTATTTTCTTGAAAACTTTACTTAGAGCATCCGGTAAATCCTCCTCTCGCGCTAACAATTTTAATTTTTTTGGGTCAAAAACGTGCATAAAAAAATCATACATTGTCATTTTATAATTACCGAATTCAATAAAACACTTCTGTAATTCTTTTTCAATGAAATTTATTTTAAAGTCATTTATGATCTGTCTGAGATTTTCGTCGCTGGAAATTAATTTATCCATCAATTTTATTTCTTCGTTTGGAACAGGTAATCTGAATACACTCCTAGAGAATGTGACACAAAATATCTCATAGGCTCTCTTTTACTTTTATTTCTTCTTTGTACTTAATATTACTTCACTATTTCGAATTTTCACTGTTATTAATATTTAAATTTAGAATAAATTACTAGTTGAAATTTTTTTTTATCAAAAAAATTATTATAAAAATTGGACATGCAGAAAATTTTCCAAAACTATTGTAATTGCGTTTAAAAATATTTTTTTAGTTCTTATTTAATTAAAAAAAAAAAAAAATCAACTACTTATTACTAGTAGTAGTAGTAGTAGACGAAAAAAATATTTTTTAAAAATTGCACTTACAGTTTACAGTTTTTAAAGTGTTTTACAAGTGAAATTGTTGTTTTTATTTTTTTAAATTATTTTCTCAATAAAAAAAAATTTTTTTAATTTTTAAATGTCGGCTAACTTAATTTTCATTAAAAATTGTTATTAATATTCAAAAAATAAAACAAACTAAAAAGGTAAACAGACAATCGCTAAGTTATACGGTACGAAATGACATAAATAGAGAGCTAGTGGGGATAAAAAGTTATTGTTAAAACCAGTAACACAGTGCGCCATCTTGCGGTCAAACTTGGCGGCTTATTTAAGAACTTTTTGGAGTAGGGGAAGTCATCTGTTTAAAATTTCATTAAAAATTGAAAAAATTGATGAAAATAAAGTTAGCCGACATCTAAAAACTTTTAGAAATTTTTTTATTGAAAAATTATTACAAAAAAAAAAAATTTCACTTGTAAAAAACTCGAAAAACTATCAGTGCAATTTTTTAAAAATATTTTTTAGTTTTCATTTAATAAATAAAAAATAATTAAAAAATTTTAAATGTCGGCTAACCTTAGTATTATTAAATTAATATTAAATGAAAAATCAGTATTAATATTAAATATATAACAATCTGAAATTATATAAAAAATAACGAATAGCTATTTAACATAATTATATATTTACGAATGTATCTTAAATTTTTATTTTCTTTATTTAATTTTGCAATTTATTACCCATAATATTATTTTTTAACCACAAACTTTACTAAAGGATAAAAATTTAGTCCTGGCTGAACATATGAGAAATGTTGAGCAGCAGCTATCCATTTTTTTCGCTAATTTAATTTCTAATTGACAACCGGAAACTTATAAAATTTACAATTACTATTTCTACTAGTATTTTTACAATCAACTACACAACAATTTTGATGACCCATTATATTTTATTTATTTAATTAAACTAACACACGTGTTATTTTCATAGCTTATAGTAATAAAGAGCCACCCTTAGTTCTGTATTGTCAGCAGCGGATGCTGACATCAGTTTTGTGTCCCCCACTATGCCTTACGCACCCAGCGAATACTGAAAAAAATTAAATTGAAATAAATAAAAATAAAACCATAAATTATTTTGTCTATTATATCCTCGGCTGCCCAATTTTAAAACACAGTACTTAACTGCAAAATTTTTATATCTGATTTTTTTTTTAGTATTGCTGCATTTTTTATAACTTTTAGACCTTCATTTCAATTTGTTAAAAAAAAAAAAAAACTAAAAAATAATCAAGTGACTGCTAACTTTAATGTCATATTTTTTGTCATGATTTATTTTTGTTACAAAAATTATTAAAATTATCAAATATCTGCTAAATTAATTTTCACCAAAAAAATTGACATTTAAAAATTTTTTAATTGAAAATGTAATTTTTTTATAAAAAATTGGTTTGTTAAATAAAATTGCATTCATAATTTTTCAGTTTCTTCTAAAAATAAAATTTTTCATAACACTAAAGTTAGCCAACATTTTTAATTTTTTTTTAATAATTAAATTAGAACAAAAAAATATTTTCTAAAAATTGCACTTGGAGTTTTTTACAAATAAAATTTTTTAAAAATTTGTTTGTAATAATTTTTTCACTGAAAAAAAATTTTTAAAATTTTTAGATGTCGATTAATATAATTTTTACAAATTTTCCTTTCCATGATTTATTTATTAAAAAAAAATTCTAAAAACTTTAAAATATCAAGAAGTTGCAGAGATGGCCTTTAGGGTCAACCCTTTTCCATATTTTTTTAATAAAAATATAAGACTGGACAAGTTTATTATTTTTCTTTAAAAATTACTTTTAAAAAAATTGGATTTTTAATTTTTTAAAGCATCTGAAGATAGAATTTTTCGAAAAAATTTTTCTTACTACAATTTATTTATTAAAAAAAATTTTTAAATTATCAGATGTCTCAATGTCTGTATCATAGTAAGTACAGTGTCTAATTAAAAAAAAAATTTTTCAGAGCGGCTTCAAAGTAAAAAAATGGATTCACCATCAAGAGGCGAAGGTAGCTTAAAATGGCTCTTAATTAATCTTCATTGGTACAACACAATAACCACCGTCTGAACTATGAACTGACACGGAATCAGCCAAAAGTTGATGAAGACTTTATCTGGTTGATACTGCAGCACCGTAAGTTTCATTTTGTAATTTTTTTAATTACAAATATTTAATTATTTTATGGATTATAATGATATTATTCTTTTTATCTCCGCTTTAATTTCTGTCATAGGATTTCTGGTATTTAATCTGTTAATTTTATTTAGTTATTAATTTAATTATATTAAATTTTGTGACTTGTAAATTGATCGTCAGATTGGTTACTAATTAGAGAATCGTTGTAGGTTTTAAAGAGTGATCATGGATCCGGTTTTCGTAAGACTCGTAAGTCATTCATGCCTCCAAGGAACCAGAAAAACCCTAGAAAATTGGTTCCTACGTCAAGGCTTTTGTAAGAATACAAATCTTACCAAATTAAGTTCAAATTTTAGACTAGAGCTGATCTTGCTGTAAGTTTACTTTTATCTTTGTTTAAATATTTTGTTTAGCAGCTTTGTAGATTTTAAGTTTATTATTTATTTATTTATTTATTCGATTTATATGCCAAGGTATCAACCAAATGGCAAAAATACAAAAATAAGTGATATAAAGTATATGTAAGACTATAAACAGGTCTATATAAACACATTAACAATACAAAATTAGAAAAAGAAAAATAATCAATTAATTACAATCATTCAAAGTGGAATGAAATAGGAGTAACAAGGAGTTTAAAAATATAAGTGCCAGACTGTTAGATATAATGTACTGCAAATTATACCAATTTTAACAACTTTAACAACTTGAATTTTCCTCAATAGTACCAGGTATCAGGCTCTCCTTGAGCTCAAGGTCATGAAAGAATTTATAAGCTTTTGTCTTGAAGGTGTTAATACTAAGTGCATTGATGACATCCGTTGGTAATTCACGCCAAAGACGTATTGAAGAGATTAAAAATGAATTAATTCACCGGTAAAGCTTAGTATTTTTATTGATGATAAAGGGACATTTGCTTGACGCGGTAATTGCGCTATTGAAGCTTAGCTAAATCTGATTCAGTGTTAATCATAAACTTCGACGAATCATCATCCTTTTTGACATATAGATTATTCCTTTGTGGACCCAAGCATATTTGAATTTGGATTCCTTGGCTTTTATTTTCGTAGATTGTAGTAGTTTATAAACCTCACCATGAAGAAATTTGTTAATATAAATTTGTCCACCAAGAACAGTGCTGCAATTTGAGTCGAAAATGTTTTTGCTTTCGAGTTTAGGTGACCGACGCTTTAAATCAATAATATGATGACAGACATCAGCTGATTTTAAGTGCAAAATATATGAATGAGATGTATGCTTTAGATTTGAGACACCTTGCTTCTTTTTGGCGTTGAATTTTATTATTAACTTTATATTTATTATTTACTCTATATAATTGAAATTGCCACATTAAAATTTTTAGAACTCTAGCTCTAGTTTTTTAATATTATAATTCAATTTTTATTTTACTTGAATAAGAATTTTAATATTAATCGTTTTGTCTGTAGGGTGAAGACTAATAGAAGCAAAAGGCCCGTACCGTCTCTTAATAAGCTTGCAGTCAAGTTAAAAGTCCAGCAATTAAGCACTATGGGCTTGTTATCGAGCAAGTTCCCGCAGAGACTCTTCAGGACAATACAGGGTGGATGTCTACAACGTTGTCAGGTTCCTATTGACAGCAGTAGCTGCGATGAAGAAAATAGGAGGAAAAATTTCATGATGGTCTGCATTATACACACTGGAGCCAACAAATACTACGTCAAGGCTTCTGTTCAGAAGTTGATTGCAAGTTAACTACAAATTCAGAATTTTTAAGGATTGCCGTTAGATTGACGCCAAACTTTTAATGTATTTTATTAATTTAAGTGGCTATTCGGGTATCAAAAAAATTATTAATTTTCTTTTAATGTTAGACAATTAATTTCAGTTTCAAGATAATTTTTTTTAATGCATTCAGTGCTAGTGAATAAGATTTAAAACTGATTAGATTATTTATTTATTTATTTATTGCCAAAGCCTGCTGGTCAAATGGCAAGTAAAAATAAGAAATATAATTAATTAAAAATTTTAAAATATTAATAATAATAATTTTACAAGGCAAGTAAAAATAAGAAATATATGAAATTAATAGTCATAGAATAAATTAGAGTATTGACTTTTAATCATCATGAATTTATTTAATAATTACTAATTTAAAATCAATTCCACAATAAATAATTTTACTTCACTTTGTTTTAAGGGGGGAAATACGAGTAGAAGGCCATTATTATGTTGATTTTCATTAATTTTTTTTAAGTATAACAAATTAATATTATTTATTGAAACTATCAGGTTATTTTATATAAATATTTATGAGTATTTTTTTGTATTAAACAACAATATAAGTTAACAAATAGCGGAGATATAAGCTGATACACATCATAGGTTGTCATTTGACTTAGCAGTCTGTGTGCAATATGGAAGCCACAATTTTTATTTGAAATCAATGGTACAGAAAAATTACTTCATTTATATGTGTATCTTTCATATGAACCTCAATTCCAAAAAAAAAAAAAAAGTAAAAATTTGCATTTTTTAGAGAGCTGTAGTGAAATTAAGTCGTGATTTTTTACCACTTTTTCATACATTGTTTATTAAAAAAAAAATAGTTTAAATAAAAATATCACTTATTTAATTGAGGTTCATATTCAAGGTAATTTTATAAAGAAAATTATAAGCCATATCACAGAATGATTGGTTTAAAACTCTTTGAGCTAGACTGCACACAGTTTTAAAAAAACTCGTTTGAAAAAAAAGTGACAAAAAAAATTAATGTAAAATAGTATTAAAGTAATTACTAAATCCCTTATTATAACTTTTGAACGAATAGGAATTTTTACTTGAAATTTTAAATCTACACAGAAAAAAAAATTAACTTTAATCAATTAAATGATTTTGAAGAATTTTATATTCTTCATCTGAGCAAAAAAATTAAGAAATTTTCCTTGGTTTAAATAAATTTTACTTGATTTAAGAATTTTTCGTCTTGATTTAAAACAATGAAACTCTTTAAAATTACTTTCTTGGTTCAAGAAATTTTTTTTTTTTATTCAAGTTAATTTTTTTTTTCAGTGTATATTTTTGAACGGTTTTATAAGCGATTTATAAAAGAAAAAAAATTGAATTTTTTTAAGCCTGTACACGTATTTTCCCCCCTTAATGTAGATTATAAAGTGATTATTGGGGTATTAAAAAAATTATCAATTTTCTTTTCATTTTAGACAATTAGTTTCCGTTTCAAGATAATAATGCATTTAGTGCAAGTATATAAAATTAAAAACTGATTAAAAGTCATAGAATAAATTGAAGTAATGACTATTAATAATTAGTAATTACTAATTTAAATAAACCCCACAAATATATCTACTTTATTTTGTTAAATTAATATTTAATGAATAAAAACTTAAATATTAAAAATTTGATGTTATTGACTTTTATTTTTAAATTGATTAAAATAACTTATAATTAACAGATATTTTATAATTTTTCAAATTGTGATTTTAAAAATTTTATCTGTAAAAAATAAAAATACAATGTTATGTATACAAATTTTTATAAATTTTATATTTTTCTATTTTTTTATATTTTTTTTGTTGTTATAATTAATTTTAACTAATTTTATAAAAAATTTGGAAACATAAGCTATTCTAATAATTTTTGTCCAATTTGTGCTTTTATTGAACACCAGAGCGCGCCACTTCTGACATATGTGCTGCCTCTACAGTTAGTGCTCGGTCCCTATTTTTTTGAAGCGCATGCCACGTCACCATTCGCCATTTTTTTTGGTAAGTTTCAACGCATGCGCGGTAATCCGTTTCTTTTCAAATGAGATTTTTAAAATGTAAATTTTCTCTTGAAAAATAAAAAAAAAATTACAGGTCGTCTCAAAAAATTTTGAAGGATTTATACAGACTTAAAGTAGACATAATAATTAAAATTCATTTGATTTCGCAAATCATTTGACGGGATGTTGAGTTCGCGCAAGTCTCAATTAGCAATTTTCTACTATACTGCGCAATTTACTGCGCATCAAGAAGGATATTATTACGTAATACATAATTACTTCTATTCAACAATTGTCAGTTTACGGGTATATGATTATAATTGCGATTTGATTTAGGTAATTCTCATTACTGATAATTTAATTTAACATACATTTATTCTAATTAAGGTATTTATTTGATATATTGATTGGTTTTTTTATTTATAATTTTTTTTACTTGTCCTTTTTTTAATTTTTTTTTTCACTTGACCATTTTTTGATATTCCGAAAAATTAGTTTTACAAAATTGCATTTATAATTTCTCAAAATTTCTAAATGTTCATTTTTTTCATCATTTTTTCTATGTAGCAATTTATTTATTAGAAAAATTATTAAATAATTTTTATTTAATTATTTTTTTTTATTTATTAAATAATTTAAACAATAAACTATTTACCCTTACAAAAATTATAAGTTTTGCATTATAAATCGCGATGCCAAATAACAAAAAATTTAGTTAAATATTATTTGTAGAAAGCTTGTTATTTTTAATTTTTTTTTTTTTTTTAATTTTAAAGAATATTTAGATTTAAACTTTTTATTACTAATATTTTTTTCATAATTTTTTCGTAATAAATTTTAAACATTTTAATAATTGCACACCTCATAGCGCGAAGCGCTTTATACTATTAGACAAGTTCAAGAAATAAGTAGATGTACACCGAGAGTACTGTTAAATTGAACCATCTTTTACTTTTATTTCTAAAATCATTTCATGTTGCTATTTAAAAAAAAAAATAAAAACCTCTCGGAAAAAATTTTGCGTGGACGTCCTGATGTTACCCCATTTTTGATGTACCAACTAATACTCCCGAATAAATTGATATTTTAAGACCGGGACTTTTTTATCAGTTTAAGAATTCGATGAACTGAATCTGTATTTAATATCAGTGGCCTAATTTATGTAATTTTTTTTTTAAATTGAATTTTTATTTAAAAAAAAAAAAACTCGGAAAGTAATTACTTAATTATAATTTTTTTTTTTTAATCTATTACAAAATTTATTTTTTTTTTAAATCAATGAGCGTTATGAGGCGTGGATTTTGGATTTTTAAAACTTTTTATTATTATTATTATAAAATTTTGAAAAAAATCTAATTGTTTGATAATAATAATAATAATAATAATAACATTACAAAATTTAATTTTGTATTATTTCTTCTAACTATCATTTGGTTTAGATGTATTGACACACTTTAAAATTACTGGCAAATTAAACTAAAAGTCGCAAAACGAAGAACGAGCCGCAGGCAAATCCGTATTTAACTTTCCGACTAAGCTATTTTTTCTTAACATTTTTTTTCATCAGATTTATCAAACTACTGACCCCCTAAAATTATTTGAAGTGAAATTATTATTATTAAATTGATAAAACTAACTAAAATTTAAAAAAAATTTGCATTTGCACCATCTGTGTAACTTCTCTAATATGGGAAAATTTCAGATTATAATTGTAATTAGCAAAGTTATCCGAGGTTTTTGATATTTTTATTTTTTTTTTCATTCATTGAATTATAAAATGAAAAATATTTATTAAAAATTGCTGTTAAGGTTTTTTAAGTTTCGAATAAACAAAATAATATTTTTTTTTTTTTATGATTATTTCAATAAAAGATTGACTAGATGTCGGCTGATTTTCATAATTTTTGGGCAAAAATTTAAAAACATTTTTTAATTTCTACAGTGTACATTTTATATAAATTTCATCTTCTGGGAAACTCTTTAAAAAATTAATCTCTAAGTTCAAAAATTTGAATTTGATATTAATAGACGTTGAAATTTAAATAGATGTGTGATTTACACCGAGAAAATACTTAAATTAAACTATCTCATACTTTGTAAAATTATTTCATGTTGCTATTTTGAAAAAAAAAAAAAATTTCAAAAAATAATGATAAAATTTACTTTATCTGCAGAATAAAATTCAGTAGAAAATTAAATAATTGATTTTTTATAACTATTAAAGTTAACATTATTATATTTTTTATTTATTAATTAATTACATATAATATTTTATTCACAGTTCCATAAATATATTTATCTCTTGTTATTATTACAGTAAGGAAGATATAAAATGGATCTTGACTTAAATCCAACAACAGCTGGCAACTCACTGATGTATCAAGCCATCGAAGAAGACAAATTGGAAGATCTTAAATTGTTATTAGAAAATGGAATGGATGTAAATCAACCGATAATAACAACTGGAGAATTTGCTGGATTCACAGCATTGCATGTTGCATGCATGAAAAATAGAGATAAATTGGTGGAGTTACTAGTTAATGATTATAAAGCAGATGTCAATGCAATGGCTGCTGACGGGACTCAACCCATTCATTTGGCTTGTTTTTATCAACCACTAGGTGAATTGGAATCCTGGCCTTCAGACTCAAAAACAGCTCATCAACTAAATTTATTGGTGAAAGCTAATGTAAATGTGGATACCGTATTTGGAGAGGAAATTTTTTCAAAGCACTGCAAGGACAGAGAATGGTGTTCCGATTTTGGTGACAAAATGCCACTAGTTGCATGGTCTATTATTTATGATAGACCAGAATTAATTAAATATTTAAAAAGAGCCAACTTAGACATTATAAGCTGTACAAATCAAACATTGCTGATGTGCGCTGCTGAAAATGAAAGTTATTATTCAATTCCAGATATTCTGTCAAGTATTGAAGATCCTGAATTGAGGGATAAGTTGATAAACTACCGGGATAACGATGATGTACCGCTAACTCATTATCCATTCCATCCTAAAAAATATGGAAAATTTCGATATCATAAAACTACGATGTTCGCTGAAAAACATATCGGGTCGAAATTCATGTCTGAAATATTATCACACTTGGGGACTGACCTGTATGCACTTATAAACAATGACCCAGCGACATTTCTGCCTAATCTAGCAGCTTACAGAGGTTCTCCAGAGATACTGGGGGATGCTTTGCCTTTTTATACTTCTATGCCTTTATCTAGGGTTTTATACTACGTCACGCTTCCCATAGATGAAAATTCTAAGTATCTAGTGAATGTCCGTTCAAACGATGCGCGAATTCGTTCTCTGAGGAAAATCAAAAAAAATCAAATAGATTGCATACAAATTGCTTTAAAAGATCTGGACTTTAGGAGTGAATTCAGATTACCTGTTCCAGAAGAAGAAACAAAATTGATGAAAATATTAATTGCCAGTGATGAAAACTTCCGGAAGATAGTAAATGACTACAAATTGTATTTCATTGAAAAAGAATTACAGAACAGTTTTATTGAATTCGGTGATTATAAAATGACAATGTATGATTTTTTGATGCAAGTTTATGATAATAAAAAATTAAAAATTTTGGCTCGAGAAGAAAATTTACTGGATGCCCTAGATAAAGTTTTCAAGGAGCGTTCTGATGACTATAATTTCTATGTGACCTATTATAATCCAATTAAAACCAGGATAAAAAAGGCTAAGGAGAGATTAAGACATCTCGAAAATTTGAAGAAAATTTCATCACTCAAAAAAGCTATACCGTTACCGTATGAACTGGTATTAGAAATTGTTGGGTATCTAAACAACAAACAATTTAACTTATTTATAAAAGCATTTTATACTTTGTAATTTTATAATAAAAGCAGTTTTAGTTTTTTAGTTTGAAAAAAAAAAATTATTTTTCTATTATTAACAGTTTATATAAATATTTTTTAGCTTTTGCTTATTTTTAATAAATATTAAATATTATGATAAAATAAATATTGTAAAAAACCATTGTATAGTTAAATAATCACAACTGTGACAATGGAAGGAAGAAAAATATAATACTTGTAATAAAAAATCGAAAATTTTTATTTTTTTTTTGATTTTTCAATTGTATTTATCTAATTAATAAAAAATACAAGTTTTACCTCAGCACCTAGTTCAAAAAGTAATGAAATAATATTTCTTTAATTACAGAATTTGAGTGTTGAGACAAATATCGGAATAAATTTTAATAATGCACTTTCTGAAATAATTTTTAGATAATAAAAATTATATATGAAATGAGAAACAAATAAAAAATTAGAACTTGAATGTTAAATAATTTAAAATAAACAAATATTAAACAATTAAATTCTAAAATAATAGGGTAAATGCACCAATTATTGACCGATTAAGGTTTTCTTTTTCTGTACTAAGCTATAAAAAATCTATTAACCTACTAAAAACAATTTGTATAATGGCTTTTATTAAAGTTAAATACTTAATTAATATTAATTAATAATAAAAATTAACAAAATTATATTAATTTTGTTATTTGAATGTTGAAATACTAAAATCACCAATTATTGACCGAAGAAACCCAATAATAAATGACCGACCGTTCTCCAATTAATTGACCGCTCAAATAATTATAAGTAATTTTGTAAACTACATGTATGTAATTAAATTTATACAGTACTTTTGAAGTATTAACAAAAATTATTATGAGCTACGGAACCTATAAAATGCTTAAACTCTTCATCTACAGGAAGCGTGGCAGTATAGCCCAAAATTGGCTATAGTAAATTTATTGAGTTCTTTTAATTCGCCCGTTGGAACGCGGTAGGGCGTTCAACTCGCAGTAAATAGATTAAGGCGGTAGAGTAGATTTAAATTCAAATAAATTAAATTAAATAATATATACATAATAAATTTAAAATACTCAGATTATTCTAGTTTAATTTAGATTTGCCTTGCGCGCAAATCTATTATTTATTATTCAATAAGTTACAAAATAAAAGTACCGACAATAATTTTGGAATAGAAAATATTCGCGTGGCGTACTTAAGTCTTGCTTTTTTGATACGACCTTCTTGTTTTTCGTTGTCCGACTCCCCTGGTTGAGATGTTCGTACCTTTGGAGTGGGAGAGGCCCAGAGGGTAGTGAGGGTAGTTGCGCGCGCCTCTACAGCTCTCATCTTCGGCTAGCATCCCTTCTCGAGTTGGCAAAATGGGACCATGTTGAAATGACGTTACGACAACCCTCGATGTTCCCAGGTCATTTGCAGCCCGCCTGGATGTCTGGTTTTTATGACCTAGCCCTAGGTACTCGAGTAATCCCTTTTTTTTAGCGAACGTTTTGGAAAATAAGCTTCTTAAAAGATTATGACAATAAAAATGAATAAATAAAGATCTCTGGGTTTTCTCTAGTTTCGTAAAGAATATTCCAAAACGTTCGGTATCTTATTCTAAGTGACCATTACAATTACAAGCGTAAGTTTATTTTAACAAGGAAATTTTTCTTAGAATGTCTAGACTAACTGCACGGCACTTAAAAGTTTTTATGTTTTCCCTTGGGAGTTTCCGGTAATTATAAATTCGTCTATACCCTAAAATTTATGATAGAAAAATTCCCATACTTGACAATAGAATTTAAAATAGAAAGACTAGACGATATTTGAAAGATTCTTATTTCTCTTACTAATACTATTACAAATAAATACATATATTTTAAATCTTACTGGGTTTTTCCCGCTATCATTCATTGCAGCCATCTTTTTATACGTAATTCTATGTTAATATACAGAGAGCGTTGTGATCAATCCTTTCTCATTCACAAAACAGTAAATATGTATTGTAAAATCAACGCGCATGCGCGTGACCGCCATGACACAGAATTTAAATTAAACGCTCGTCAGTCTGGCGCGCTCTATTGACCACTCAACACGTGTTTTATTTTTTTTATTAGTTTATTACCCACGGACATTATAAAACTCCTCTTGTATTGTATAATAAACTTAATTATCCTCGTCAACAAATTAACTCACAAAGATGGCGGAAAAATTAAGGTAAACAATTAATACTTTTTTATAAATAATAAATTAAGTTATTTTTAGGTTATAATTTACAATATTTATCATAGTTAAATAAATACTGATTGTTTAATAAAATTAAAACTAAATTTAAATTAAAAAGAAAAAAAAGAAGAAATAATTAATTGAAGGTTACACTGGATCAATGGTTATATTTAATTGACCTTCAGGAGAATGCAGTCGCTCATCCAAGACCAGTGATTTAAAATCAATTTTTATTTTTATTTTACTCATTGTTATTATTGCTAATTATTATTGTATGTATTTCAGGGAAGGATTGATCTTGGGACTGGGAAACCCTCTTCTGGATATCTCAGCTGTTGTCGACGAAGATTTTCTCAAGAAGTATAATTTAAAAGCTAATGATGCAATTCTTGCTGATGAGAGTCACAAGCCGCTGTATGACGAGCTGATTGAGCAGTACAAAGCGGAATTTATCGCTGGCGGAGCGGTTCAGAATACCATGAGAGTTGCTCAAGTAAATTTTTTTTTTTTTTTTTTTATGAAAATTAGCCGAATTTATAGAATTTTTTTTTTTATTAAAAAAAAAATTTTCATGAAAAATAAATTAGCCGACGTCTAAAATTTTTTGAATTTTTTTTACTCAAAAAATTATTACAAAAAAATTAAAAAAAAAATGCAATTGTTAAAAAATTAAAAAACTATAAGTGTAATATTGTAAAAATTTTTTTTACTCAAAAATTATTACGAAAAAAATTAAAAAGAAACAATGCACTTGTAAAAAACTTGAGAAATTATAAATGCAATTTTTAAAAAATGTTTTTTACTGTAAAAATCATTACAAAAAAATTAAAAAAAAAAATGCACTTGCAAAAAATTTGAAAAACTATAAATGCAATTTTTAAAAAAAATTTTTTAGCTGAATTTTTTTTACTAAAAAAATTAAAAAAAAATGCACTTGTAAAAAACTTGAAAAACTACAAGTGCAATTTTTAAGCAATTTTTTTTACTGAAAAATTAATAAAAAAAATTCACTTGTAAAAAACTTGAAAAACTACGAGTGCAATTAAAAAAAATTTTTTTTTAGTTTTAATTTAATGAAAGTATATCAAAAAATTAAAAACGTCGGCTAACTTTATTAATATTCTATTTTTTAGCTTAAATTTTATATTAAAATTCCGTCGACTTAATTTATTATTATTTCTTCTTAAATGTCACATTAATCGTTATCAGTTATCATTTTAATAGAACTGATGCTGCTGGTACTTATCAAAGATTCAGTGGCATGAGATGAGATAAAAGGGTGATGAACGATTACACAATCTTGGGATGATAACAAATTTTCCTATCTGCTATTCGTGTTACGTTAACATGATTATTTTAATTTATTCATTTATTCTGTTGCTTATGATATTTATATTCCCGGTACACAGATAATGCTACGCTTTATTTATTTAAATATTTGTATTTGCAAAGCTTTTGTTAGACAAATCCTTCGTTTTAATTTTATCTTCTGCAAGTAGATCATTTTTTTTTGTTATTTTGAGATTAAAATTTTCCATATTAATATAATGGAAATTTTTGTTGTTTTTTTTTTCAAGAAAAAATATTATTAAAAAATTTTATTTTGTAGAAATTTGACTTAATGAAGTTTTTTTTAATATTTATTTTTTAATTAAAAATTTAATTTTCTTTTTCAATAATAATTTTAGATTATTTATATTTAAATATTTTTGTATGCAAGGCTTTTGTTAGATAAATTTTTTATTTAATTTTATCTGCAAGTAGATTAATATGATGGAAAATTTGATAGTTTGAAGGATTTTTTTTTAATCTAAATTTTATTTCCAAAAATAAATTCTAATTTTTTTTTAATAAAAACTAATAACTTCCAGTGGTTCCTGGAGAAACCTCACGTGGCAACATTCATGGGTTGCGTTGGCAAAGACAAGTACTCCAAGATTTTGGAAGAAAAAGCTCGGTCTAGTGGATTAAATGTAAAGTACCAGTACCACGACACAGTTCCTACCGGAACTTGTGGGGTTTTGATAACCGGAAAAAGTAGATCGCTGTGTGCAAACCTGGCAGCAGCTAACTGCTTCCAGACCTCGCATATCCACGAGCCAGCTAACCAGCTCTTGCTGGAGTCTGCTCAGTACTATTACATATCGGTAAGACAATAATAATAATCTTTATTATTAAGAGAATAAGAAAAATTTTGTTTCCCTGCATTCGAAAATGCTCTATCTTTAGGTACATGATTAAGAAATTACTTTGTATCTTGTGAAATATTGACATTTTTAAAGATATAAGCTCATCTTGATGTTACACTGATCAAGACCTTTCATTTGAGTACCCTCATGCATTTTTGATATATTTTTCATATATACATATATGCAATATATATAAATATATGAAAAATTGATGTGGGTACTCAAATGAAAGCTCTTGATGAGTGTAACATCAGGATGAGCTCATATCTTTAAAATCGTCAATATTTAAGAAAGTACAGGGCATTTTAAGAAATATTTTGTGAACTAATGACATTTTTAAAGATATAAGCTCATTCATTTGAGTACCCACATCAATTTTTCATATATTTTATATATTTATATATATTATATATATAAATATATGAAAAATATATCAAAAATACATGTGGGTACTCAAATGAAAGCTCTTGATGAATGTAACATCAAGATGAGCTTATATTATTAAAAACGTCAATATTTAAGTAAGGGGCCATTCATTAATTACGTAAGGACAATTTTGGTCAATTTTGACCCCCCCCCCTACCCCCATGTAAGTTTACGTAAGATTTCTCGAACCCCCCCTTCCCCTTTCTTACGTAAGATTCTATCTTGATCTTCTAAATAATAAACTTTTATGTTAGAAAAGGATCAGTTTCACTAAAACTTACAGTTCAACGTGGATCCATAATTTTTATTTTTTAACAAGGAATAATTTAAATAATATTAGCAAAGATAAATCAGTAAAACTACAAACTCATAACATTGTTCATAAAATAATATTTGACTAGTTTTAAATTAGTCTCAAAAACATAAATTAAATAGTTAAAGCTAGATGAATTAAAATTATTAATCTTCATCCGGACTAAACGGACTTTTAATCCATGTCATCCAATCAGAGATAATTGGTAGCTCATCAGATGTAATGGTAGATGAAAATGTTTTTTTATTTTTTAAATAATAATAAAAAAATGATAATACGCGGAAAAATGTACTATAATTTTTTCTATAGAACCAAATATGGATAACAATAAAAACATATAACATTTTAATAAGTTATTTTTTACTTTTTTCAATAAGCAACAAAAATTATTTAAATAAAATAAAAATTCGACTGTACACTTTAAAATTAAGAAAACAATTTAGAATCTGAAATGGAAAGATTTTTAATCTTGAATTTTGATTCACGAAATATTACGTAAGAATGAATTTTACCTCCCCTCCCCCCCAACGTAAGAACTTGTAGAGATTTTCTTAACCCCCCCCTCCCCCTCAATACCCTTACGTAATTAATGAATGGCCCCTAAGTACATTTTAATTTAACAACAGTCATTATTCAATAAATCAAAATTTTAATTTTTTATAGTTTATCAGTCACGGCAGTCACATAGTGACTGCAATTTTGCTAGTAATAATAATAACTTTCATTTTATTATTATTACTAAGTTAATAATAATAACAAAAAAAATGTAATAATTTTTTTTTCTAACAAAAATATTATTTTAGGGATTTTTCTTAACAGTAAGCCCGGAGACGATCCAAGAAGTCGCTAAACACTCGCACAAAAACGGCAAGACCTTTATGATGAATCTGAGCGCTCCGTTCTTATGCGAGTTCTTCAAGAAACCAATGATGGACGCGTTCCCGTACGTCGACATTATTTTCGGAAATGAAACAGAGGCCGAAGCTTTCTCAAAAGCCAACGACCTGGGTACTATGGACCGCAAGGAAATCGCCTTAAAGATGTCCAAGATGGACAAGGTCAATGAGAAGCGCCAGCGGATTGTTATAATTACTCAGGGTGCGGATAATGTTATTCTTGCTAAGGATAACACTATTCAGGAATTTCCGGCTACTTCTTTGCCGGAGGAAAAAGTTGTTGATACTAATGGTGCTGGTGATGCTTTTGTTGGAGGTAATTTTTTATTTTTAAAAGTTATAATTGATATTTTTTATTATAATTATACTAAAAGTAGAGACTGAAAAATTTTTATTAAAATTATTTGAAATAAAAATATACTAATGAAAATTATTAATTAAATAGGTTTCATAGCGCAGTACGTTCAAGGTGCAAGCATCGAGACCTGCATCAAATGTGGAATTTGGGCAGCCACTGTTATTGTCCAACGTTCTGGTTGCACCTACGAAGGAAAACCAGATTTTGCTACTTGACCAAAAAAAATCTACATTTTTATTACACTGTATTTTTTATTATCAATAAAAAGACACTAATTGTTTAATATTGATTGCGTGAGGCAATTTTAAAGATTATATACATTATTTTTAATTTATATATTTATAAATTAATTTCTCAATGATAAAAATTGTATTGTACAAAATTATTTATACAAAATTGTATTATACAAAATTTATTCATTTATTATATTAAAAATAATGTTTTATTAAAAATTTACTAATGAAAAATTAAAAATAATTACAAATTTTATCATTTCAGTATCTTAAATGAAAATTCATTTAATTTTTTTTTAAATTTATTAATTATTATTAACAAAAAAATGACATTAAAGTTAGCAGTTTACAAAAAAAAAGTTTTCATTTGTAAAATACTTGAAAAACTCTAAGTGGAATTTAAAAAAAAAATTTTTTATTTCTAATTTAATGATTAAAAAAAATTCAAAACGTCAGCTAACTTTAGTGTTATAACTTATAAGTGAGCCGCCGTTTAATTTATTGATTATTTTTAATTTATTAAATTAGAATTAAAAAATTGCACTTATAGTTTTTCAAGTTTTTAAAAAATGAAATTTTTTTATTATTTTTTTTCTAATTGTTTTAATAAAAAAAAAAATTCTTATATTTTTTAGACGGCTAACTTAATTTCAATTTTAAATTCAAATTTCCCGCGTCAATAAATTTAAAATAATTTTCTAGTTAAAAATTTCCCCGCCAGGCGTCGCATCAGTCCGGGTGACATTTTGTTCGGATGAGTTAGCCGTCTGCGTAAAAACCCATAATCTTTGTTGATTTGTGAAATGTGACGCCTGTGTACCTCATAGAAGTTTACGGTGCGTCGAAGTTATTAATCTGTGATCAGTGTAAAGCGTAAATAAATCTAAAATAAGTGTTGATTGTTAAATCAAACCCCATTGAGAGTGTCAATAAACACCAGTGGATTACATATGGACTTAAAAAAGGTAATTATCACCCGATTGTTTTCTATGCGTGGCTATTGTAATTCTAAAGAGAGATTAACCACAGAGTACAGAGTACCACAGTAAGAGTGAGACAAACCTAGTGAGAAATGTCCAACTGAGAGAGACAGTTGTCAGAAATAATAAAAAAGTTACAAAACGATCGTGATGCTACGGGCGCGCGATGGAAGCGGTGCGCAACTCCTCGGCTAGACATTTAAGTCCACTACGTCTTTTAAATTAATCTGTAATATCGAGCTATATATAATAATAAGAAAATAGAAGGCGTGAATTGAAGTTAAATTGATATATTTTTATTTAAATTACAAAGAACTTATTGTTCCTTAACTTCACGCAATCTTCTGACTGCTGATCTGACAGAAGCAGCGGCGGTTGTTGAGTAGACCCAAGCACCTCCAGCTACGGTTCTCTTGCACCTTTTGCAGGACCAGATACCGACAACACTGCGTTTCATGGCGTCCTGTCATTCAAAATAAATCAATAAATTAATTAATTTCAATCATTTAATAATTAAAAAAAAATATGAAAATTAAATCAGCTGACATTTGATAATATCACGTCAATATTTACACAAAAAAAAAAAAAGTTTTTTTTTAATATTTTTTAATAAATATTTTATAAAAAATTTTAATAAATTTTTTTACTCCAAAAAATTTTATAAATATATAAATATATATAGACATACAAATGTATAATTACAATTCAAATTAAATAATTTTATTGCGGCCATCTTGTCAATCTCAAGGTCTTCACAAAGGTTCTCATCCCCGTGTGCAATTAAATTGCAAAATTCGCGCCTAAATTTATAAAAAAAAAAATTTATACTCAATTTAAAATTTTTATTATAAGTAATTATTTATTAAAAATTTATGATGATTATTATTTATTATTTTGTAAGTTGGTAATTTTTTATATAGAAAATTGTTTTGTTTTTTTTTTTTTAATTTTTTTTAAATAATTGATTAATTTTTTTTCATGGTAAAAATAGTGAAAGATTGCGAAGAGAACGGCGGCGCTGGTGCGTGCCCAGGAGGCAGCTGTCGTGGTAATTTTCTGGTGTGTGTAATGTATGTATGGATGTAATATACTAATGCAGTTGATAAGTGAGTGGACAAACAAGTTGGATTTATGTAAGTAGTTAATAAAGAGGGCGCGTTTTAAGGCGCGATTACACCCGGCTTTTTTTTTTTTTTGATTGGAAAAAATGGAGTGGGATGTTTTTGAAGTTTGGATTTTTTTTTTTTAATTATTGATGTTATTGTTTTTATGGGAATTCCCTTTGTTTGCTCAGAGCGCCTAGGTCAAGGCTCTCTTGATTTTATCAGGGCTTTTAGTAAATTGTTTTTGCCATTCACTGCATCTAAGCTAATGTAAATATTTTGGAGTTACAGATTATTTTTAAAAGGTAATGGTGAAAATTTATGAAATTTTTTGTTCAAGAAAAAATATTTTTCATAAATTATTTTTATGACATTTAGTGAACTTGACCATTTAAAATTTTTTTTTAACAAATAAATTTGTTTTAAAAAATTGCATTTTTAATTTCTTAAAATTTCTACATGTTAATTTTTTTTGCCGTAATTTATTTGTTAAAAAAATTATTAAATATCTTCTAAATCACTTGACCATTTTTAATTTTTTTTTTAACAAACAAATTTGTTCCAAAAAACAATTTAAAAAAAAATTGCATTTTTAATTTTTTAAAATTTCTACTTGTTAATTTTTTTGCCATAATTTATTTGTTTAAAGTATAAATAAATATTTGCTAAATCACTTGATCATTTTTTAATTTTTTTTTTTAACTAATAAATTTGCTCCAAAAAATAAAAAAAAAATTGTATTTTTAATTTTTTTAAATTTCTACATGTCAATTTTTTTTTTATAAATTTTTTTTGCCATAATTTATTTGTTAAAAAAATTATTCAAATTATTAAATGTCTGCTAAATTAATTTTCATATTATTTTTTGGAAATTTAAGATATTATTAAAAGTGAAATTTAAAGATAGTTTGTAATTTTTTTTAGGATTTATTTAACAAGTTAGAACTGAACAATTATTTTTAAATATTAAAATTTTTGTATAGAATTTTTATTATCACTTATTAAAAAAATTTCTTAAATATTCACAAAAATTCACAAAAATTATATTAAAATATTTAAATTTGAAGTTTTTTAAAATTTATCTTCACTAAAATATTAACAAAAATATTTTTTTACAATAAATTTTTTTCAAAATTTTTATTGTAATTATTTACAAAAAAATTTTTCTAATTATTTAAAATTTAACTATTGAAATATTAAAGTTTTTTCTTTTAATTTTAAGAATTAAAAAAATTGTTCTTAATAATTTATTGAATAAAAATTTAATTCTTAAATTAAAAACTATCAAATATTAAATATTTACTAAAATTCTAATTAACAAAACTTGGATTTTACGTACAATAAAATTTCTGGGTTCGAATCTTGCCCATATAACAATAATATTAATTAAAAAAAAAAAAATATTAAAAATAATCTTCATTAAAATTAGAAGTGAAAAAAAAAAATTCTATATTTTTTATAAAAATCTTAAAAATGATTTCTACCATTACAAACAATTAACAAATTTCCATGGCAACGGTTGCTAGTAAAAAATAATGAATGTAAACTATGACGTAATTGTTGAGGATAATAATTTATGAAAAGGTTTAAAACCCGTTACAAAAATGATCTTTGTATAGTTAATTCGTAAGACTAAAGCGTTGTACCGCATTCCGGTCAACTTACTGTAGTCTATCTATTTATAAACGTTGACTAATGATGTCTGATCTTTGAAGAGTCTTTTATTTCTCAGCGATTTTGATGTTGAACATTATTATTATTATTTTAGAAAATTAGTATTAGTTAACTAGAATATCTAAAACAAAATGTAAAACAGCATGAACTTGTAAACTTATAAACTTGTAAAGGAACATTATATAAATTTGTCTTATAAGTTAGCCCGATAGATTAATTATAAACTGTAAATATTAACCAGGAAGCGATTACAGTTTTAATTTTTTCTTCAAGTTATTAACTACCGGTCGGGCAAGCTCGCGACCTAGGTCAAGTTTTACGAGTCTTTGTTTATTTTTTTATCTTTTAATCTAATTGCTCTCCATTAGAAATTTATAAATTCTTGTTAGGGATTTATGTAAGATTAATTACTAATTAATTAATCTTGGGGATTACAGATACTTGTTATGTAATTGCTACGATTATTATTTAATTGGAGAAAGTTACGCTTGAGGATAAATTGACAAGTTGGTTACTTTATTTTTGACAGTTACTCGGTAATTTTTTTTTTATTTTATTAAAAATTTATAAAAAATTTTATTTTAATAAAAATTTTATTAAAAATTTTTACTGATGAAATATTTAATAAAAAATTTTTTAAGGTCATAAAAAATAATAAAAATTTTAAATAAAGATAGTATTTTTATTTTATAAGTTAGAAACCTTTTAAATAAATTAAAAAACTTTTTTTTTAAAATAAAAGTTGATAAAAAAATTAAATGTCAATTGTAAAATAAAATACAAACATTATAAGATAATAATCGAGTAAATTTATGTATACATATTGTGTAGACTAACAAATCGGTAAATGTCAAACATGTTGAGTTTAAAACATTTAAAATTGAAAGATAAAATAGGCTTGCTCTCTCGCTCTCTTAATAATTACATTTTCTTATTTTGTATTTATAAATAAATAACTAAACTTTCTAGTGTGGTATAAATCAATATTGTACTTTGTTGCGACAAAAGCGATTGAGGATTTAATATTAGAAAAAATTTTTTTTTGACAAAACAACTTTTTGCTTTAAAATAAAGTTTTTAAATTAGTTGAATTGTATTTAACAAAACAAAAAATATTGTTTGAATTATTTTATTTAGTTTTTGATAAATATTCATATTAATCACAGATTATAATAATTGCAGACATTTAAGATTTAAAAAATGTTATTTATTAAAAAAATTATTTAAAAAAAAAAACTGTTTATTGTAAAAACTTAAAAAACTATGAATGCAATTTTTTAAAAATATTTTTTAGTTTTAATTTAATAAATGAAAATAAATCAAAAAATTAACAACGTCGGCTAACTTTAGTATTATAAAGTTGGCAGACATTGAAAAAATTTTTTTTTTTTTTTTTTTTTAATAATTTAATTAAAAATAAAAAAATTGCACGTATAGTTTTTTATTTTTTCTACATGTGGAATTTTTTATTTTAGTTTTTTTGCAATAATTTAATTGTTATAATAATCCAAAAAAATTTCAATATATTTATTGATATCATTATTATAAAATTATGATAATTTTTGAACATTTTATAGCAAAAGTAATTTTTTTCTTTAATTTCTAAATATTAAATTTTCTTATTTAATTTTTTCAATATAAAAAAATTGATGAAAATTAAGTTTGGCGAGATTTAAAAATTTTTAGAATTTTTTTTTATTGAAAAAATGATCACAAAAAATTTTTAAAAAATTTTCATTTGTAAAAAAACTTGGAAAATTATAAGTGTAATTTTTAAAAAATACTTTTTTGTCATAATTTAATTATATTAAGTTTTATAAATAATATTATAATAATTATGTAAATATAAATATTGTATTAAATTATATAAAAAATATAGATATAATTTTTTTTTAGTTTTTCTGGAATAATTAACCAATTATAAAATTCTTTAAAATAAAATTAAAAAAAATTTTTTGTTTCAGATAGCATCACAGTTAAACTCAGTCCGCCGCGGATGTAAAAAAACTATCGGGACATAATGTGAATGCCCGTGTGATGCGCCCTCGTAAAACCGAGAGGGTAAAAAACAATTTAGTGATAAGTTTATTTAGTTTATTATTACCTCTAAGGGGTATAGAATTATTATTAACAATAAAAGTGAGGACATAAGAATAGAAAAAAAAAAAAATTAAAATAGAGTGTATAAATAATGGGTGAAACGGAGTCGGATGAGACGTGGTCAGCTTGGTTCCTGGATGCCATCCGAAAGATCCGTAGTCAGAAGCAGCGACCGAGTGTCGAGAGGATATGCCACGCGATAAGGCAGCACCACAATTACCACGAGGAGGAGATCGGGGAGCACTTGGAGAAGGCGGTGAAGCGCGGGGTCGTGCTCAAGATCTTCAACAAGGGTCAGTCCTCCTATAAAGACCCCGGGGGTCTTCAGTCCAAGCCGCTGAAGGTCTCCAAGACCACCGACCTCAGCAAAGTCCTCGGCAAGGCCGTCCGCGAGCTGGGAGAGCGCGACGGCTCCACGCTTAAGAGCATCGAGAAGTACGTCAGGCAGAGCCACACCGTCGAGGAGGAGGCTGATGGAGACCTCAGGACCTCTCTCAGGCTATCGGCCAAGCGCGCTGTTGATCGCGGGCTGGTTATCCAGGATGGCAGGCTTTTTAGGCAGCCCGACCGCCCGCCGGTCAAGAAAGTCGAGAAGATGGACGAGTCTTCTAAGGTATGATTTTTTTTTATTAACTTATCTTTAAAGTAAGTCACCGTTAGCTAACCAAAAAATAGGGCTTATTAATTTAAGGTGCGTTGGATTTATTATTCAACATACCGCCGTAACCGGCTGCAATATATTGATATTGTTAATTATAATTAGTAGCAACCTTACGGTCACTATGTGATTTGTGGACTAGAAAAAAATTTTAATTTTGCTTTATTAAATAATGACTTTTGTTAAATTGCACTGTACTTTTTTAAATATTGACGTTTTTTAAGATATAAGCTGATTTTGATGTTACACTCATCAAGAGCTTTCATTTGAGTACCCACATGCATATTCATATATTTTTCATATATACATATATAAAATATATGAAAAATTGATGTGGGTACTCAAATGAAAGGTCTCGATGAATGTAATCTTAGAGTGAGCTTACATCTTTAAAAATGTCAATAATTCACGAGATACCGGGTCATTTCTTAGTTATGTCAATATTTTACAAAATATTTGTTAAAATGCACTGTACTTCCTTAAATATTGACGTTTTTAAAGTTATAAGCTCACCTCGATATTACACTCATCAAGAGCTTTCGTTTGAGTACCCACATGCATTTTCATATATTTTTCATATATTCATATATAAAATATATATATAAATATATGAAAAATTGATGTGGGTATTCAAATGAAAGGTCTCGATGAGTGTAACATCGGGATGAGCTTATATCTTGAAAAATGTCAATATTTCATCAAAAACAAGGTTGTTTCTTAATTATGTTAAATTGCACTGTTGTTTTTAAAAATATAAGCTCATCCCGATATTACACTCATTTTAAGCTTTCATTTGAGTACCCATATCAATTTTTCAGATATTTTATATATTTATATATATAATATATATATAAATATATAAAATATATGAAAAATTAATGTGGGTACTCAAATGAAAGGTTTCAATGAGTGTAACATCAAGATGAGCTTATATCTTTAAAAATGTCTATATTTCACGAAATATAAGGTCGTTACTTAATTATGCTAAATTGTACTGTACTTTCTTTATTATTTATATTTTCAAAGATATAAGCTCATCCTGATGATACACTCATTAAGAGCTTTCATTTGAATACCCACATGCATTTTGATATATTTGTCATATATACATATACATAAATATATAAAATATATGAAAAATTGATGTGGGTACTCAAATGAAAGCTCTCGATGAGTGTAACATCAAGACGAGCTTATATCTTTAAAAATATCAATAGTTCACAAGATATTTGTGCTGAAATTTTTAGAGCTGTGGATGCGAAACTACCTTCATTAATTTTTATCCAAATTATTTTAAATTTTCTAAAAATATTATATTCTCAATTTATAAAACTAGTATTTAATATTTAATTTATTTCAAAGGATGCAAATGTTCCCTTAGAGTGTTTGAATAAAGGAGATACTTGAGGAAAGCCGCGGGTCTAAAGCAAAAATCTGATAATTAAATAACTGAAAGGGTGACGAGAAGAGTTATACCCTTAGGAAAATTTACCCGGTGTAGTGAGCATTTAGGGTCAATAATGCTGACCCGGATAGACGGATAGTGAGTAAAAGAGCGCAAGCCTGGAACAGACTGCGCAGTCAATGTTGTGTTTCACCGCGACATATATATTAAAATATATATATATATAGATATAAATATCGGCACGCGTGATAATGTCGTTTCCCGATTGGCGACAAGAGAAATTGTTTAGCTAATGTAATGGCCAAGCTAAATTCTCTCTGTCATTCCTGATAAATACAATGACTTTTTTTTTATTTAATAATACTTATATTCACACCTCGGCTCTTTGTATCTTTAACGAGATTATGCAATACTATTTCCGGTAAAGATCTCAATAAATAATAATTATTTTTTTTTAATTAAAAATTTTTTTTTTAAACATTGATTTTAATTATTAAATTTTATGATTATTAAATAATGAATTTTAATTGAAAAATTTAATTTTTAGATATTTGGAGATTAAAAAAAAAAAAAAATATATTTTTTTTTTAGTTAAATAATTATGCGGATAATTAGGCCAAGTACGTTTGCTCGAGCGTCTCTTTTGTGCGTGTCCAGTGACCTCGAACGATCGGTGAACGCCGCGGGTATCGTGGGACGACGATGACGACGACGGTAAACCAGGCAAACAGCAATACGTACAATATAACAAGCAGGGGAAATCGAGAGGAATATGCGAGGTTGCCATGTATATTTGTTAAAACTGCGTCACTTTACTCTATATTCACTCATTCAATTATTATGTATAGCAACAACAATAATAATAACAAAAAAAAATAATAATAACTTTAATTTAAAAATTGTTATTATTAATTTAACATTTTAATAATAATAATTTTGAAATCAAAGTTACTATTATTATTTAAAATTTGAACCAATAATAATAATCTATACTATTAAGAAAATAAGAAAAATTTTGTATCCAGGATAGAAATATGATAAAATCGGTTTTTTTTAGTGAAATTTAGTGTCATTGCAAAGGTCTTGACTTGAATTTGCTCCTTTACAAGGTTTCATATCATTCTCACCGATAGTCAATTTATTATGATAAGTAATTAGGCAGCATTCGAAAATGCTCTTTCTTTAGATACATAATTAAGAAATTATATAATATCTTGGAAAACATTGACATTTTTGAAGATATAAGGTCATCCTGATGTTCCACTCATCGAGACCTTTCATTTGAATACCCACATCAATTTTTCATATATTTTATATATTTATATATATGAATATATGAAAAATATATCAAAATACATGTGGGTACTCAAATGAAAGCTCTTGATGAGTGTATCATCGGAATGAGCTTATATCTTTAAAAATGTCAATAATTAAGAAATTACCTTGTATCTTGTCAACTAATGATATTTTTAAAAATATAAGCTTATCCTGATGTTCCACTCATCAAGACCTTTTATTTGAGTACCCACATCAATTTTTCATATATTTTATATATTTATATATATGAATATATGAAAGATATATAAAAATGCATGTGGGTACTCAAATGACAGGTCTTGATGAGTGTAACATCGGGATGATCTTATATCTTTAAAAATGTCAATAGTTAAGAAAGTACAGGAAATTTTAACAAATATCTTGTGAACTATTGACATTTTTTAAGATATAAGCTCATCCTGGCATTACATCCATTGAGACCTTTCATTTGAGTACCCACATCAATTTTTCATATATTTTTATATATATTATATATATGTATATATCAAAAATATATGAAAATGCATGTGGGTACTCAAATGGAAGCTCTCGATGAGTGTAACATCTAGATGAGCTTATATCTTTAAAAACGTCAATATTTAAGAAAGTACAGTGCACTTTAACCAAAGTCATTATTTATTAATAAAATTTTAATTTTTATAGTTCACAAGTCACAGCAGTCACGTAGTGACTGCAAAGTTGCTAATAATAACTTAAATTTTCTATCAAATTAATTAATACTAATAAATAATAAAAAAAAGTTTTTCAAGTAAAAAAAAAAAATAATAAAAGTAAAATTAAGTTAACATAAACGGATAAATTAAAGGTGAATTAACTGAATTAACTTCTTATCCAAGTTGTAACTCTGTCGTATTATATCGCGCAACAGGTCGTTGGTCTGCGCGTGCTTTCATTCGATCACGTGGGTAAAGTACCTAGCCACTCAACCAGGCTTACTGTTTAGAGATAAGATGAAGATGATGGTCATGATTCTAAAGATTCTTACTTATACCGCTTAGACGGATCATTGGCTCTGCTTATTATTATTATTATTTACTAAACTTTTCATTGCATCCAAGATTATCTTGTTAATTTTTTATTTTTATAATTAGATGATTGATTTATCAAGGCGGGGTTTACGTGTTGATATTTTTTATTATTTATTATTGTTATTGTTGTTGTTATTATTATTTGTACACTTGTACATTGATTGCGTATAATTACGTAAGCATAATTCAACATACTTATCAACTTATCGGTTACAGATGATTCATCAAATAGCGTGCTAAAATTATGTGTAATAGAGATAAATGATGACTTAATGATTTATTTTTATTTTTTATCGTAATAGAATTTTTTTTATTTTTATTATTTATTTTATTAATTTTATTGATGAAAAAAAATTACAGATAATTTTAGTATCAGTTTTTTTTTTTTTTTTAATATTAAAAGTATATAATAAAAATTACCAAAGAAAAATTGTTCTATATACTAGAGTTGATAGTACTTAAAACAAGTTGAATAAATAATTTTATTATCAAAAGTCCTATCAATAAAACGAATTATTATTCAGACTGTAAAAACGTGAGAAATTAATAAGATGCACCCTAGGGTTTTATTACTTGGTAGGAGATGAGGTAGACTGATATGCCACCGTAAAGCCGGTAAAATGAATAATTACACGTTATGCTAGCTAGTTACTTACTTGAACCGTAACATAAATAAATTATAATAATAATAATTTTTAAATTATCTATATTAATAAGAGAATAACAAAAATTTTTTCTCTAGGATAGTCATATGATAATATCTGTATTTTTAGTGAAATTTAGTGTCAATTATAAGTCTTGATTTGAATTTTTGCCTTTTCTTGTGAAATATTGACATTTTTAAAGATATTAGCTCATCCTGATGTTACACTCATCGAGAGCTTTCATTTGAGTACCCACATCAATTTTTCATATATTTTATATATTTATATATATGTATATATGAAAAATATATCAAAAATGCATGTGGGTATTCAAATGAAAGCTTTTGATAAGTGTAACATCCGGATGAGCTTATATCTTAAGAAATGTCAATATTTAAGAAAGTACAGGGCATTTTAACAAATATCTTGTGAACTATTGACATTTTTAAAGATATAAGCTCATTCCGATGTTACACTCATCAAAACCTTCCATTTGAGTACCCACACCAATTTTTCATATATTTTATATATTTATATATATGTATATATGAAAAATATATCAAAAATACATGTGGGTACTCAAATGAAAGCTTTTAATAATTATAACATTGGGATGAGCTTATATTTTTAAAAACTTCAAAAGTTAAGAAAGTACAGGGCATTTTAATAAATATCTTGTTAACTATTGACATTTTCAAAGATATAAGCTCACCCCGACATTACACTCATCAAAACCTTTCATTTGAGTACCCACATGACATTTTTTATATATTTTATATATTTATATATTTTACAAATACCATATATATAAAATATGAAAGCTTTTAATAATTATAACATTGGGATGAGCTTATATTTTTAAAAACTTCAAAAGTTAAGAAAGTACAGGGCATTTTAATAAATATCTTGTTAACTATTGACATTTTCAAAGATATAAGCTCACCCCGACATTACACTCATCAAAACCTTTCATTTGAGTACCCACATGACATTTTTTATATATTTTACATATTTATATATTTTACAAATACCATATATATAAAATATATAAAAAATGTCATGTGGGTACTCAAATGAAAGCTCTCGATGAGTGTAACATCGGAATGAGCTTATATCTTTAAAAATGTCAATAATATTAATAATATTGTATCTTGTCAACTATTGACATTTTTAAAGATATAAGCTCATCCCGATGTTATACTCATCAAGACCTTTCATTTGAGTACCCACATAAATTTTTCATATATTTTATATATAAATATCTATTATATATTATATATATGTATATATGAAAAATGCATGTTGGTACTCAAATGAAAGCTCTTGATGAGGGTAACATCAAAATGAGCTTATATCTTCAAAAATATCAATATTTAAGAAAGTACAGTGCAATTTAACAAAATTCATTATTTAATAAAGCAACATTTTATTTATTAATATTTCACAAGTCACGGCAGTCACATAGTGACTGCAAAGTTGCTTATTATTATTAATTTAATATTTTTAATAATAATAATAATAATAATTGTATATTTTTTATTTTAGCAGCATCCAGCAGCCTTGCCAATATGCCGAGAGTGTTTGGGAACGACAGCAGCGGGGAACAACAACACCGCGAAGAAGAATCTGCCGGATAGATTGAGCAAATGCAATGTGTGTGGTGCTGCAGTGCATTATTCATGTGCGCCCCCGGAGCTGGCGAGTATCCTGGACCGCGGAATTACGTGGTGCTGCGATGACTGTGCGCCGACTTGTGCCGGCTGTGAGTTGGAACGCGAGTCCCAGAACTATTTGGTTAAGTGCGCGAACTGTTCCAAGTGCTATCACCCAACGTGTCTCGACCCCGCGCTTGATAAGAAAAGCAAAGCACCTTGGAGGTGTCGGCACTGTCTCAATTTTCACAGGACTGATGATACGCCCAAGCGTAGTAGTAAATCTAGTAATAATAATAATAATAATAATAGTAATAGTAATAGTAGTAATAGTAATAGTAATAATAGTAATAATAATAATAATAACAACAACAACAACAACAACAACAACAACAACAACCAGTTGCTCGCGCAATCGCTCCAGCAATCTCCACACCCGGAGCATGCTCTAACGACCCCGGTGGTCAAGCAAGTACAAGAAGGCTCTCAGGATGAAGGCTCACCTGTCAGCGCCAGGAAAAGACTTAATAAAATTCGTGAGAATCGAAAGTAAGTACTTTGTTTTTTTAATTAATTTTTTTTTTGTTTTAATTTATTTATTTATTATCAGGAAATTTATTTTTGGTCCTGGATTTTCTTAATTTTTTAATTTTATAAACAAATTTGTTAAAAAAAATTGCAATTTTATTTTGATATAATTTATATCTTACAAAAATTTTTAATTTTATAAACAGATTTGTTCAGAAAAATTTTTTTTTTTAAATTACAATTTTATTTTGACATAATTTATATGTTATAAAAATTTTTAATACTTATTTATTTATTATTTAATTTCAGAAAAAATCTTTTTTCCTAAATTTAGAATGTAAGATAAATACAAATAAAGTATGAATTTTAATATAAAAATTAAAACTCAGTAATTTAAAATTCAATAATTTGATAAATTCAAATGATAAACTCATGTAACAAATATTATTAAATGTGTTGAATAAAATTTTTTTTCTATTTTTATTGCACATCTCAGAAAGAAAAAAAAAAATTTATTTGAAAATTTTTTAGCTAATAAATTGAGAAAATTTTGAAAATATCAAAAAAAAAATTATTTCAAAATTTATGTAGCTTTAATTTGTTCTAGACTCAATTTTTATATTAAATTTATATTTTTTTGGCATTATTTCATTAATTATTGAATTTAAAAAAAATTATAAAAATTATTTACAAATTACTAAATCATATTTTTGTGTTAAATTTTTATTTACTTAAAATTATTTCATAAAATTCTGAAGTTTTAAAAAAATGACAGAACAAAATTGTAGGAAATTAAATTTCCTACTAAAAAGGTCCTTAGCACAAAATCTCTGATATTTCTCAAGATATATAATTAATTTCTCTAAAAACCAATAAAACATTATTTTCTAAAATATTTTTTTTCTACTTACAAAAAATTTTCATTAAATATCAATTTTCTATAGAAATAAATCACTTAAAATTTCATAATAATAGTTAGCTCACTTTTTTATTTTTTTTATTTTACTTAATTTATTAAATTATAACTAAAAAATATTTTTAAAAAATTGCACTTCTAGTTTTTAACAAATGAAATAAATTTTTTTAATAAAAAAAATCATAAAAATTTTTAGATGTTTGCTAACTTTATTTTCATGAAAATTTCTATCAATCTCAAAATAAATATTTTGATTTTAAAAATTAATTAAAAAAATCATTTTTATTATTTTTGTTTTTTGTACCTATCATTAAAAAAATGTTTATTAAATTTTTTCCCAAAATTACAATAAAAAAATTCTTTTTTAATTTTTATTTTCAAAATAAAAAAATATAATTTTTATTTAATGAAAAAATTTTCCTTAAAAAAAAAAAAAAATTATAAATTTACCATGAAAATTAAATTTCCTACAAAAAAAATTTCTAATCTTGACATTTTTCAAGCTATACAACAATATTTTCTAAATAAAAACTGCACAATTTTAAAAATAAATTATAAAAATAAAAATACTAAAACCCAAGTTTATCTTGCAGATCACTATCATCCTACAAGAAGAGCCCATCAACCGCTGCCCGAAAATCGGGCGTATTAGAAAACTCCGTAACTCGCCTCGGAACTGAAAAAGAACTAATAAAAGAATCATCAAGAGGAATAGGAAGTTGCGGGACGGTGTCACAGGTGGACAGCAGCTCGGACGGTAATGCGGGTGTTGTCTCCCTCGGTGAACCCTTGGCCCCTTTATCCTCCCAAACTCCCTCGTCCCCACCTTCATCGGTAGCTCCCCCACTCGCGGGCCAGGGTAGGCTGCTCGAGGAGAAGAGTGATCGGATTTCCAAGGAGAAGCAGAAGTTCTTTAGGTCTAGCGCGTTCAATGCCGAGCATTCTAAGAAAAGACTCCGGGAGAAGTCCAAAGAGCCGAGTCAAAATTGTTGCAAGATAAAAAAACCAGACAAGCTTGACAAACCAGTCCTAGATAAACCAGACAAATCAAACACTTCAGAAAAACCTCCAACTAAACGAAAAGTTAATAGAAGACTTCCAGTACTGTCAAGTAGCAGCAGCAGCAGCAGCAGCAGCAGCGAATCTAGCTCTGAAGACTCTTCAGCAAGCAGCTCTTCTTCAGAAGATTTACCAGTAGCTTGTAAAAAATCTCCAAAAAAAGATCAAGCAGTTCAAGAGTCTGAAAGTCCCTGGGGCTTCGCTGCTGCTGCTGCTAAATTAAAAGTAGACGCTCCGTTATTTAGCAGTATCAATAACACATTTGGAGCGACTCTTCCTAAGTTAGATCTTGGTGAGAAGCCAACTTTTGGTCTTCATATTCAACCTGCAGCTAGTCCTAGTGCTAGAATTAAAAAAAAGTCTTCTGCTAGCTCAGGAGGAATTAATTTAGAGAAGGTTAAAGGCGTTGGACAGCTTAAGGGGCTTTATGATGGTCTTAGTCATTTCTTCCTCGCTCCTGGGAACAGCAGAGTTAGGTCTGGTGATAAAGCGCCTAATTATGCGCCAGATAGGAGAAAAAAGAATGAAGATGAGAAGGAGAAGGAAAAGGAGAAAGAGAAGGAGAGGAAGGAAAAGGAAAAGGAGAAAGTTAAGGTTGTTAGGAAGAAAGAATTGAAGGAAAAAGAAGGAAAGGAAGTGGAGGAAGACAAGAAAATGACTCCGAGTAATTTGGTGAAAACTGCGGTGAATTCGAAGCGACACGAGCAGAGCCGCAGGCGCACTATGAACGCTGTTAAGTGCGCGGACTTGAAGAAAAATTCGGGGGATGATAGGGATAAAAGCTGTGGGAATGGTTTACTTGCTGAAGGAGCCAAGCAACTTCAGGCTGATCTACCAAAGTCCAATCCTGGTCACTCGAAATCCTCCCAACCACGAGCCTGTACTAGCGCCAACACCACCAACACCACCACGACACCCCGCGCGACACCCTGCTCCAACAGGAAGGGTAAGAGTCTACCCCCGCCCGCTCACGACAAACAATATTTTTTCCTAACACCCTTACTAAAGCGCATTTTTATCTGGGAATTTTGGTTTTTTCACTTTTTTTTTTTTTGGGCATTCGGAGATTAAGTTTTGGAAGAATTTTTTTTATTGAAAAGATTTTATAGGAAATTTTGGTTTAAAAAAATTATAAAGATAGAAGTGATATTTTTGAAAAATAGTTTTTTAGGATGATTTAATAGTTGAGGAGAAATTAAAAATGGCGGTTAGCTTTAGGATTATTTTGAAGACTGAGTTGAAGTTAGAATTTTTTTTTTGTCGAGTTAGAAATTTGAAACGCCATCTAAGGTCCAGTTTTTCAATCCAGGATAAAAGTATTATTATTAATATTAGTATTATTATTATTATTATTATTATTATTATTGCCAGTGTATTTATTAGGGTGTTCCATAATTAAACTTCCGTGATGGACCTTTTAATTGGAATTTTTGAGCTTCGCTTTTAATAAAAGTTATGTTTGGGTATTTCTTGAGATATTTTCAGGCTAAGGGATTTATTTAGTTTTCATAGAATTTTTTAACAAGAGTTTTGTTTAGGCAAATTTTGAAATTTTGAAATTTCAGCAAAAATACCTAAATAAAACTGCTATTAAAAAATTCTATGAAAATCAAATAAATCCCTTACCCTCAAAATATCTCAAGAAATTCACAGATACAACTCTTGTTAAAAGCGGAACTCAAAATTCCAATTTTAATAGATCCATCACGGAAGTTTAATTTTGGCACACTCTAATAAAGATAGAAGTGATATTTTTGAAAAATAGTTTTTTAGAATGATTTAATAATTGAGGAAAAATTTTAAATGTCAATTAGCTTTAGAATTATTTTGAAGACTGAGTTAAAGTTAGGATTTTGTCTAGTTAGAACTTTGAAACTCCATCTAAATGGTTATCTGAAAAATTACATTAAAGTTAGCAGTCATTTGATGATTTTTAGAATTTTTTTTTAATAAATAAATTTTCTCCAAAAAATTATTATTAAAAAAATTAAATTTTTTTGTTTTAAAAATGTCAATTTTTGTCATAATTTATTTGTTAAAAAAATTTCTAAAATTATTGAATATCTGATAAATTAATTTATGATATTAAAGTTAGCAGTCGAATATTTTTTAATAAATAAATTTGCTCTCAAAAATTATTTATAAAAAATTGAATTTTTTTATTTTTTAAATATCAATTTTTGTCATAATTTATTTGTTAAAAAAATTCTTAATTATCAAATATTTGATAAGTTAATTTATGACACTAAAATTAGCAGTTGAAAATTTTTTAATAAATAAATTTGCTCTGAAAAATTATTTAAAAAAAAAAATTGAATTTTAATAAATAAATAATGTCAATTTATGTTTAAAAACATTATTAAATTTCTGCTAAATTAATTTTTATCTTTAGAGATCAAAATTTTTATTTAACTGCGGGTTGTCCAATTTTTTATTAGTAATTTTTATAAAATTAGAATTATTTTAATTTTTAATTAAAATTGCGTTTTAATACTTGACTATTTTTGGACTTTGATAAATAAATTAAGCCTAAAAATTTTTTTTTAACTTCTAAAAATAGAATTTTTATTTTTTATAAATTTATTTATTAAAAAAAAAAATTGAAAATTAGACATTTAATTTTTTTTATGAATTTTTTTAGTTCTAATTTAATTAATTAAATTTTTAATATTATAAACAATTAAAATTTTTAAATTTGTAATAAATAAGTTTAAAATTAAAATCAATAATTTTTAATTCAAAAAGTACAAAAATTGAAAAACCCGCCAAAAAAATAAAAATAATAAAAACTAATTAAAATTAAAAAAAAAAATAAATAAAGTCTTGGAATGTCCTAAAAATAAATTAAAAAAGTCGATTACCGGATAAAACAATCCCAGAGTCATATTCCTACCTAATTACCTTCCTGTCACTTTAATATATAAAATTCACCACGTGGATGTGTTGGCGGTGTGGTGTGCGGTATCTTGGTACTATTTAGTACGTGTGCGTGTGCCTGCATCCTACCTAATTACCCTGGCAAACGATTAATTTAAATGTGTGCTTACACTAAATTTATAAAAATATAATCAAGTAAAATCTAATTAAATTTACTATTATTATTTTATCAACAAACATAATTAGATTTTATTATTTGCATGAGCTTTCAAAAATAATTTTTTTTAACCTATAAATCGTACTGCATGCATAGTGATCAGTGGCAAATTGTGGAGAATTTATAAATAAACAGAACGATTGGAGATGTTATTAAAAATTTGCCAACACACTCCTTAGATCCTTAGAATCCATTAACCTGAGCTTTGCTTTTAGTTTATAATAATAAAGTTAGCTGACACTTAGAATTTTTTTTTTAATTAGTGAATTTTTTTTTAATTATTAAATTTTTCAATTTTTTTTTTAATTATTAAATTTTTTTGTTTTTTTTTTTTCAATTTACATTTTTTGAGTTTTTAAATTATTAAATTAAAACAAAATAATATTTTTAAAAAATTGTAGTTATAATTTTTTTTAAATAAAAATTAAAAAAAAATTTTTTTTAAATAATTTTTTTTATAAAAAAAAATTGAAAAATTTTTTAAATGTCGGCTAAATTAATTTTATTTTAGTTTTATATTTTTTTTTTTTTTATTATTAAAATTACAATTTTTTTTTTAATTAATTATAATAATAATAATTATTATTATTTTAATAATTAAAAAAATGAATAATAAAATAATTTTCTTTACAGAAGAAGCGATGATGATGCAAAACTTGCCCTCGGGGGTCACGCAGAAGGACCTGGAGTTATTTAAAGAGGCACGAGAGCAGGCGAACCGGCTGACGGAAACGGAGAACGACGCGGAGCCAGCCTCAACGAGTCCTGGAGGAACGGGCCCAGGAGTAGGAACGAGGAACCCTGCTGCGATTGTCTTCGGAAGGTACGAGGTTGAGACCTGGTACTCGAGTCCGTTCCCACAGGAGTACGCCCGGCTGCCGAAGCTGTTCTTCTGCGAGTTCTGTTTGAAGTACACCAAGAGCCGGGCAGTTTTGGATCGACACATGGACAAGTGCCAGTGGAGGCATCCACCGGCTACGGAAATTTATCGCTGCAATGATTTGTCGGTGTTTGAGGTGAGTTTTTAATTTTTTTTTAATAATTGTTGGGGTAAATGGACCAGTAGTTGATTGGATACTAAAGAACTGTTGATATTAAATGAAGACTGCTAGGATAGTCATGTGATTAAATTAGTTTATTTAGTATTTAGGGTCATTTCAAAGGTTTTGACTTGAATTTGTGCCTTTTCAAGGTTTCATATTATTCTCGCTAATAGTCATTTTATTATGGTAAATATTTAGGCTGCATAATTAAGAAATGACCTTGTATCTTGTGAACTATTGACATTTTTAAAAATATAAGCTCATCCTGGCATTACATCCATTGAGACCTTTCATTTGAGTACCCACATCAATTTTTCATATATTTATATATTTTATATATATGAATATATGAAAAATATATGAAAATGCATGTGGGTACTCAAATGAAAGTTCTTGATGAGTGTAACATCGGGATGAGTTTATATCTTTAAGAACGTCAATATTTAAGAAAGTACAGTGCATTTTAACAAATATCTTGTGAATTATTGAGATTTTTTAAGATATAAGCTCATCCTGGCATTACATCCATTGAGACCTTTCATTTGAGTACCCACATCAATTTTTCATATATTTTTATATATATTATATATATGTATATATCAAAAATATATGAAAATGCATGTGATTACTCAAATGAAAGCTCTTGATAAGTGTAACATCAAGATGAGCTTATATCTTTAAAAACGTCAATATTTAAGAAATTACAGTACTATTTAACGAAATTCATTATTTAATAAAGCAAAATTCTAATTCAGTTAAGTTTACAAGTTACAGCAGCCACATAGTGGCTGCAAAGTTGCTAGTATTTTTTAATTAAGTTTTCAGAAATTTAATTCTTATTGTTAACTAAATAAACTTTTATTTATTACTCATACAATTTATTATTTCCAATTACTATTTTATTATAAATTAAAAAATTTTTAATTGTTAAATAATGTATGCAATATAATAAGACAGTTTTATATAAAAAAAATCAATTTAAATTAAAAAAATTAATATTACTTGACTGGTCAACTACTGGTCCATTTATCTTATTTAAATTATTTTTATAATTTTCTTTTTATCAATTTTTTCCAATTTTCTCTTATATTTAAAAAAATTTCTATTTTATTAATTTCTTAAATTTTACGTTAACTTTTTAAATTTTCTATTTCATAAATTAAAATAATTAAAATTCCTTGACTGATCAATTAATCTCAGTACTAATAAATAATAAACAATTTATCAATAAAAAAAAATTTCCTTAATTCCCCAGATTGACGGCAACGTAAACAAAATCTACTGTCAAAACCTTTGCCTGTTAGCAAAATTATTCCTGGACCACAAAACCTTATACTACGACGTGGAGCCCTTTCTCTTCTACGCAGTGACCAAAAACGACAAATACGGTTGCCACCTAGTAGGCTACTTCTCAAAAGAAAAGCACTGTCCCTCTCAGCGTTACAACGTGTCCTGTATAATGACCCTCCCGCAGTACCAACGCCAAGGTTTCGGTCGCTTTTTAATCGAGTTTAGCTACCTCCTCTCCAAAGTGGAAGGAATTCCGGGCACCCCAGAAAAACCTCTCTCCGACTTGGGCCGCGTATCTTACCACTCCTTCTGGAAGAGCGTGGTCCTGGAGCACCTGGACGCTCACCGGGACGCAAAGGAGATAAAACTGGGTGACATCACCAAGGCAACCGGAGTTTCCGCGCACGATATCGCGACGGCACTTCAGTTACTGGGTTTTGTCCGTACCCTGGACAAGACTGTCAACGACGTATGTAAAGGCCGGATCGCTGTAGTCGTAGACTGGAGCAAGGTGGACGCTCATATTGTCAAGGTCAAGAAGAGTTCCAGGATTCCTCTTGACCCTGATTGTCTTCGGTGGATTCCTCTGCTTACCCAGATTCCTAATCCTTATCAGAGTCCTGAAGAGGCTAGTGAAGCTAGTCCAGAAATTGTCCAGGAAATTTCTCCTAAGCCGGTCACTGCAATGGTGGAAAAGATCCAGAAGGTTAAGATCAAAAAGCGGCCACGGGGGAGAAGAATTGGGGTCAGGAGGTCTGTTAAGCCTAGAAGTCCGCTTAAGACTCCTAAAGTTAAGGAGAAGGAGAAGGAGAAGGAAAAGGATAAGGAGAAGAAGGTTGAAGAAGAGGAAATGGAAGGAGGGAAGGAGAAAGAAGGAGATGAAGGTAAGTGTGGAGAGAAAGAGGAGGAGAAAAAGGACAAAGATAAAGACAGTGGGAATGTCGCGGATGTTGAAGATGATATGGAGGAAGTTAAAACTCCAAGGAATAGCCGCAGTATTATGAACAAGAGTATTCCTATAACCAACACTCCAAAACTTTCGACTCCTGTGTCGATAAGTAGGAGGAGAATAAGAACTCCGAAGACTCTCGTAGACATTCCGTTGAGTACAACGCCCTCTAGGAAACGGAAACATTCCGAAAAGACTGAGGAGGAGGAGGTTAAAGAGGTTAAAGCTAAAAGAGGAAGGGAGGTTAAGGAGAAGAAGGAGAAGGAAAAGGAGGAGAAGGTAGAGAAGGAGAAGGAAAAGGAGAAGGAGAAAGAGAGGGAAAAGGAGAAAGATAAGGATAAGAGCTTTGCTAAGATGACGGAGCGGGCTAATAAGCAAAGTAAGCTTGATGATATTCTGATGAAGGTTACTAGTAGGCAGACTAAGAGTTTGTTGGCGAAGGAGAAGAAGAGGAAGCTTGAGGAGGAGAAGGAGAGGAAGGAGGAGGAGAAGAAGGTTGAGTGTAATGGTAAGGAGGGCAAGGAGGGTGTTGAGGAGAAGGATAAAGGGTTGGGGAGGAGAAGAGGGAAGATTACTTATAAGATTGCGGAGCTTGCTAAGGCGAAGAAGGAGAGACTTAGTCCGGTTAGGGCGGCATCTAGGAGCAGCACTCCGAAGTTTGATAAGAAACAACTGACGATTCCGCAGATGATGGCGCCGGTTAAGAAGGTGGTGAAGGAGAAGAAGGAGGAGGAGGAGAAGGGGAAGGTGGAGGAAGTTTCGACTGCCAGTCCTGGGGAGTATGAAGGCGGGGATGAGGATGAGGGAGAAGAGGAGGAGGATTTGAGGCCTAAGAATATTCCGAGGATTAGTAAGGTTGTTGAGGTTGTTGAGGAGGTTTGTGAGCGAGTTACGCCTGTACCTGAGGAAAAGAAGGAGGAAGCTAAGGAGGAGAAGGAGAAGGAAGTTGAGGTTCCTGTTGTGGAGGTTCTTGAGGTGGAGAAGCCTGTAGAGCCTGAGCCTGTAGAACCGGAGCCGATGGAAGTTGATAAGGAAGAGAAGGTTGAGGAGAAGAAGGACGAGGAGAAGGAAAAGGAACCTGAACCTGAGCCAGAAGTGGAGAAGGTGCAAGAAAAGATGGAGGAGCAAGAGCCGGTGAAGGAAGTCAAGGAACTTGAAGAATCTCCGGTTCCGGAGGAACCTAAAGAATCTCCGGTAGCTCCTTTGGAAGAGGTCGCTCCGCTAGTCGAGGAGAAGCCAGTTGTCGTCGAGCAGCGGGAGGTGATCCAACCTCCAGAGGAGAAGCAGCACTCTCCCGAAAGCGGGAAGACTACTCCACACTTGGAGAACCCAGGATCGGTCAAGCGGACGCCGCCTCAACCAGATCTACCTTCCATGGGAGTCTACACTCCTGATTCTACCACTAACTCCGTGCACTCCTTGCACTACGGTCAATGTGACTTAGACGTTAGTCAACTAGGTCTAGAGTCTCCAACCTCAATCGCTAGTGACCTGGCCTCCCAGCACAGTGTGGAGCGACCTCCCAGTGCTCTTCCGTCAATAACAGTCCCAGCGCCTCTGAACAACCCCATACAGATACCCCCGCCCTCAGTAGCGATGTCGCAGGTCCACTACGACTGCGCAATTTCGCACTCTCCTCACATGGCGATCCACCACGGGTCCATGCACCAGCCGCTCCAGCAACCGCGAACGCCCTCTAGTATTCCCACCCAGAGCCCCCAGCCCCACCAATCTCACACCCCCCAGCCGATGCAATCTCACACTCCTCAGCCAATTCAAAGCCATACGCCCCAACCAATTCAATCTCACACCCCACAGCCAATACAGAGTCACACCCCACAGCCCATACAGAGTCACACACCCCAGCCGATACAAAGCCACACCCCCCAGCCTCTAGTCCACACAATAACCCACAGTCCCCAGCCAATGCAGTTGATGGTCCAGCAGTCTCCGCACCACCACCACCCCCAATCTCAGTCCCAGTCTCAATCTCAGTCCCACCAAGGTCAGATCCAAGGTCAAGGGCCAGCCCAGTCACAATCTCAAGGACAAACCCAGTCCCACAGCAGTAGCAAGCGAGCAAATGGCTCCCAGACCCACAGATCTAGGTCGAACCAGCAAAGATCTCACCGAGCGACTCCCCCGGCCTCCCAGAGCCAGCATATCCACACAGTGACCCACGGAAGCGCGCTCCCACCCCAGTACCAACAGACCACCATGTCCGTCCCGCATCACACCCACTCGCACTCTCATTCCCACAACATGGCGGTGATCTCCCAGGGGAACTACATGGCAGTAGCTTCCCAAGGATTCCCTTCGCAAAGCACTTACGTGATCCAGCACAGAGGTGGAAGGTCAGGAGCACCAACGCCCTGCACCACTGCTACCAACTTTTACATCCAGACTTCAGCGATGCCACACTCTCATACACCCTCGCCATCTTTAACCGGGTCCACCAACCACCAGACCCCCAGCTCCTGTAGCCTAACCAAGCTTCAGCAGCTGACCAACGGCCTGGAGATGATCCCCCCAACCCCAGCTTCTTCTATGAATCTCACCCCGCCGCCTATTTCCCACAACATGACCCCGCCGCAGAACTCACGGCAGCTTCCAACTCCGCCTCAAGTTCCGCTAGGGTACCCCAAGAACTACTACAACGTCAACACCGCCACAGGACCCAGCAGGTCCACGTCCAGGTCATCCGCTAACGCCAATATGACTTCCCTGACCCAATACCCTTCGGAGAGTCTCTATAGGCAAACTCTGGACCCTGGCAGCACCTGTCCTCAAATGCAAGGTTCTGCCACTAGAGTGAGCTCCAATGTGGCGCTTAATACCAATCTTATGGCTGCTGCGCAATATGGCTACCGGGTCAGTCAGCCAACCAGTGGATACATGAACCAGGCGGCACAAATTGGAGGATTCATGAACCAGGCTGGACAATTGCCCGTTGGGGTCGTCAATGTTCCTGCTCCCTACTCTCAGGATCCTCATCAGCAAAATCCGGTTTATACTTATCATGGGTACATCAACAGTGGGCTCATGCAACCCCTTAATGGCACCATGCGCCCCCGATAAATTAGTTTTAAATGATGTTAAGGTTGAAGCAATAAGGACAGGCTGAGGTTAACCTCAATGTTGTGTAAAATATATATATAAATATTTATATAGTTTAACGTTTTATCGTTATTCCGCGGGTGGAGAGTTTAATAAAAGGTTGAGGTTCTTTTTTATATTTAATTTACTTTTTTATTTACAAATTATTATTGTTAGACTTGTTAGGTTTCTCCACCGCACGGCGTTGTACTTTCTGTATTATAAAGCTTGGTTTTTTTTTTTTTATGATAAGGTGGGTTTTAAATTTTGCGGGAAAGTTTGAAATTTCCCGCGGATTTTGTCGGCCAATAAACAAGCGCAAAATTTGAATTTGCCGCTTAAATTAAAATCCGCCTTGAGGATATGTTAAAGCTTGGTTTTATGCTTTGTGCACTACACGTGATTGTTACACTGCATTTTAAAATGCTCTAGTTTTAAATTTAGCAGACTTTTATTGCATTTTTAAGGATATTTATATAATTGTCTGCTTAATTAAGTTAAATAAAAATAGAGCTAGAACATTTTAATGCATATATACGCTAAGAAAAATGAAATGAAAAATTAACTTCAATTTTTTAAAATTGTTTTAATTTTTTGGAAGTACCTAAAATTGTCTATTCAGCAACATTTTTTTTTTTTTTTTAAATGTTCACTAATATATTTTATTTTTAATTATTATATTTATGAGTATATGAGGAAATTGTAAAAATTGTGTGAAGTGTTGCTCGGATAAATTTATTATAAGTAAATTTATTTAACAACGCGACTGTTTGCCGAATAGTACACAACAAATTAGTCCTATATTTATGATACTGGATCGATTATAAGTATTTTATTTTATTTTTGTTTATTTTTGTCGTTAATACTAAAGTGTGAGAAGGGAATGGGTGATGTCAATTTTATTATTGAAATTATTAATTAAAAAAATATTAATTATTATTATTATTATTATTATTATTAATTATTAATGTAATGATAAGTTTAGTTGCAAAGTGACTACGAAGAAAGTCTTTAAGAATAGTGTATAAATATTTATTGTACATAGATATTAAAAATAAAAACAAATAAATACTAATATCAATTAATTTTTTTTATTATTTGTCCTTAAAATTTATAAAAAATTTTAATTTTATTTAAAAAAAAATTTTTTTATTTAGAAAAAAAAAATTTTTAAATATTAAATTGAATATTTTTTACATTTGTTAAATTTAAAAAAATTTTAATTTTGAAGAAAATCTATTTTTGATAAATCTTGAAACTAAAAAATTTTGGAAATTTGTGAAAAATAAAAAGAAAAATTCACTATTAAAAATTTATTCCGGATCATCTTCGCGTTTCTTCTTTTTGTAAACGCGTTTCTTCTTAGCAACACTGGCCATTTTGACGTACTTCTGTCTCTGGTCAGGTGTCATCTTCGCCCATTGTCTGCCAGCGGCCTTTGCGATGGTCGTGACATGCTCATTGGGCTTCTTGCTTCTCATCCGCAGGAAGAAAATCAGGAACGGGTTGGTAGGTCCTCCAGAACTTTTAGCCTTCTGCTTTCTAGGGCGTTTTGGCTCCGAAGTTTTCGACGAATCGCCATCTGTGCTGGTAAATATGTGTTAATAATATACTACTATTGAAAAAAAATTTTTTTTTTCTAAAGAAAAATTAAGTATTAAAAAAAAAAAAATTTTTGAGTATGAAAAAATTCAAATTTTTAAATAAATTTTTTTTTTGTTAAAAAAAATCCAAATTTTTAAGAAAAAAAATTTTCTTAGTTGTAAAAAATTAAAATGCTTTTTTTTCCTATTGTAAATAATTCAAATAATTGCAAAAACAATTCAATTTTTGAGTAAAAAATTTTTTAGTCATAAATAATTTAAATTTTTAAAGATTTTTTTTTCTCAGTTGTAAAAAATTAAAGTTTCAAATAAAATACTTTTTTGTCATAAAAAAATTAAAATTAATAAAAAAAAAATATTTTTTTTAATTGTAAAAAATTAATATTTTGAATAAAACACTTTTTTTGTCTTAAAAAAATTAGATTAATAAAAAAAAAAATTTTTTTTGTTTAATTTAGGTACAAATAAACAAAATTGAAAAATTTTTTTTTTCAATTGTAAAAAATAAAAATTTTGAATAAAATTCATTTTTTTTCATATAAAATTAAAAAATTTCAAAGAAAATTTTTCTTTAACAATATTTTTATATAAAAAAAAATTTATTTTTAAAATAAATAAAATAATAAATTCACCTTTTGAAGTCTCCTCTGAATTTTCGTGTTTCCGACTTTTTGGGCGTCGAGTTTTCATTGCCCATTCTTGTACTTCCTTATTATTTCTACCAGACATCTACTTCCTACAGCATCACTATTAATTTATTAAAATAAACTCAAACTAAAAAATCTCACAATAATCCGAGAAAATCCACAAGAATTTTAAAAGAAAAAAAATTATTTTTGACAAAATGTCACAATAAATTTAAACAAATTCACGATGACATTTTCCAGCCTCGTTTGTTTGTCGATAAAAAAACTAACTGAAGTTCATTTGTTTAAAAAAAAAAAAAAAAAAGAAAACAAGCTCAATAGAATTATTTTTTATAAATTTATTGTTACCGGGGACGGAGCTAAGACAAATGATTATAAATAATAAATTACAAATTATAATTAAATAAATTAATCTAAAGTAAAATGATTATTTATATTTATTATAGTCAGAGCTCGTCGAACCCAGACCACTTTCCTTTCTTCTTCCAGCTCCTGGATTTATCTTTTTCGGGACACCAGCAAGCCGCAGACTGAGCGTCGATGTAGCTTTTGCAGCCCAACGTCGTCGTTCCGGTGTAGAGCATCTTCGCGGCAGCTTTACAGGTGTTTACTATTGTTGTTCCGGTGGTCTGGTAGCCTTCGCAGTATTTGTATAAGCATCGCTTGAATTCTAAGTCGCACTTTTCTTTATCAGAATTGCAGGTGTCGTAACAGATATCGTGCTCGTCGCAGCACTTTGTCATTTCTGATAGTGGAAGGTATTCTTGGTTTATCTGTAAAATTATTATTATTAAGAGAATAAGGAAAATTTTGTTTCTAGAGTCATATTATAAAATCCGTTTTTTTTAGTAAAATTTAGTGTGATTGCAAAAGTCAATTTATTATAAGTATTTAGGCTGCATTCGAAAATATCTCTAGATACATAATTAAGAAATTACCTTGTATCTTGTGAAATATTGACATTTTTAAAGATATAAACTCATCCCGATGTTACACTCATCGAGACCTTTCATTTGAGTACCCACATCAATTTTTCATATATTTTATATATTTATATATATATATATATATAATATGAAAAATATATCAAAAATGCATGTGGGTACTTAAATGAAAGGTCTTGATGAGTGTAACATCAAGATGAGCTTATATCTTTAAAAATGTCAATATTTAAGGAAATACAGGGCATTTTAATAAATATCTTGTGAAATATTGACATTTTTAAAGATATAAGCTCATTCCAACATTATACTCATCAAGACCTTTCATTTGAGCACCCACATCAATTTTTCATATATTTGATATATTTATATATATATATGTATATATGAAAAATATATAAAAATGCATGTGGGTACTCAAATGAAAGCACTTGATGAGTGTATCATCGAGATGAGCTTATATCTTTAAAAATGTCGATATTTAAGAAAGTACAGGGCATTTTAACAAAATTCATTATTTAATAAAGCAAAATTTTAATTTTTTATAGTTCACAAGTCATGGCAGTCACGTAGTGACTGCAAGGTTGCTAGTTATTATTATTATTTATAAAAAAATGTTCTAGTTTTTAAATAATTAATTTAATGAACAAAAAAAAATTTTTTAAAGATAAATTTAACCAATTCTATATGAAGGTAATTATATTATTATTAAATAAAGATGATATAGCTGCATAATATTTTTTAATAATAACTTTCCTATTGATATTTAATTCTATTACCTCTATTCCTAGAGAACCACATCCATTACTTTGAGGTACATGATTTCTGTCAGGTTTTGCTGTTACACCTGTAATAAAATTTTTAATTAATAAAATTCATATTCATTTATCAAAAAATTATTTTTATTTATTAAAAAACAAATATTGACATTATTATTTTGTTGGAAAATATTCATTTTGTAATTTTTTTATTTATTTTAAAACTCTAAAAAATTTTCAAGTGTCTGGTTCTATAAAATGAACTAAAAATTCTGACAAAATTGAAAAAAAAAAAAAAATGTTCCATTATCATAACTAACAAAATGAAAATTAATTTAGTAGATATTTAATAATTTTTATAATTATTTATAATTTTAGTAACAAATAAAGTGGAGCAAAAATTTTTTAAAATTGACATTTGGAAATTTAAAATAATACAATTTTTTATAAATAATTTTTTAGAACAATTTTTTTTATCTTTAATGTCAAAATAGAAGAATAAAAAACATTCACTTGCTGTTTCATCAAATTTTGAGGTTAAGTTAAACAATTGTTTTTTTTTTTTAACAACAACACTGACATGCAACAAACAAAAAACAATAATAATAATTACCATTGGGGCAAGTGTAAACACAATGTTCCTCGACGGCAGCATCGAATACCTCGTGAATATCCTTAATTTTCCTGGCTACAGTGATGGCGTTCTGGAAAAAGTCCCCGAAAATGGTCTCAGCAGCTAAAACGGCGTCTCGGAGGTTCCCTATCAGTCCAGCTCCATATCCCGACCAGGCGTAGGCGAGGAAGGTTAATATGTAGACGAAGAATTTTCTATACCTCATAAAGTCCATCCTGGATCATCGCAAACAGTATTTTTATGTTATCTTTCACTTTCACTCACAGTTTTTATCTATTTATACATTCGAATACATACTTTATATATTTTACTTGCAGGTCAAATGTCACTTGGTTGTTCAAAACGAAAATTAATTTATTTGTTTTTAAATTAAGATATTTAAGTACTAAATTTTCACGAATCTTATTAGTACACGTGGATTTTATGATTGGATTTTATTTTTAGAGGTTTATTAATAATTTTTTTGAGATACTTAAAATAGCAAATATTTATAATACTAAAGTTAGCTGACGTATTTGACTTTTTTTTTAATTTTTAAAATAAAAACTAAAAAATTGGACATTGTTTTAAAAATTTTTTTTTTGTTATAATTTTTTCAATAAAAAAAATTCTACCTATCAATTTTCATCAAATATTTAATAATAATGATTTTTTTTAAATAAATTGTGACATGAAAAAATTTTAAATTCAATTTTTATAATTAATTTATTTGATAAAATAAATTTTACAAAAATTGAATTTTGTAAAAACAAATGAAATACTTATAAAAATTTTTTTGGATTATTAAACTAGATGTATGAGGCTTGAGGCTTTAAAACTTTTGATAAATTTATTTCTAATGATTATTATATACCAATTATATTGTTTTTGTATCCTGTACTTGGTTTTTAGACCAGATAATTAATTAATTTATTATTTTTTTAGAAATTTACAATTTTCAAATTTAAAACCGCGCGTTTAAAGATTAACAAAAAATAATCTTATAATAGGCTTTAAAATTTTTGATAATTTCATTTTTAATGATTATTATATAGTAATTGAATTGTTTTCGCATCCTCTAGAAGGTTTATAAATCCAAGAGTTAATTAGTTTATTTTTTAAAAAATTTAGAATTTTAAAATTAAGAAATTTTAAATAACAATAATAAAAATTCTTAAAATTTAAATTGAGGAAGAAAATTTTATTTTACATAAATTGAACATTTTTATATCAACAATATATGTATTTTTATACTAAAAATATTACAGAATGTAAGTACAATTTTTTAACATAGTTACAAAATAATGAATAATTTTTAATCAATAATTAAACTGAAATAAAATTTTTTACAAAGCTAAAATGCAACATAATTTTTTCATAAAAAAAATATTTCTAAGTAAACTTTTGTATTCAATTTTTTAGCAAAAAAAAAAAAATAAGAAATAATTATTAATTAATGTAAAAGTAAAAAAAGAATTATTTCTTGCTCTAATAAATACAACCGGAAAAAAAATCAATAAAAATAATACAATAAATGTGATGATTTTTAATCAAAAAGCTTGGCGAGTTCTCCAGTTTTGAGCATTTCAGCGACCTTGTCACCGCCACCGATGAACTTTCCATTGACAAAAACTCTGGGTACAGTTCTGGCACCGGTGATTTCTCCAAGAGCGTCCTGGTACCCGGCACAGTCATCTTCCTGGTCTAGTTCAATTACTTTGAAGTCTTTGCCCAGCTGCTTAAAAGCCTAAAATTATAAAAGTAACAATTTTAAATTAATTATTCAATAAATTACAAGTAATAAAATCAGATTGAAAATTTTTTTAATAATTATTATTGTTATTAAAAAATTTTAATTGTAAAAATAAAAAGTTATAGGGTAGATGCACCAGTTGTTGACCGGACACCAATTAGTTGACCGATGTATAAAAAAGTTAATTAATTAATATTTTACAAGGGTTTTTTTTTCTTAAAGTATTAAAATAAAAATATATGGCATTTAATCATCATAATAAAGAATAACGCAATTAATTGTGCAGTGATTATAGCTTTAAAAAAATATTCAGAGTTTGTTTACAACGCAACCAGCCATAAAGCGGTCAAAAATAACTAGCGTACAATTGGAGAGTGAGTGCATTTCATCATTAATTTAGTGATATTTATCGGCATAGTATAAAATATTTTAGTTTTATTATGTTAATTAAAAATCAGATTCCACTTTTTTTGAAAAAATAAAGTTAAATTATAAGTTTTAATATTATTTTAAGACCGGTCAACTATTGGATCCGTCAGAAGCCCTTTACCCAGTAAAAAATTAATTCGGTCATTTATTAGACCCTCTGATTTTATCACAATCCAATTAATGACCGTATATTTATAATACTAACTTCTTCACCTCAAAATTAAATCTGTCAAGTGTTTAAAGTACTTTAGTCATTAAATATTTTGTAAATATAAAAATAATCATTATAAAATGGATATTTACAATTAAAATAATACTTAAAATTTTTTTTAGATTATTAAATTTTATTTTGTTGTAATTTAAAAATTTCTAAGCAATTAAAAAAATAAAAAAGAGATACAAGCTAGTAAAAAAGCTTTAATTGAAAAAAGAAAGAGAAGAATAAAAAAATTTCAAGTGAATCACAAAGAATTATTTGTGACCTAAAGAAATGTGACTTTATGTTAATTATTGCTATTATTTATATTATTTTATAAAAAAAGTACGATTTAAAATTATATTGTATGTTTAGTTTTGTTAAAGATGTCGTTAATGCTTCAAAAGTACTGGATAAATTTAATTACATACATGTAGTTTACAAAATTACTTATAATTATTTGAGCGGTCAATTAATTGGAGAACGGTCGGTCATTTATTGGGTTTCTTCGGTCAATAATTGGTGATTTTAGTATTTAAAGATTCAAATAACAAAATTAATATAATTTTGTTAATTTTTATTATAAATAATTATTAATTAAGTATTTAACTTTAATAAAATCCATTACAAATTGTTTTTAGTAGGTTAATAGATTTTTTACAGCTTAGTACGGAAAAAGAAAACCTTAATCGGTCAATAATTGGTGCATTTACCCTAAATGCTAATTTTAAAAAATATTTTTTTTTTTTATTTAAAAAATATTTTCTAAAAAATGATAATAAAAAATTTCTTTTTTAATTTTTTTTTGACAAAATATCAGCTGACTTTAGTTTAATAATTTAATAAAATAATTAAAAATACTTACATTTTTAGCTTTAGTGCAGTAAGGACAGGTGGACTTTGAAAAAATGACAACAGTGTCTGAGTCAATGATTTTTTGAACAGCGACCTTGTCGATAGTCATGATTCTTCTTGAACTGGAAACTAAACCCATTTTCTATAGGCATTATTTCAAAGGCAGTAAGTTTTATTTTAACTTAATAATTAAGAATTATTATTAAATAAATTATAACTGTTTTGACAAATTATTTTAAAAAAATGAAGACAAAATAAACAAATGAATCCAAGTTTTTTAGAGTTCTAAATTTTTTCTAAATAATTCTTAATAAATAATTTTTAAAATTTTTATAACACATTTTTTATGATAAAATTAATTATTTTTCTAATTTTTTTAACAAATAAATTATAGCAAAAAAAAATTGACATTAAGAAATTATAAAAAATTAAAAATGTAATTTTTAAAAAATAATTTATTTGTTAAATAAAATTAATAAATCTGTTAATTTATAATAAATAAATAATAAAATAATTAATATTTTACAGAGTACTTACATGCTAATAAACTTCACAAGTTGATGCAACTCTAGCTGGAGTGATGATGAGTGTAATAATCAATACAATGATTAATTAATAAAAAAAATACTTTATTTTATTGGTTTTATCAATAAAATACGTGATTTACGTGCTAGTGAGTTATTAGTCAGAATTTATTTTAGATTAGATTAGAATTTTATAGGGTGCATTCGCGTTGGACGCTCACACGCTTAAATGTCGTTTTCAGCGTTCGACTTGGTGCTGTGAGCGTAAAAAAATCACTCTCGTGGCTGAGTTCAAGAGACAAATTTCTCGCTCACAGACGCTCACGCCACAGAGGTAGAGCAGCAGAAGCGTGAGCGCTAAATTTCATTATTTATCAACACGAACACTTGTGAGCGTAAGCTAACCAAATTTAACTGTAGTGATTTCTTAAAGCATAAAAGTAAATTAAAGATCCAGTAACAATGGCAAACCTTTTACCAAAATTATTTTCTGTAAATTTGACTGACCCAGAATCAAATCGAAGTTACACAATTTCTGTTACCGCTGATGAAGCGAAGCGTCTTGAAAGAGGTACGTATTTTATTATGAATTATAAATTTGAAAAAATATCTATGTCGTTTTACCCTTGCTTGAAAATTAAATTGTATTTTTAGACAGCTAGAAGTATAATTTATTCTCAAGTTCTATTTCTTAACACTTGAATAACGAGTGAATTAATAAATTTCTTTAATTGCAATGCTATTAAAAAAAAGGTCTGGGTTTTTCTTTTAATTTTTTTTTTTTTTTGGTGAAATGTGTTTTATTACTTCCAGACGTAGGTTTTGCAACTTTAAAACTGGAAGAGGCAAAAAATTTAGAATATGCTGAGCTTATTAGTGGTAGGTTTTATTTTCATTTTGAGTTTTTTCTGCATATAATGTTCAGAGCAAGACGTAGAAACGGTTGAAGCTTTGGATCCCGGTTTGAATTTTGATGAAATTGTTGACGAATCTCCTAACAGTACAAATGAAGATTCAGGTAATTTAAAACTGAAGCAAATAAAATAAATAATAAAAATACAAATCATGGTAAAGTTAATTATTTGTTGCAGTATTTAAATGGCCTCATGAAGCAATTCTTATGCTTCTTGATGAATACGTCATAATGTCACAGGTCCTCAATGCCAGTCAAAGTTTTCAGGAATGAAGAAAACTTACAAAAAAATAAAAGACCATAATAATAAGTCGGGCAATTCTGCCAAGCATTGGCCGTACTTGACTGTAAGCTTAACTAATAAAATTTAACTAATAACATTTTTAAAAAACGATAAATGACATTAATTTCTTTAGTTAATGGATGATCTGATGGGGGATAAGCCTTTTATATCACCACTTGCTACTTGCTCTTCAACTGGAAAAAAAAAAGGACATTATCTGAATGCAGTAATGAAAGTAGCACAAGTAGTGATGCGGATAATTTTACAACCCGTGAGTATGATTTTACTTTTTACGAAAATTAGTATACTGTTAATATAACACTATAATTTTTTTGCTTACAGAAAAAAAACCAAAGATTACACCGACTAATCAGTTAATTGCTTCATTAGAAGAGCGATCATTGAAAAGTGAGGAGAATAAAGAACGTCGATTTAAAGAATTTATGGCTTTTAAAGCTCAAAAGACAGAAGAGGCTCTTCAATACAAAAAACGAGCTTTGGATTTATTAGAAAAGCTTATAAATTCTAAAAATAGCTCTTAGTGCGATCATATTTCAGTGCTATACTTTTAAAAGTCTGATTATTGTTTTTACTTAAGATTTTTATTTATAAAGCTACTTTTTTATATAAAATATTTAAAGTATTAACCTATTTTAATATATAAACTATATACCTCCATAAATCAGGAATTACTTAAATAAATGTATTTTATAAACGTTACAAATACACAGTATTTTAATTTAAAAGAGATAAAGATTTTTAACATTAAAGATCTTATAGTTTATTGTACTGCTTATATTTGAGAAAAGATTTACATTTTTGAATATAATAAATGAACGCTTTTGAAAATTAAGAAATGTTATTTTTTATTTAGCAAAGTCACTCAATCGGTCATATACAATTTAAATAACAATTGTACAGAAATATAAAATATATATATTCATAATATTGATTAACAACTTTAAAAAATTTACAATTCTGTGGTGGATCAAAAATGATTAAAATATAAAAATCCGTTATCGTTTATGTCATTAATATTTGCATTTTCTTCGATTATTTCCTCAATGAGAAATTCATCTTCTTTCAATAAGCATATATTATGCAATACACAACAAGCAATGATGTATTCAGGTATTAAATCTGTTCGATTCATATCTAAAACAGTAAGTAAGCTGCGAGATCTTTTTTTAAGTAATCCAAATGCACGTTCAATAGCTATGCGTGCTGAGGAATGACAAAAATTGTAATTTTTTTGTCGTGCTGATAAGTGTCCATTATTCCGATACGGTGTTAGTAAATGTTTATGGAGAGGATAAGCCGCATCACCAACTAGATGACAATTATTTGGAAATTTTTCTGGATCGCTGAGATAACCATGCACTTCAGATAAACGAAATACTCGTGCGTCATGTACAGAGCCAACATTACCAGCACAGCAGTGGATAAATTTACTTTGAGCATCACAAACAGCCTGTTTTGAAATAAAATGTAAAAATGTAAATATTTAAGAATTGTTACACGTGACTGCTCACTTACTTGTAATTGAATTGAATGAAGTCCTTTTCTATTGACATAAGATTCCGGATGTTTACGTGGTGTAGGAATATTTATATGCGTTCCATCAATTGCACCGATAACTTTAGGAAAACCGCTCGTAGCTTCAAATTGATTAGAAATTTCTTCAAACTTCTCGTTTTCAGGCCAAGTTATAAAATGTGTTTAATTATTTTACATGGTATAAATTATATTTTTCCTTAAGGACGTTCATACGTTAGACTTAATAATAGATATAAATTTATATTTTTTACTTTTGAGAAGTTTAATTAATGATTTTTCTATAAAAAATTGAAATTTTCTCAAGACTCTAATAAATTTTATTAAAAGTCACTAACTCATTTGACTCTAGCGCCTGAACGCCCTTAAAGTATTTAGACAGTATAAATTTCGTTAAAATTTAATTTATTTTCGTATATTTATTACATTATCATTGCTTAATTATAATTAACTTCGTCAAATAATTCTCATCCATTCTTCACTTTTCAAATTTCTCTTCCGTAAAAAAAAATTGCATGGTTTAATTAGTGGCGGATTTTTTGTCAACTACTTCTTTATTTATCAATTACATTTTATAAATAAATTTTTTACAATAATGCAGCGAAGAGATTGTTAATTTGATTGAATTTTTGCATTTAAAGCGAGGAATTTTTTTAGCCCAAAGACATTTAAATTTTATTTTACGGCCAACAAATTGTTAATTATCTTAAGATGGAATAAATTTAGTTATTAATTACAATGAGTAATTTCTAACAAGGCAAAGGCTACAATTTAAACCGAATCAACGATAAAAATTATTCATTCTAAAGCTAATTACGAGTACTTAGACTTAAAATAATCAATAACTTATCAATAGGATTTCTTATTGTAATTAGTAATATACATTTGATTTATTGATAACAATGATATGCATAAAACAACGTGGCTATGATTGAAAAGCCAAGTAACTTTATTAATTGACGCGCAGATGTTCTTGAAGATGAATTTTTCTCAACTTTTTTGCGCTTCTTAGACTTCCGACGCTTTCGCGAGTATATTGCGTTGCTTGAATTCGTCGGTGAGTCTACATTGCAGTAACTTACGTCGCAACAGCTTATACATATCTAAAACAAACAAAATTTCTATAAATATTGAATACTAACAGGTATTATCTTAACGCTTCGCTTATGAGGCGTGCAATATTTACAGTATCAGTCGGTAATTTGATAAAGATTGTTACATTACCTTCTGAGTATCGATCGGTACGCAACCGACTGATGCTGGTCCGCATTCTGCACTACTGGCACAGCTTTTGCTCACCTGATAACAAAATTATTTCTATATTATCGATTGATGTTTTCAATTTTATCATTAATTTTACAATTTTTCTAGTTTAGTTTTGTGTATTTAAATTTTTTAAACATAAAATTGGAGAGTTTGATTAAAAAATAAAAGCAACATTTAGTCGATAACATGAAAGGAAAAAAAACGCGATAAATGCAACTGTACGGCTGCCCAATTTTAAAACACAATAACTGACAATTTTAAGTTTGTGCGCCAAATTGATAAAAAATTTAATTTATATGGGTAGAAAATAGTTAAATATAAATATTTTAAAGAAAAAGGTCTCAAAGTTATAGGAAATGCAGCAATACTAAAAAAATCAAGTATAAAAATTTTGCAGTTACTGATTTTTAAAGTTTACGGATGATTTTAACGTGTATCAAATCCAACTCTAAGTATGGTTGGATTTACCGCACGTTTTTTTCCATGTATCTAACAAATTTATTAATTTTATGTGGCATAATATTTGTCAAAATAAAATTAAAGACTTGTATTAAGAAAAAATAATAATTTAATTAACCCTGATAGCCACCTCATACTATAAGTTCTTGTATCCAAGTTCTTGTAGATAAATTTAGCGATAAGTTATCGTTAAGTTAACGTCAAATCTACAAATGCTCATCCTTATATACAAGTTGACAATGAGATAGTGCCGATATTTAAAAACAAGTTATCTATAAGCTTATAATCCACGTGGATAGAAAATTTCGGTAACTTAACGACAATTGTTTGAATACAATTCTTATCTGAAAGTTATAGTATGAAATGGCTGTCAGGGAACTGTTTAATAAATTTTTTATCGATGTATCTCATGTAGATAAAGTAGATCTCACATAAATCTTACCGACCGCTGATAGAGATGTATTTAAATTAACCCTGATAGCCAGTGCTTTCTTAAAAAGTATCTGACTTTACGCAGTTACAGTTAACTTAACATTAATTTTTTGCTAATTATTTACTAAATAACAATTCTAACCAAATTGACCGAAATTTACCGCCGCAATTTAAATACAAGTTAACACCAAACTTTTGGTTCAATTTCCTTTCAACTTGACTATAATACTTGCACAGCAAGTCTTGTAGTCAAATTGCAGAGTAACTTATAGACAACTTGACTAAAACCGTATGGTTTGCAAACTATTTCGTTCATAATTTTGAGTTAAGGTGGCTATTAGGGATAGTTTTGTTTAATAAATTTTTTATCGACTTTCCTTGTGTTGATAAGGTAGATCCCGTATAATTTTTATCAATCGTCGATAAAAAAGGTGTATTGAAATTAATTTACGGAAAATTAGTTGATTAAACAGTACATTTTTTGTTCTAGGTAAAAAATTTCTTCAGGCAGTTCAAACCCGGAAAATTTTGGTGAAATAAAATAATTTGGGGAGGAAAAAATGTTGATATGACCAACAAATAAGAGGTAAGGTTATAGATTAAAATTAATTTGCCTAATTAACGGTAGATAAAATAAAACAAAATTAAATGAAGCCTATAATCAGACATTACTCATTCACGGTCATTGTTAGTGTTCTATTGACCTTCGTAAATATATTTGGGTCACTGGAGAATTCCAATATTATGTGTGATGCGAGCATGCGCATAATTGGCTCTATTAATAGAATAAAATGGGAAAAAATCAACAAAAGGAAAGCTTCTGATTGATAAAGTGTCTCATCGGAAATTCACACAGAACTTGAACTTACCAACACACTGTTGCCCCGACTGTCGAGTATGTGGAGTGACCTGCAGAAGTCTTTTCCATCCGGCGGGCAAGGGGTGTCGATCGCCCATGTGTTGCACATCTACCAAAATAAATAACCAATTTATTATCTATAAAACCAAAACAAATCCCGTTTAATTAAATGAATTATAAATGTCAAAAACGTATAATTTATTGATTATCGGCGGGAAACTTTATTTCTGATACTAAAAATAAATTGGAGATCAATATAACCGATAACAATAACAACAAAAGCGGAGCAGGCGACAGCGAAACTAAATCATTTGATTTATTTTTGGTGTTATTGTTGTTATTGTCGGTGAAACGTCTTCAATGGGTTTGGAAGCCCTATTTGGGGGCTTGAGCTTTCGAGATGTAATTGGTATGATTGTACTGGATGTGTGCTATCGATACTGGATGCTCGATACTAAATGTGTGCTCAGATATTGGTGTTGGGTAGAAGGGGGTTGTTTATTGGAGTATTGAGATTGTATGGCTGACCTAAGCGGGCTTCGTGTATTATTCCTGGAATTTAATGGCTAGCCTACCTGATTGTCGCTGACGTTGACACAGGTGTAGCATGTGAGACCTGCGAAACAATTGTCGATTATTGATTGTTATTATCATTATAATTACAGTTAATATTATTGCGGGGCTTGATGCTCGAGATTTCATCAAATTGACCGGATGATTGCGGTTGATTTTTGACTGAGTATTGATTTTGGCGATGCGATGAGATAATTTGTGACTTGGAGTTAGATTTATTGTTATTACGTTAGTAGATTGATTTTATAATTATGCTAAAGCTTATTTAGCCAAACGGCAATTCTAGAACTAAATACATAAATTTTCTATACAATTTTAAAATTATTATTGAATTTTATTCCACTAAATTGGCGCGCAATAGCTGATGGGATCCGGCCTTTGATTACCGAAGCATTAGACCGAGTTCGAGCCTGGCGTAGATAGAAGGATTTAGTAATAGAATTTTTATTCATTTTTTTCGGAGAAAAAAATATTTTTTACCCATCTATATTAGTTGTTACAGTTTAATAAATCATTTTTTTATTCTATATAAATTATATTAATATAAACAAAGCCTTATTATATCAAAATAAATATTTGTTTCCAACCAATAGTTAATTTATGATAATAAGTATTTAGACTGCATTTGAAAATGCTTTATCTCTAGATACATTATTAAGAAATGACCTTGTATCTTGTAAAATTGTTTTAAAAAAAATTTTGGTATAAGAATTTTATGAGGTTTTTGTATCCTTAGCTTGATCTGAAAGATATTTAATTAATTAGGGAATTTTATTAAAAGTTAGTTTTTGGTTTTGCCGCTAGGTGGCTATGCCCTCTCACTATTAGAAAAATTATACCAGAGTATATATAAGGGTAGAATTTTTTTTTAGTAAAATATTTTATTGAGGAGGTACTTAGCTATTAAACAACAAAATGTTGTATTTAAAGATGAATTTTCTAGATACATAAGAAATGACCTTTTTTCTTGTGAACTATTGACATTTTTAAAGATATAAGCTTATCTTGATGATACACTCATCAAGATATTTCATTTGAATACCCACATCAATTTTTCATATATTTATATATATCATATATATATGTATATATGAAAAATATATGAAAATGCATGTGGGTACTCAAATGAAAGCTCTTGATGAGAGTAACATCGGGATGAGCTTATATCTTTAAAAACGTTAATATTTAAGAAAGTACAGAGCATTTTAACAAATATTTTGTGAATTATTGACATTTTTAAAGATATAAGCTCATCCCGATGTTACACTCATTAAGACCTTTCATTTGAGTACTCACATTAATTTTTCATATATTTTATATGTTTATATATATATATATATATATATGTATATATGAAAAATATATGAATATGCATGTGGGTACTCAAATGAAAGCTCTTGATAAGTGTAACATCCGGATGATCTTATATCTTCAAAAACGTCGATTTTTAAAAAATTACAGTGCAATTTAACCAAAGTCATTATTTTAATAAAGCAAAATTTTATTTATTTATAGTTAACAAGTCATGGCAGTCACATATAGTGACTGTAAGGTTGCTAGTACTACTAAATATTTATTTGATGGAAATAAATGGGTTTTGATATATGATTTAGTAAAGACTACTCGAGTTACCGCTGTGCAATCGAAAATTTCTCACTACTTTTCGCCACCTAGCGGCAGTCGCTGAACTATTGATCTGAAATTACTATAAATTTTGAATAAAACTACGGTACCCGTCACTATATCACCAAAATAATTATTTTTAATAAGCTTCATCAAAAAATAGAAATATTATTTAATTTTTTTAAGAGCTTCAAGAAACCTGACACAGGAAAATGCTCTTAACTTACATGATGTATACATCAGAAATTAATCTTCTTATTAGAGAAAATAATCTTCTCATAGCAAAATTTAATAGGCTTACTTTGGAGAAGATTAATTTTGAGAAAAAAAAAGTCGGAATTTTTAATGATGAATTTGTTTGAAGAATAACATTAATAAAAATATGAAAAAAGAAAATTGCGATAAAATTTTAGTACTTACGATAAGTATCTTCTCCATTAGTCCCCGCAGTTCTTTTAACCCCGTTTAATTTAACCAGAATTTGATCATTAGTGTCGTCGGCTTCGGACAAAAAATTTCTCCCGTGTGTTTCCGCAGCCAGAAGCAGTCCGACCATCACCCACGTGATCATTCCTCACATCTCTTGATACAACATAAAAGTGCAAAAAACAACAATCCATTAGTCGGCCGGAACATTAACAATATACGCCACAAAATCCAAACAAATAAAATATAAAACTCCACAAATGGAATTTACAACTGTCCGGAGATATTATTTTAACATTCAATTTAAGTTGTTCGGTAATTTACTTGAAAGACTAAACTTGATTTTCTTTAAAATCCATGCAGAATTAAACTCGCGCTCGAAATAAAGTGAATGAGGGAAAAAAGGGTCAAAATAAATTAAATAAAAAAAAAAAAGACTGAGATAAAGTAAGAGAGTAAAGTAAGAGAGTAGAATTACTACAAAACTACCCAACCCTGGCCATCTACTTGCCCATTCTGATGTGCTCACAGCTTATACTTTTTTTTTTAGGTTTTAGTTTTTCCTTTAGGGGAATGAACCCCCACCCCTCGACTTTCCGGCGATAGTGCTTGTAAGCATCATTTTTTTATTGATTTTTTACGGATTAAAAGGACTTTCACAGTCATATGCTCGTATGTATGTATTGGTCTGCTGTGTCAACGGGTAGAAAAGTCTTCTCTCGGATGAATCGTCATATGTCATGTGGAAATATAGAATTTAATGAAAATTTGTATTTAAAGTTCTTTTATTGGTATAAAAGTGCAAAAAATCGTGGATGGTTCCTACAGGGAGAGAAAATTGAAGGAATTTTTATTATTTTATTATCGTAATTTAGATTATGGAGAGAATAAGAAAAATTTTGACTCGAATTCGGGCCTTTTTGCATTAAAAAAAACATAATTAAGAAATGACCCTGTATCTCGTTAACTATTGACATTTTTAAAGATATAAGCTCATCCCGATGTTACACTCATCAAGAACTTTCATTTGAGTACCCACATGTAATGAAGCAAATTTTTTGTATATTTATAGTTCACAAGTCACGATAGTCATATAGTGACTGTAAGGTTGATAGTATTTATTAACAATCTATAAAAAAAAAAAAAATTTCTAATCACATAAAAAAATTGTGTTATTTTTTTTTTTTATTTATGTGTTATAATTTACAGTTATTAACATTCTCCGAATTGTAAATACCTGATAGTATAAAAATTCAAACAAAAACAAAAATATTCAATTTACTATCAATAAATCAATCACCATCTCCATCAATTTTTCATATATATTATATATATATATATATATATTATATATATGTATATATGAAAAATATATCAAAGTGCATGTGGGTACTCAAATGAAAGCTCTTGACGAGTGTAACATCGGGATGAGCTTATATCTTTTAAAATGTCAATAGTTAAAAAAGTACAGTGCAATTTAATAAAAGTCATTATTCAATAAAGCCAAATTTTATTTATCTACAGTTCAAAAATCAAGGCAGTCACACATTGACTGCTAGGTTACTTGTTTTTATTAAATAAAATAGTAACAGACTATACTTCTTATTTAATAATTTTTATGATTTACTACCGTTAATTTTATTAATTGACAATTTTTTTGAAATATTACTCAGGATTTTCTTCACACAGAAAAAAAAATTTATCTAAATCAAGTAAATAATTTTGAAAAACTAAACTTCTTGATTTGAAGAGAAAATTTTTAAACTTTTCAAAATTACTTTCTTGGTTCAAAAATTATTTCTTGATTCAAGTTAATATTTTCTTCAGTATAACATATAACATTAGCTACGGTTTCATAACACTATCTCAATTAAAAAACTTTTTTATTATTAAATATTTTTTAACAAAGCCAATTTTCATGATTGTGAATTGTCAGTTAGCATAATTTCCCACGAGAAATGTACCCCATTTACGAGGGCTGATTGTCTAACGTGAAATAGTTACAAACTGTACTGAGCTTTATATGCAATAATTCATACGCGTCATTTACCAAAATTTTATTACGCCAGGAAACTCCTGCGTAAAACGACCGCTAACATTTTTTGTTTATTCTATACCTTCCCTTATTCTGTTTTTATAAATATTTATAAGCAATTTAACCTCTGGATGATACAAAAAAAAAAAGAATTTTTTTTTTTCTCGGCCATCAATCAGTTTTATTCTAAATTACAAAACTCGAGAAGTTAATTTATAATTGCAAATTTATTATTAACAAAGCTAACCATTAAGTCTTGAGAAAATTACATACTAAATTCTACATTCCATATGAAGGAGAAAAAAGTAATTAGTCTTATGATTTACTAAGATGAAACACATTTGTGTAATGAGAAAAATTCATTTAAATAATTAAAGCACTAATACTTGGTAAAAAATGTAAAGCTTATGCTGTACTTTAATTTCTTTCACTTAAACTTTATTTTTTATTCCACATAAAAAGAGATATTATGTTTTTAATAAACATTAGAGTTAAAAGATGGTCAGGTATAAAAACGTCGCTATTTAAATTATTCTTTAATATTCTTACAAAATTAACCACAGAAAAATTTAGATAAAAATAAACAATATACTTTTATGTACATTAATAATTACTAGCAACTTTGTAGTATGACTTTTGTTAAATTTCACTGTACTTTCTTAAATATTGACGTTTTTAAAGGTATAAGCTCATCCCGATGTTACATTTATCAAGAGCTTTCATTTGAATACCCACATACCTTTTCATAAATTTTTCATATATTAATATATATAATATATATATAAATATATGAAAAATTGATGTAGGTACTTAAATGAAAGGTCTCGATGAGTGTAATGTCGTGGTGAGCTCATATCTTTAAAAATTTCAATATTTTACAAGATACAAGGTCATTTCTTAATTATATATCTAGAGATAGAGCATTTTTGAATGCAACCTAAATACTTATTGTAATAAATTGACTATTAGTGAAAATGATATAAAACCTTAAAAAGGCACAAATTTAAATCAAGATATTTGCAATGATACTAAATTTCTCTAAAAAAAACGATTCTATCATATGACTATTCCAGACACCAAATATTTATTATTCTCTTAATAATATAGATTATATATTAGATAAGACGGATAATCACTTTTTTAATCGATTAGGCTACAAATTAATGACGTAGAAGAATCGAAACAAAATTTATATTTTGGTACTAAATATTTTCGATTTAACTCTTTACTAGCGAGAAAATTTACCAACCATGCGCCACCTGTTGGAATTTCTTAACACTATTTTCAATAAAAATAGTATTTATGGGTTTATATGACCATATTATGCTATATATGGATATAATAAGTAATATATATGTTAATATGTTCTAACATGGTCATATCTGGCCAAAATATATTAAATTGTGGGGAAGAATTATCAAAAAATTGTAATTAAATCAGAAATCTTCCATGTTTTCATAAATTATCTTTTCATATCAAGCCATATATACTCCGCCTATTTATTAATAAAAATTCTCAAGAAAATCTCGACCCTACCCCTTTGAAAACCATAAGGCGTGATCTACAACAAACTCACCCAGTAGTGATTTATACGACATCTTAAAGTCAGCGTATGCAAAAAACAAAGAAGAAAATTCTAATGTTATACACCGAAAACTTTCGTCATAAAAGTTTGACGTGAAAGGCTTTGAGTGTACAAAGACAAAAAACACCCTTTTTTTCTTCTCTATAGAGCGTTTCGCCCGCAAAGTTTTCGCTTCAATATATACATCATAAAAATGTATACAAAAAAGGAAAAATTACTTTATCACAGTTTGATAATCGGATATGCATGTATTTGCATGCATTGATTTTTAACATCCGATATTTCACTTTTTTTTTTTTTTAATTATACTTTTCAATAAATTGTCACTTAAAACGGGGTTGTAATTAATATTAATGTAACTTTTAACCACTGGTGTGTGAGTTTAAATTGAAGATTGCAGATAACTCGGACCTTGTAATTGAAAATTGTAACACTTTCCCACTTGACAGTTCACGCCGGTCCGTTCAATTTTATTCAAAAAAAAAAAACATTCGGAAGCTGAAATGCTAGACTATTATTGGATTTGTGGCAAGTTTCAAATATTTTAGACGAAGATTTATTGTTTAGAAAAGATTCTTTACAATTTATTGTTGTAATTTTATCAACAGATTATTGCATTAAATTCGATTAGAAAAAATTTTTTCTAAAAGAATATTAACAATAAAATATAACTTAACTTATTTATTAAAAAAAAAAAATCGATAATTAGTTTAAAAGTATTTTAGAACTAATTTTGTTCAAACAAAAATTTTCTGGTTTTGTTACAATAATGTAAATTCAGTACGTGGAACTCTCATATCAATAACGTATTGAAAATGTTTCTATTAAATATTAAATTACAACCATGAAGCCAAACAAAACGATTGCAAGAGTAAAATTTCATTGAAATGGACCCCAAATAGATATTTTTTGGTCTAGAAATACATCTAAACATGTAAATTAAAGCTTATTTTCTCAGCTTTAAAATGTATTTTACAGAATTTAAATATCTCAACGCGTTCAAAAGCTATTTGAAGAAAAAGCAGTAAAAATATAGAATTTTAAAAATTTTTAAATGCTGTAATTTCTAAACTAATTGTTCGATTTAGCTCAAATTCAAATTTGACCTTCGTAATGGTCCATAGAATAAGTATGTTGAGTTTCATTGAGATCCCTTAAAAATTGTCGACGCTATCGTGCTTACAAGCCGCGTTATATCGTATTTATATATAAATACATGGATAAACTTTTGAACTATGTCTATTTTCTGACTCAGCTCGTCAAGTTAAGTCAGGATGTAGCAAAATTATTCAAAAATTCCATCGAGGATAAGCAATAGTTAGATTTTGAAGAAATCTACTTAAAATTCGATTAAAATAGACCTAGAATAAATATCTTTTGGTCTAGAAATACGTGTAAACTTGTAAATTCAAGCTTATTTTCTCAGCTTTTAGCTGCATTTTACAGAATTTAAATATCTTGACGCGTTCAAGAGTTATTTGAAGAAAAAGCGGTAAAAATTTTGAATTTTTGAATTTTTAAAATT